TCTCAAGCTTTTTGAATGTGTAATAGAGAATTCATTTGTTAATTGGACTGGTTTGTCTCGTATGAAATTTCAATCAAATAAGTTCCCCTGAAACCTTTGCATGATTTCCACTCACTTTTTATTTTTGAGTAACATATGATTCTTTCATGTGAAATAGTTGAATGTTGAAAACACATCACTTCACTTTAATTATAGAAATAAAGGATAAACTCAGCTTTCAATACTAAAAGTTAAATGAAACTATCTTTAGCCATATATAGCACTATTCTTTATTTTTCATCACCAAATATTCATATCTATATCATGAATTCAAGATTATCATCTGCACAAAAGTGATGACCAGTTAATCTCTCCCATATGCTTCAACAATCTCATTCAAATAAAGTACTAATAAGGATTGATGGGATAGAAACTTTCTTAGATCACCCAAATCATGACTTTTTGAATTCCAGCATGAGAAAAGTGTCTCAGAAACCAGAAAAGATAAACACTGTTGAAGAATTATGTGGTTGTAATTTTCCTTTTGTTCAGCCATCATATCCATCCCACCCTTATATTTCTGAAGCAATACCTTTTCTTATTTCATAGGGATATTTGTGGGGATCACTGTTGGGTTGTGATCACGAGGATCACCATTTAAAATCTTTTCCCACTACAGCTATACGTCAAAATTTGCCTCCTGTACATAACTATAGAACATAATAGAAAACAAGGTTATTATATAATTGTAAACTTTCAAAGTGTTTTGTGCCTAGTTTTCAAGGTAGAACATTCTGACCTTTATTCATTTTTGTACAATCCAAAGCACACCCGTGACCTACACATATAGAAGAAGTAGCTCCTTCTAGTCATCAATCATGGAATAATGTATTTATGCATACACTGAACAATTATTATAAGTGAATCTTCTGTCATTTGACTAGATAAGGTATATTTTTATATTTCAATTTTCAATGCTGCCTCTAATTACATATATTCATGAGAGAAGGAAGAAAATGATCTTGTGCACACCCTTCTAGCTCTAGATTCCATTGTTGGAGGGGTCACATTCATCACTCTCTTTCTAGTTATTCTTTCTTGCTTTCCACACTCTTCTCTTCTTTCTCACTTTTATTACTTCCAAAATGTATGTGTTGAAATTAAGTGCACACTGTAGCTTGCTCATGCATCTCTTTTGAATCTTGAATTTTTGGATACTGTTTGGTGGTCAATGTGTAGTTAGGAAGCCTCTGAAATACCCTGCATCACTGCTAAGAGTCTGAAAGGTCCAAATAATATTTCAATAAGGAGAAGATTCGAATAATATTCCAAAGTTAATCTTACCAACGTACACCTACAGTTTCCAGTAGAAATGGGCAATATATATTGTTGCATCACATGATCCATCTCCATCCATGTGACCCACTGCATGCCTTTTTAGAGAGAAAGAGAGAGAGTTTTGTCTTTTATGTATCATGCACAAATCTAAATGCATAACATGTGAAGATCAGCATGTGGCAACTAAATTAATATAGAGAAGATGCCTCCAAAAGTGACTATTATTGGATTAATTAACAAAAAGGGAAGGTTTGAAAGTTTAGAGGTTTTGTAAAAGTTAACACCCGGGTTAATTATAACATGATTTTACTTTCGAAATTTGAAGAACAGAAACTGTGGCTCTTCTTATATATATATATATATATGTTCTTTTGGAAGTTGCAGAGTTTTGAAAACCAACCACCCAACATTGTTTTTGTTTCTGTTTTTACACTAAAAGTGTCCCCAAACCAAAACTTAAAAACTAATTCTTTTGAAAAGATTACGGGAGTAAGTATTACATTTCCAACAAAGTCTTCTGTGTACAATGAGAAATTGAAACCTGACAACATGCACCCACAATTGTGCCTTTTAATGGAGGGGATAAACAACCCTAGCAAAGGAGAAGTGGAAATTAGCCAATAACCATCAACTTAATGCATTAAAAACCTTTGAAGTTTATTAGCCCCAAAATATGTTTTTGTTCAGATTTGTTTGCATCAGTATAGTATTTGTAAACTCATGCAGAATTAATTCTACTGAACTTACTTTATTATTATTTCAAATTTTCCATTAAACTAACAAAACAAAAACAATACAATGATTTTGAAAGAGATGTTACATATGATATGTGGATGATGAGATGAATAGTTTGCTGAGAAAGTTAATCATGTCTAATTTTATTTTTTCCTGTTATACTCATCTTAGTGAAACTCTTTTTCTTTTGAAAAGAAAATCTTAGTGGGAGGGTTCTGAGGTGATGTTTCTACCTTAATAAAGTCATATGAATGATACATGCTTCCATCTATGGAGTGCCTCATCAGTAGATGAAGAATTCACCACCACATCTCAGCCAAATGATGAAAATTCACATGCGAAGGACAATGCGAGCAAGCTTTAGTCTATAAACCATTTATATGTAAAGTAATTGTTCCTCTTACTTGGATTTTTGCATCATTACCTCTCATGCATTTGTCTCGCAAGTGTGGTTACGTTCACACTATATCTCTCTCTTTTTCTATACCAAGGGTCCCATATATATATATATATATATATATATATATATATATATATAATACCATTTCAATCGATTGTGCACATAAAACTTTCTTTTCATTTCTAAGAAAGATAAGGTGGTAATGTAAGAAAAATAAGATGGAACTAAGGTTAACAGAAGTTTAAAATATTGTAGTTCTTTATTGAAAGTTGCTTTGTTTTAGAATATGACCAAAGAATTGTCAGAAGCAGTGATCACACCACACCAAGTATTAGTTTTCCTTTCTCTTTTTCTCTGAAGAACTTTGTTATTGAGAGAGGGCATAAAAGGTGAAAGAGTGATGGTTAGTGGGGGGAGAGAGAGAGAGAGGAGCATAGTGTTTTTTCTACCTAGGAAAGACAACAATTTAGGTCAAGCAGTGTGCAGAGAGGAAAGCATTGGAAAAAATGAAGCCATGGTCTTGTATTTAAAAGTAAATGGAAAGGGCAATTTCATAGGCTTTTCCAACCTTTCACTCTCTTCCATGTCTGCATGCATACATTTTGTTCTCTAATCTTTTTACCAACTTACCTACCCTTTCTTACCCTTTTTTTTTTTTTTCCCAGTGACAGTCCAAGTAATGCAGTAATCCATTTCTGCAATGCAAAGTATGCATGCCATTAATTCCTCGTTATTATCGATTGTTCGAATTTAGCTCCCACGCCAAGTTTTTTTTTTTTTTTTTTTTCTTTTTTTATTTCTGCTCTTATGGGCTACACCATTTGGAAAGTACACATAAAACATTTGACTCCTTTTCTTTTCCCTTCTTTTTTTCTAACTACTTCAAACGTACCAAAGAGAAACTGAAGACAATTAACAGAAATGAATGGTAAACATTATGATAAAATATTAAGATCCTTTCCTTGCAACTTTTTGTATATTCTTCGTTATTCACCCCTTATGCATTAACATCAATTTCTCACTCTTTATGTTAAAATAATCTGATGTATTAGTGCTTTATTTTCTTACTTCAAAAAACTGTTTACATACATGACTTTCTTATCAATAAAAAATAAAAATAACATTTTAATATAATTTTTATAATGAATTTCTTAAATTTGAAAACAAAATTATATAAATAACATTTAGTTTTAAAGATTTATGTCTATCGAACCTTTAACAATTTTTTTTATTAATTAAAAACTCATGTAAATAACTCTCGCTAAATATATTATATATTAAATAAACTAAATTAATTATTTTCAATATTTTATTTTCATCTTTTTCTTTATAAATCTCATTTACTTATCCACTTAAAAAATTATATTTAGGTCCTTTTTACATCAAATTCATTTTTCTTTCCCCCATTTTTAACTACCTTTGCTCTCAATAATTGCAGCACTCTTGTACATTAAATTAGATTACAATATTTTAGAAATGATTTAATTTTAATCTATTATCTTCTATAAAAACGACCCCATGATATTAATTTTTCTTCTTTCAAACGAATTATACATTTTTGTTAAAGTTTTTTTTTCCGCTGGTAATGTTTCTTAAATTCTACCTGAATTATTTTTATATATCATTTATAATTTTAAGTACTTTTCAAAAAAAAAATTGTTATACTTTCTAAAGTTTCACTCTTAGAATAACTGGAATGTAATATATGATATACTTGTTAGTTCCTATTAACACAAATTCTTTATTAAAAGTAAAATTATATTCTTTCGCGCCTAATCACATCCAAATTGATGCCATTTTTAGGCAAATTTGAAATAAAAAATCTACGAGTTTGGGTTTAATATTTTGTTTATCCAACCTGTAAGAAACAATTTATATTAGTATTTAGCATTGACGTGTGGGCAACGAGAAGTTGTAGTACCACATCCGTTTGAGGTTTGTGTTAAAACCAGTAGTACAAAGTTGTACTCTAAAACAACCAGTTCGTTTCTACGAAAAGTACTTCGGTGTAGTACATCCAAGCCTAGAAGTACCATGCTTGCTTAGGCTATATATCCATTCAATGAAATTGGATAAACCCAATACATTGATAAAAAAACATTAATCAAAGTTTGATGTTGCAGTCAAGGCAAAAACATTTCCCAAATATATGGAGGTAGAGGAGTTCTACAGGGTCGTCCTGAGACCACATGAAACAGATTCAGAATACTCTCAACTCGTCTCTCATGTGTTCTCAGGTCGCCCCTGCTGGACTTTTCTCTACCGCGATACAGCAGTGGAGACAACTGCAACCGATTACAGATGCCCTCCACACACATGAAAATGGAGCAAGGGCAAAAAAATGTAGAATGAAACTCCTATTGCATGAATGTGGTTCAGGTAATTAAGCTTCATGATGATTCTCTTATGTTCATGATATTGCATATTTCAGGCCGGGCACCTGTATCTTATAGGCACCATACCTTTTAAAATAAATCAAACAAATAAGCATATAAATAGCCAACATAACATGAACTAAACTTGTTAAGAACTAAGCAGTAACTATAAACTAAACTAAAATCCTTACAGAAGACTCAATGACAAGGAGCTCTTCTTCTGTAAGTTTCCTCCAAACTCCGCCTACTATGAGATATCCTTTGTCCCCTTGCAATGGCAATTCATTGTTTAATTCACTAAATTCTTCGGTCCCCCTCATCTTCTTAACAGTTGATTTCTCAAGTTGCAGAAGGTCAAATGTGGCATCTCTCTTGGCACCATGTGGGGCCAATTTCCAACTCTCTTTCTTTTCCAATAATTGATCCTGTTCTTCATAGTCAGTAATGTCAACAACGGGAAGACAACCAGATGATACTTGATTTTGTTTTTCATTGTCGAAAATGTCAAGAACCGGAAGACAGCCAGATGACCCGACAGCACGGGGCAACATTCCAATTGGACATGGGTTCCATGATTTTGCCAAGGTCCATGTCTGTGATTTTTTAGTGTCACAATCCATGGCCATTGGTTTTTTATTTTTCAAAATCTGATGTTTAACTAACTCTAGCTTTTTATCTGCTTCATGTATAGATTCCTCATATTGGAAAATGTTATTTGAAGTTAATAAAGAGCTTTGATTATCTGCCTGCTCTAAATTGGACAAACTGACGTGAGAGAACTTTTGAACTTTCTGCATCAAGGAGCTGTCATCCATCAGTTCTGTAATCTGAAGTGCTGAATCCACCAGCTGCTTGTTGAAAAGTTGTGATATTAGAAGACATCTACGAAGAAGTTCAAGCAAAACTCCTTTTGGCATATGTGCTGCAGCAGAAGGAACTTTACTGAGAATTCCAACAAGCCAAGCAAACAAAGAAGAAAGCCGAAACTCTGTCCTCGATTGTGAAATTCCCATATTTGGGTTATCTGCCAAAAGATTAAAAAATTGGCACGCTGTGAGAACAGCAAAGAACAGACGCCCAAACCAACATGAAGGACAAAGAATTTTGAGATAGAATATCTGACTTCATGTTGGCTTAAGGCATAAGCAATATTTAAGGGAACCCGATCATTAAAGCATTCCAATTATAAGTATATTACAAAAGCTCTAGAAAGTATCTGGCATTTAATAAGTAAATGAACAGGCATCAAAGAAGAAAAGCACACAATCCCAAGTACACCAAAACAAACAGATATTAAACTTCAACCAGAAGCTCCACATAATGAAAAGGGATGCTGTATAAGAAAAAAATTGCTACCGACCTTCTTCACGCTTCATATCTTCCTGACTTTCAATCATACCTAGGACTTCCTTAAGAAGATTCAGAAGTAAGTCTGGTTCCTTATTGCACAATTTGAGTAAGATAAGCTTCCAATCAGCCAAAACGTTCTCTGTGGTTAGACCAATTGAAGCATCATCTGCATTCTCTTCCAACTCTGAGGAACTTAAAGCTTTCAAAAGATACTCCAACAACACAGAAACAATCTCTGAAGAAAATGAGGAATATAACCGAAGAACATATTTCAAGATCTTCGTAATCTGTTTCTTAGATCCTGAAAGTATTGTTATTCACAAGTAATTAGTACATGAATTCCCTGAAAAATTAATGAAAACTTAAGTTAATCAACAACAAATTATTTCAGTTTCACATTCACTTATTTTTTAGAGTAAAATAAAAATATCCACAATCTCATATCATATATTAGGAATAACTCATTTAGTTGGGCAAGTCGATACAACATTAAGGAAATCCAACACTTGAGTTTCTTATGAAAGAAAAAGAATCAGTAGTAAAAAAAAATAGAAACATAAAAAGATGAGATAACCAGGAATCCTCCTAAAGCAAAACAACCATGATAGAGAAGGAAAGAACACCCACTCGAACAGATAAACCAATCTCTTTGCATAATCAACCAAGGAACACCCTATCCCTTTTACACACACAAAGGTATACCAAACAAAGAAAACAAATAAGTTTTATTGTATTAAGAAATATGAAAGGTATAATACCTCCAGGTCGTGATGTTTGACTCTTGCCAACCATAAGAGACAAAAGCTTATTTCGTCCAAAAAGGAATTCAGTATGTTTGACCCCTTTAAAAGAGAAAACACACAACACATCAGAATTTTCTAAATACACAAAAGATGGCAAGTTCAAAGATTTAAAAAAAAAAAAAAAAAAAAAAAACTAAGTTTGACTATAGACCAAATATTTTCTATGAAATGAACAAAATAATATCACAAGGTGGTAAGCATATGAAGCCAAAAATGTTCCACTTGTCAGCAAAAATCCACAATTTCCAAAAGAAACTGTATCAAGAAGTAGATGTTTATAAGGTAACACATATTTTTCCATAAGCACAAGTTTCATGCAAGTAAATGAAACACACAAATTTCAACACTAAGTACCTTCCATTGCACATAGAATGGATGGTATTTGACTTCAAACAAACAAATGCAAGACAATTATTAAAACCAAAATATGATGAAAATGAGCAAAGCTTACAGACGTTTTCCCTTTAGCTGTGACTGGACATTCCCATTGACTTTCAAGATGACAGCTAATTCACGAATCTTAGACTTAATTTCTTTCTTCACTTTTGTTATTCCTTCACCTTGAAAAGGAATTGCTTTGCTCTGAGGTTCCCAATAATAAGATTTTAACCAATCAAGTGCCTAAAATTATTAAAAAACACTATATAAGTTTGCCAAGTGGGTTACACATGCTCTGCAGGATGGGAATAACCATACATATTAAGAACTTGGGAAGAAATTGTCCATGTTAAAATAGTTAAATCCACAAAAGAAAGCCAGGATAATTTCAATTTTTCTTTCCAGTTACATTTTAACAAAACTGAAATTTTATTAATATTGAGTGTTCATGTGCAAATTATCAAAAGTCATGTGCAAGAATGTTCCTATTTTCTGTGTATGCTATTGTCACATGTAAGTGCATAGTAAATAATAAATCAGTCCAATTAACATCCTGTAGTTCAAGGTTCAAAATCCTAATTAACAGTACGAGAAAACTATTCAATCATGGATTTATTAAAATAAGATTTAAAATGCAAAAAGAAGTATGCATTGTTCTGAGGGATGATAACTCCAAACCACATAGTAGATTTCAAACATTGAAACATAGCTTTCTAAGATGATAATGTCAAGCTGGCATGTTGAAAGTGATAGAACAATTAGCTAGTTTCTTACTTAGGGTCCTATAAAGTCTAAAAGTATATTTTTCCATGGTCCTGTGACATTAACTGAGTTTAGAGTATAGTTTGCACAACTAATGATTAATGGTTTTGGTTATCCTTTGAATTGCATCATAGTAAAACTAAATAATTAAACAACAATAAAAAAAAAATGCGTAGAGGAGAGGAGGGAAAAGTTAATGTGTGAGAGCAATGAAGGAGATATTGAAAACAGAAAATAATAATTTAATCCATTGCATACATAGCATATATTTCAGTGACTAACATGCATGTACTCTGTCTTTTGAAAACATTACAAGGGCAAGTCAATTTTCTTTCATATTATTCAAAACAATTATGTTACAGACATTGAGAAAGAAAATTCAGCCAATTGCTTCCTGAATGCTAACAATTTAACCCCAACCAAGGACAGTAGCCACCAGTTGTTAAGAATTTAATCACAGAATAACATAGAGATTGTCAAGGCAGATAATCAATCAAATTGAAATGAACTGTAAGTACCTTGACAGAAGCACTACGAACAATCTTAAGTGATGGAAGCTCCCGGTGTGATCCCTCTGCAATTACAGCAATAGACAAAAAGCATGACCTCTAAACACGATGAATCAAACAAATATGTGAAGTTCTTTGACAATTAGACCAGCGTGAAGATCATGTCCCATTCTTTCAGTACAACAAAATCAATAATAAAAAAGGGTAGGAGGAGACTTGTTCACCATGTCGAATATCAATCAGCATCCGCGGAATACCAATTGCATCAGCTGCAACTGCAATCGATGTGACTTCCTTCTTGCGCGTCTTCTCAACAGCAACATTCACAAGCCTTCAAAAGAGAAAATAACTATTCAGAAGAAAGATTCTTATAAAAAGTAACTATTGATGGCAACAAGAAGCATAAAAAAGAAAGGCAGAGTAAGCAGACCTCATGACTGCCATGCAATATAACATAGCAAGCATCTCTTCCGAAAGTGAAGCTTCATTCATTTGATCCTGCCTACAGTTAAATCAAACAAAGTTGCTTAAAGTGTAACTGATACCTAATGTATTATACATATTAGTTTATAATTTGAAACAGAAATGTTAATCAGAAGTACACTAGGAAAGGAGTTAGGGTTACCTGAAATAGGAGTCTTGGAGTTGAATTTCAATGATGGAAGCAGTGACTTCGATGAAAACCGGTATCGAACCTCGGCTTCGCCATGTGGATATCTGAAAAGCAAAGAAGAAAAACATGGTTAGGTTTGCAGTGGCAGTGTCTTGTGAGAAGGAAAATTGAGAAACTTACTCGTTTGAGAGCGGAGGAAACAGAGTGAGAGGAATGGGAGAAGAGCGCCCGTTTGACGAAGAGCCACTCGTCCCAGTTCAACCATGGGACCAATCTTCGTGCGCTTGATGAAGACGGAGACGATTCCGTAACCACGTTGGCCACTTCTTCGAACCCTAATAACAATGGCGGATCCATCTCAGAGGTGGCGGCGAAGTGCTAAGACAGGGCAGCGTTACTTGCACACTTGCAGGGCTTTTTCTTCCCCCTTTTTTTTTTTTTTTCAATCCTAATACTCACCAAGGATTACCCTCACTCCTTGCAACTTATAATAAACATATTTATAAAATAGTTATTTTTAATTATTATTATTATTATTATTTGTTAAATATATTTAATTTATTAACTTGCATCTTTAATTATCAATTAAAATATATTATGAATTATTTTAATTTAAATAATTGGTTATAATTATTTTGTTGGGGGAATATATTTTAAAATAATTAATTTAAAATTTGAAGATAAGTAATAATATAATATTAGGTAATAACAAAATAAAATTGTATTATAAACAACACTAATATTTATATAAACAATTTAATCACGAATACAATTAGATTCACTGATTTATTTATATACTCCGACTACCACAAAATTAAGGTTTCATAAATCTTTTACTCTTTCTCTCTACTAATATAAATATTTTTGTTAATAATTATTTTCACAATAAATATAATTAAAATTTAGTGATTAAAAAACAAAAAAAAGTAAAAAATTAAAAAAAAAAACACTCAATTAAACATAGTTTAAGATAGAAGAGGTTAACGTTAACTACTAATGTTACATATTGAAGATTAAACAAATAAACAATAATAATTTTAGTACTCAATTAAAAATTAAAAACTAAAAATTATAGAGTATAAAGAAACCTATGCCGTAAGAATCTAAGTTAAAAGTTGTTTACTATTACAAAGTAGCATGAGATTATTACTATCGCCTTGAATGCTTATTATGTTTTACTTTCAGACCCTCCATTAGTATTGTGGTAACTAAAGCTCTTGTCTCTAATTTTTTCCAATCCCTACTGCCACAATATATGCAATTCTACTTTACATTAGATGTACAGGTAACATGAAATACATTTATTACAACAAACATATTTTTCTTTATTTGCACACAAAACTAAAGTAATGTTAAAACTTAAACAACAAGAGAAAAAGTTCATCCAAAAGACTAATTTATTTGAAGAGAAAATCTTAAGATTTAAGTAACAGTTAAGATCTTCGTTTATTGATGCAGTAAAATGTTGAAATTTGACTAAAAAGAAGGATATCAGATGTTTTAAGTGCTGGCTTTGACTCGCTTTACTGGGGCTTGAAGGGAATTCAAATAAATGGCATCCTTCTTGTCCAATCCATCAAACAGATAACTAAAAGGTGGCATTTGGATGTATCTCCCAGTACCAGGAGTCACCTTTAGTTCATTATTTTCCCAAACTACTCTTCCTCCTGCAATAGTCACTTCAATTTTTCCCTGGCAAAAAGAGATCCAAAAAAATCCTTTGAATCTTGAAATTGCATAACAAGGCTATAATTGCTTAACAAATTACATTTTGTGTGAACTTTAAGCCAAAGCAAGGAGATTCATGTTGTTCTCAGTTGACTAATCCTTATATGGAGCAGTTTATAGTTAAACCAGTACCTTTCCTCTCCTTCCCTCATACACATTTGTGTCCAATCTAGAGTGATGAGACTTTGCACTTATCTCAAAGCTTGAATTTGGATTGAGGATGATAATATCTGCATCAGATCCTGGCAGAATAGCTCCTTTCTTTGGATATAAATTGAAGATTCTAGCGCTAAATGAACATAGAAATAAAAAAATATCAGTAATTCTTTCAGCTTTTGGCATCTTTACCAAACTGCATCCCAAGAACTGGAAGCTAATATTCACTTTGATTAACTGATAATTTACCATTCCGTGCTTGTTAACCGGACATAATCAGAGGGGGTTATTTGGCCAGACTCCTGTGAGATACAGAAACCATAAGTCCAAGTTAAAAGGTTATCCTCTCCACCATTTTACCCCAACCTGAACCAAAAGGGGATGCTAAGCTGGTGGAATTGGATTGGATATCTTACCACCATGATGTCCCATACCAAATGCATTCTTTCTTCAATACCTACAGATTTTGGTTGCAATGTATACTAGTAAGGAAACATTTCAAATGAGCAAGAATGTATTTTGGCCACAATCATCCAGGACTTTCATGTGATTACCATTGACACCATTAGGAATTTTCCGGAAGTCATCAACTCCACGAGCTTTTTGAGTGGAATTAAAGGCACAATGATCAGTTCCTACAAGCTGCAATTTGTACAAGGAATCATTTGGTAAAAAGAATCTTCGTAAAAATAAGAGTTCAATGCATATATAATACATAGATTAGGAATCATGAAAATTCTAGATTTCATTTCGTAGCTGATACCATCCGAATTAAATGGTTATTGAACCTAAGCCTGAATCATTATGTGAAACCTGCAAAACTCCTGTCGAAAGGGCAGCTTGAAGAGCCCTATCATGTCCTCTTTTCCTAATTGGGGGACTCATTACATACCTGAAACGTGAGAGTGAATACGACTTATGTTCTTAAAATTCAAGCAATATAAGAATAACAGTAAAAGAAACACTGAAACAAGTGAAGGTACTTGCTTTGCTGCAATCTCAAAGTCAGGATGCCAAAGCCAAGACTCATCAAGGCCCAACCCAGAGGCAATAGGTTCTCCGATTACCTTTTGTCCTTCATCACAATAACAAACAGTTGACCTTACTATTACAAAAAACTAAGTTAACAGGAACAACAAAACTTCAAATTATCTTCAACAATCAGAAAACTCTTTTCAGGATAATGTAAGAGAAAGTACATACAAGGAGAGGATAAGTACTACTCCAAATAAGAAAAGTACAAAACAAAGAGATAGGGCTAAAAAGCAGTAAGACAATCCAGCCTCCCTATATCAAAAATGGAATGTTACTTAGGAAGCTCTTGTATGTTGAGTACAGAAGATACTGAAAAAAGGGTACATAAGGAACCTAAACAATATCCCCCCTCAATCACACAAGACAACAATCAGAATGAATTCTCACACTCTCAATTACGTTCAAGCGATTTGAGTTGTCCTGAGTTTCTACATTTAATGATACAGTAGGGATAACAGTATAAATACGAGAGTGGAATTATAAATAGCTCTCAAGTTAACCAATTTATGGATGTTATCAATTCAAGTTAAATGTCTTCTTTTTGCATTTCTTTCTCCCCAAAATAGATTGTTGAAGTATTGGTTTTTCTACAAAAAAGATTTCTTATTTTTATATGGCATCATCTCTGCTACTCTCTCTTAACGAATGCATACATGAATAAAAATTGAGACCAACACTAAATGGATTAAATAACCTGATTTCCGGGCTTTTTCAATTTCTTCCATTGCATCAATGCTCATTACATGAACCACATATAAAGGAGTATTCACAAAATCTGCTAAACGAATGGCACGAGCAGTTGCCTCTCCTTCCAACTATACAGATTAAAAAAGTCCAATGGGGGAATGTCCCATATGATCAATATGAGAAATATAGGAAATTACAAATAATCAATATAATCAAATACCAACTAATGTGGTTGATCAAAACAGATGCGAACTGAAACAAATGTCAAACTACTGTGGATATTATAAGTATGCCCAAATTTTTCCACCAGCATGAAAATTGTGTATGTTATAGTTTGGTAAGACAATAAAGAAGATACAAAGAAACAAGGCTTGCCAACATTAGCATTCCATTACTCAGTAAATTCATTATTCATTAAAAAGAACAAATCTGAGAATTTACCATTGCGGGCCTTGAAAGAGCATGCCCTTCAGGACCAGTTATTCCAAGTTCTATCATTTTCTCTTGCCCTTCATACACAGCATCTCCATTTTCCGCATGGACCATGGCTAAGGCTCCTAGAGACTTGCATTTTTTTAATCCTTCCAGAAGAAGCTCATCATTGATCATAAAAATTCCTTTGTATGCCATGAAAAACTTGAAAGAGTTGATACCTGGAATTGTAGAACAAATATGTACTACCCGGAATAAATTCTTCATGACTCACCCAAAGGGTCACTAGTACCACCTAATCAAACGAATTATCAATAGGCCGAAAGGAAATAATAAATCACAACCTTTCTCCTTGACCATCAGCTCCATTTCTTTCGAAACAGTTTCATCCCATTTGGTAATAACCATATGAAAACCATAATCCATGCAAGACTTCTTTGCCTTCTTTTCATAGTCCTCAAAACCAGCTGTTAAACTACCATTAAGTGGTATTACGAAGTCAATGTGCATTGTTGTCCCACCAGCCAATGCTGCAGCCTGACCACTGAAGAAGTCATCAACCGTTGCAGTAAATCCAACATCCATATCTAGATGGGTGTGAGGATCAATGCCCCCTGGTCAATTAACAAAAGGAGCATTCATAGCGACTATTAAGCTAATAATAATAATAATTTAATTTTCATGTTCCTTTTACATTGTCAACCAATTATAAATCATCTCACGAGTTACTTCTAAACTTATAAAAACCATCAAACTTATCATACATGACAACTGGTTGTCCTCCCCCACTTATATATATATATATATATATATATATATATATATATATATATATATATATATATATATTATTTTGATCATATCACTGATTAATGTCGGATGTCTCCATCACACAGCTCTTACAATGAAGGCTGAACATCACAAGTATGAACTTTACAATACTAGACATGTACGAGTGATTCAATAACGACTCAACAACATGGTGTTCGATAGTTCCAGTAAATAAAACAATTAAGATAGACTTTAAAAGTCTTAGAAGCTATCCATGCATTGTAATTCTGATTCTGTTTGGATATAAGCTAGAAGAGATTTTGAGATCTTCTCTACAGAAAAAAAAAATTATATTTTCAACAAAGAAACTTTCAAAAACTTGAACTTGTATCCAAACATGTCCTTGATCTAACAATAATAGGAGATGAAACATAGTTGTATAGGTTGAAACCTGGCATGACATATTTGCCAAGAGCATCTATGACAGTGACGTCATCTCCAACCTGGTAATGGAACCGAATCATACATTAGAAAATAGCAAAAGCCCAAGCTGTTAGAAAGCAGGTTAAGCACTGATACTGCTATAAAGTTTCATCAAATACCCTAATATTTGGATTAACTGCAACAATGACACCATCTTCCACGTAAACATCAGCAATCTGTTGGTGATGAGCGTTCACAACCGTGCCTCCCTTGACCAACAACTTGGAAGATGGAATTTCAGTTCCAGCATCACAAATCTAAACCATTCGAAAAAGTGAAACACGAATTAGTGGAAATGAAAATCTAAGCTAATGATCGTAGATAGTTGAAACACCTGATAATCGAAGTTTTAACTCTTTGGTCAAGGCAAAAGAGAAAGCGGAAAATGAAAAGATGAAAAAAGAAGAGAGTAAGATAGAGAAGCGAACCTGGTTGGATTGTGAAAGTGAAGAGGTAATGATGGTGAAGAAGGTAAGAAAGAATATGGGAAGGAATTGTGATGAGATGAATCCCATACTCTGTACACTCACCGTTCCGACCAGACACACTCGAGAGTCGGAGTTGCTATCTCAATCAATGCTGGAAAATGCAGTTTGAGCTTAGGAACACTTCGGTAAAGAAAAGTGATTTCTTATGGTACGGTATTAAAAATTATATAAAAACGCATTAAAAATGTTACAAATTTATTTAAGCATCTCGATTAAAAAAAACACTTAATTCTATATTTTATTTCTCCATTATTACCATTAAAATATATTACTTAAGTTTGTTTATTCGCATTTATCATTAGAGTTTCTAATTTCTGCAAACTTTATCAATTTGTTCAATTTTAACAAAATAATAATAATATATCAAAATAAATAAAAAAATTTAAAAATGTTATTTTATAACCAAACAACAACATTTTAACTTGTTTTTATTTTAAAATTGTCATCACCTTATTACTCTGAAAGAAATTTAAACAAATAAAAAAAGTTTGTAAAAATTGAATATTAATGAAAATACCCTTAAAAAAGATAAAAATTGTGAAATACTAATAATAAAACATGAAATTAAGCTAAAAAGTAATTTTATTCCTTAACAAATATTTTGAAGTAACTTGTTAATATTTGTGAGAAGTTTTTTTATTAAAAAAATGATCATATGAAAACTGATACATTAAAAAATAACTAAATGAATTAATAAAATATTATATAATACTATTATATCAACGTATATATAATAGATATTTGGATTTTGACGTAGATATTTTTTATTTTATTTTATCCATAACAGACGTCTATTTTTAAAATGAATTTTTTTTCACCAATAAAAATGTTTTATTTTTCATTTTATGCTTTTGTGTAGTGTATTTAAAAATTTAGGTATTTAACATAATTTGTACATACATATCGATATGATTTTTGTATTCAAATGTTCAAAGGTGGTAGGTACAACGTATAAGTGATATATTATAAAAGAAGATTTGATAGATACAGGTCCTTAAGTTCAGGATTAAATAATGTTTTAGTATAAAATAATTTAGTGATTATCTTTTAGATAACAGAGAAGTTGTTTTTAAAAAATACAAAATAATTGATTTTAAGAGAATTCGTTTACATAGTTTTGTTTTATAATTAATTTAGCACAAAATACCAAAAAGTAAAATATGTTTATTGTAATAATAATAATAATAATAATAATATGTAATTTTTATTTTGATGTTATATTTTTTCACTAATAATGTAGTGTACATTGCTTCTTCTCTAAAACTCTCAAACAAAAAAATAAAATATTTTACAATATTTTACACAGTGCTACTACGAGAGAGTTGCTGATGAAGATTTTGTTAAACTGGTCTCATCTGCATGCGTGTTTTACAAGTCATGGATCCTGATGCTGTAATGGAGTGTCATTGATTTGAAAATCAAGGAATGGCTATTGTAGGCCTAATGCAACAATTTATGTAGGTAATGATCCTTTTCTTTCTCTGCATAATAATTAATCACCAACACAAATGAATTATAGATTGTATTACTTAGCATGAAATTTGAAGAAACACGTATAATTTTGTGAGTGAAAGGAACTAAACAGAGAAAATGATCTCACCAGGACGATAGGATCTTCAAGGGCATAAGCATCTTTGCAAGGAGCTTGACCATGATTGGTATTAGCTCCAAAACTTTTATATTTGATTTTATTAGGGTTCATTTTTTTATGCTTTTTATTTTCACGAGCTTGGGTGAACACCATTGAATAGTCCATAGCTCCTGCTGCATCATCTTGGTCCCACCCTCCAAACTTAGGCACAGACATCATACTATGATTTTTCTGCATAAAAATACTGTATTCAATACACCAGATGGAACAACAAACTAATCACACAATACATCACAAAGTTTATTTTCATATGCCATATATTTGATTTGATTCTTAATTGCTATCATGGTTGAAAACTTCATCTAGATTTTAAACTTAGAACTACCTCATTTCTTTCCATGGCCGAATGGAAAGGTGAGGGGACCCTAGGAATGTGGAGCTACGACTATTGTAGAAATTAAGCTCTCTGTTTCTACTACTTTTACAAGATAAAACCAGAAGGTGTCTAAATGTTCTAGTCATGGGGTGTCTAAATGTTTTAACAATGAAAAACTATGATAAAAATATCAAGTTTGAAGGAGAGGATCAACAAAATTTGCGTCTTGGTTGATATGATATCTTGTGATTAGAGTTAAATTAGGACAAAAAAATGTGGCTGCCCTCTTATTGCTTTTCTTCTGTTATCAGAGTTTGAAAATTAGAATATTAGTTAAATTTAGGAGAAATATGATACTTGTTTCGTTTCATGTTAAAAGACATTTGTATACAGTTTTTTCAATGGAGAGATTAAGTTCTCAAAAATGAAAACAAAATAACAAACTGCAAAGCTATATTCTGGTATGTGCTTCATTTAAGTGTACCAATATTTTGGTTTGTATAAAAAAAATTCATACATTTTTTTTTGTTTATAACCAAAGATTTTGTACTTGCATTTTTTTTAGTTGAACAAAACTTCATAATACAACATATTTAATTAAAACTAAACTAAATAAATATATTAACATGTACCATATTGAATGAATATAATTTTTTTTACTCAAATATAATTTTTATTAATTTTTTCTTTTAAATATATTATTTATGAAAGTGATTTCTAAGTTATACATTATAAATCATTTTCTTAAATACGATTTACCTATATATTAATTTTACTCGTTTAGATAATTAAAAAAAAAACAAATTATTAAAAAAAATCCAGAGTAAATAATCGTTTAATAACAACAATATAAATACCTAGTCCAACCAAAAGAAAATAAAATATCTGCAGTAGGTTTATCCTTCTTCTTTCTCTCGTTCGCTCTCGAATTTTCCCTCACGTTCCGTGCTTCCAAACAGCGTCGATGGCGGCGATCAGTCTCCGGAAGGGGAACACGCGGCTGCCGCCGGAGGTCAACCGCGTGCTGTACGTGCGCAATCTTCCCTTCAACATAACGAGCGAGGAAATGTACGACATCTTCGGCAAATACGGCGCGATTCGCCAGATCCGCATCGGCACCAACAAGGACACGCGCGGAACGGCCTTCGTTGTGTACGAGGACATCTACGACGCTAAAACCGCCGTCGATCACTTATCGGGCTTCAATGTCGCGAATCGCTACCTTATCGTGCTGTATTATCAGCAAGCGAAGATGAGCAAGAAGTTCGATCAGAAGAAGAAGGAAGACGAGATTGCGCGCATGCAGGAGAAGTACGGCGTCTCCACCAAAGATAAGTAAATAGTTTGTTGACGCAAAAGCCTAGGGTTGTTAGTTAGGGTTTTGGAGGATGTGTTGGTGGTTTAATTGTATTGTTATTGGAGTGAGTGCAAGTGACTGTTAATGTTTACGATGAAATTATATGAATGTTATTGTGAGAATGAAATGAAATATAAATTCATCGGAAATGCTTCCGGTTGTTAGTTATGGTTTACGATAAACGTGCTCTGTATGTGCATCTATCGTGTAGTTGTATCGTTGTTCGAGTAATTGTGGATGATTAAGTTGCTATTTAGTATATAAACGGTTAACTTAAATCGCGATGGTGATTTTTCAAGCGTGATTCGGACTTTGAGTGAATTTCACTTTGCGCCGTATTGTAGTGAATTGAATCGACGTTAATTTCCTTCGTTTTACACTTGGTTCTCGATATGCAGCTGAGTTCAGCATTAGTTTCAGGAGTGGAAGGGTTATGTAAGCTTTATTCTTTCTGTCCGCGTGCGAGATTTAGCGAGGAAGAGGGCATGAAATGTTAATTTCTTTTTGTATTTTTTGAGAGTTTGAAGTGCGGAACTCAAACATTGTTGCTCCCTGCTTTTTGAAGGACTTCTCTTTTCTCTTTTATAAATTTAAGATTTTTTGTGTTGTGTTTGCCATGCATTGAACAAGAATCCATTAAATTTGTTTCTGCAAGTTGTACGAGGTTCCTTGAGGGTTTCCTTTTGTTTTCCCAATCTCAATTCACTTGGTTTGCAATTTGCATCTGATGAGCTTTGATGTGCCTATTGTCTTAATCCTTGATTCCGCACGTTATATGTTTGCTAATAATGTCCGAACCATGGTTCTTGGTCCTGCATGTTAGAGCTCATCCCAATTTGTTTATGATTTGGTGCATTTTGTCCCCCTATTTGTTGATCACCTTGTGTCCCTTTGTGGTGAAGAAATAGTTTGATGGATGATTTGTTCACGAGTGCAACTTCTATACCATAATGAAAACCTGTTCAGTCTTAATACTCTTTTGTTTTGTGCTTTCATATTACCATGCTTTATTCATGAAGTTGTGTCATTCTGTCGGACTACAATCACTGGCATTTGGGCCATATGGTAGTGTGAATGCTGAATAAAGCTCCTGGTTCAATTTTAGAGACATTAACAAATGCCATGCTTTGTGTCAAGTTTAACAGTTTTTGTATAGCTCAGTGCAAAATGATTCGATATTGCCTTGTGTTCATGCATCTTCATTCAATGTCTTAAGGACATATCTATGCTCTCACTGTTTTCTAGCAATTTTTGGAAACAAGATGGGTTTTAAATGGACCCGTTAATCAAAAGAAAATTTTCAAACCAGAAGGGTACTCAAATCTGGTGTTTGTGAAGAATTGCCTTGGGTTCAATGTAGTGATTCCTATTACCCTGTTGTCTCTTCTATTATATTACTCATCTCAGGATTATACTTAAAAGATTCATGTCTTTGAAATCATAATGGAGGCAAAAATTACCAAATTAAGGTGGCCTTGAATTGTCCTATTTTAATTAGAACTCACTGATCATGTAATAAGAGCCATGGACATTTTTGTGCGTTGAACTCTACAATGTATTGTAGATTACTGCTAATTTCTTTGATATTAAATCTGATTCTCAAAATATAGCTGAATTCAGCATTCATTTCAAGAGTGGATACCTTATAATGCTTCTGACTGGTTTGATTAAAAGGGTATTCAAATACATAATTTTATCTTAACAATGAATGTGTTTGAACCTGGCGTTGAAAAGGAATCAATACATAATTTAAAATCCTTTTGATTTGATTCCTAAGTGAGAAGCAATTACAATGCAAGATTTGTTACAAATTTTCACAGGAAAGAAAAAACCAAAACCAATCAACCCTAGCATATATATATATATATATGTTCACATTTCTCAAGGGTTGATTCAAGTTCTTTTCCCTCTCGGATTTTGTTTGTTTTCCAACTTGACCCATTCCCCTTGTATATCGCCCCCAGTTCCAACCAAACAGCTACCATGCCCAACAACACTCCTTGATACTTCATTCGTCAGCATCTGCACCAGCCAAAGAGACGATGGTGCCTGTTAAATATCTGTATAGTCCCCTTCAACTAATATAAGGTCGAATCACGCCTCTTCTTGGTATTAACTTCTATGTTTCCTTTGTTCATCATTGCAGCAAACTCATCATAGTTAATCCGGCCATCCTACACAAACAGATGTTTATCGTGAATTTTCTTAATCATGATTCAGATATGTTGCATGTAAAGGAGTATGCTAGTTGTTAACTACAAATGTGTTTGAAAGATTTGTATTGGAACTACAGAATTGCTATTAACATTCTTTTGAACTCACATTTATAGATTGGAATTTATTAGAAACCACATAATTTTGTGTCTCAGTTTTTATATAAAGTTATATCTATGATTTTGAATTTGTGGTGTGTATATTTAATTCATTCAGTAAAGGACTTACATTATCTGCATCAATTTCTGAAATTATCTCCTTGATGTCCCTGCCATCGTGCATGTTAAATTCATGGAGAGCCTGTTCTAGTTCTTCAATTGTAATGTACCTGATTTGACAAAGCAATGAGATTAGAACGTTTACCACCAATCAATTTCTCAAGGGATGACCGATACATATTGAAGTCTTAATATTTTTTGTCCTTACCCGCTGTTATCTTTATCAAAGTATTGGAAGGCAGTATAAAGATGATCTTCTTTGTTCATTCGGTTCATGTGCATTGTTGCTGTGATGAATTCATCGTAATCTATGGTTCCATTGCCATCAGCATCTGCCTGTTATTATACAGAAGATAAAAGTAGTCTAAGCAACGGCACTAGAGAAATGACTGCTGCTGGGAAGAACTTATTTTCTGATGCAGTATTTTGAAAGGAGGGAGGGAGAACTTACGGCTTCCATTAATTGCTCAACTTCTTGTTCTGTTAGCTTGGTCCCTTGTTTTGCAAGCCCTTGTTTGAGCTCTTCAATTGTAATGGTGCCACTGTTGTCAGTGTCCATCCCCCTGAACATCTGCTTCAATCCCATGATTTCTTCTTCTGATAGGCAGCCCGCGATGACCTATATTCATTATATGTGAATCAGTACAACATACGGGCTAAAAAGGAAATTCGTGATACATTTTTTCATAGACAAACCATAGGCATTGGTACGATTTCCAAAATTGGATTGTCAGAGTTCCAGTCTTATATTCTTGAACTGTGAATTAAAGTTGCACCTTTTTATCTCCATTTTTTTTATAGTTTTTTTACCTGTATATCAGGCTAAGTGGTGTGTTTTTACCATCTGTAACTAAATCATTGATGTGACTTACTAACAAAGAATGGCGAGAAAGCCAAAATAGAATTACCCTTAGAGCAACTTTCTTGAATTCGTTCATTGCCCTGAACTGTTTGAGCTTATTCAGTACTGCGTTGTCAAGAGGTGTATCTGGTGCTTCTCCATCCTCCTTGATCCATGGATGATCTGTTTTTCGCATAAGAAGTGCTTTATTAGAATTGCATTGAACCAAGTAAATTTAATTTGTAAATCATTAATTCGTCATTGAATTCGAGGTTTTCACAGCAAGGAAGCCAGTGTTGCACTTACTCAGAACCTCGTATGCTGTCAGCCTCTGTCTGGGGTCCGAATTCAACATTTTCCTTACAAGATCTTTTGCTGCAGGCGAAATGGATGGCCATGGATCGCTTGTAAAGTCAATATGGCCTCGTAGGATAGCATTGAATATTCCATTTTCGGATTCTATCAAAAGCACGTTTTAGTTTCAGTGTCAAGTTGTGCATATATACGATGATTTTATTGGAATTATATTTTGTTATATAGAGGTAGGCTTTAAGATTGAGTGAGCAAAAACAACCTGCCCAAAATGGAGGAACACCGGATAGAAGAATGTATAACATGACACCAATACTCCAAATGTCAACTTCTGGACCATATTTCCTTTTCAAGACCTCAGGTGCAATGTAATACGCACTTCCAACAATGATCTTAAACACCTCTCCTGTCAAAAAGGGATGAATTCCATGTTAAACTATGCTGCATTTGAATTCGAAGATTGCTGTATCATCCTAAAATTACTCAAACTAAGCAGCAAGAAACTTTCCCTAGAGAAATTGTGGTTTTAAATTACAGTAATGATTATGGTTTTATCACTATTCTTAATATTACAAGAAATTACAAATAAATGTGACTGATGATATCTCAGAGATCCCAAAAACTTTTGTTACAAAGGTCAGATGCATGATGGATTTTAAGAAATTCTAAAAGACAAATACGCCATGCATATGTTCTTCATCAAATTGAATTATCTGTCATTATAGTTAATTAAATCAGACATAATAACAAACTAACATTGGAAGAAAACCAGAAGAGCGAAAGATGAGATCACTATTCACCTTGTTTGTAAAAAACTGAGAGACCGAAATCGGTGGCCTTGAGAGGTGCATTTTCATCCTTGCTCAACAGAAGGAAATTCTCAGGCTTAAGATCTCTATGAATGACCCCCATGGAATGGCATGTGTGAACAATCTGCACTATGGTTCTCATCAAGGAAGCTGCAGCACGTTCAGTGTAATGTCCCTTGGCAATGATGCGATCAAAGAGCTCACCCCCAGCACACAACTCCATCACCAGATGAACAGAATGCTTGTCCTCAAACACATTGACGAGCTCCACAATGTTAGGCTGCCCTGAGAGATGGTGCATGATTTGCACCTCCCTCTTCACATCCTCTATGTCCTCCTTGTTTACCAGCTTTCTCTTGGCAATGGTTTTGCATGCATATTGCTTACCTGTGCTCTTGTGTGTGCACAAATGTGTGACACCAAACTGCCCTCTCCCAAGCTCTTTCCCCATGCTGTAAGTTTGTCTCACATCCTCCATTGGCCTTCCAAGCACAGGACCAATAGGAGCCGGTTTGGAGTGCTTGGGAGGAGGATGGTTAGGCTTAGAAGGTGGTGTGGTGGTTGCACCTCCACCTTCATTTCCGTTCAGTTGGTTGGTTTCTCCCTTGAAGTCAGATTCATTGGTGCCACCTGAGCAACAGTTGCCCATGGTGGAATTGAAGGGAGAACGGGAAAAGGGATTGAGGAGCAGGAAAGGGGATAGGTAGATAGATATAGGTCAAGGTGGTGTGGTTTGAGGGCTCAACTATTGTTCTTGTAATTGTTTTCTAAGAGAAGGTGGTAGCATGAGGAAACTGTCTGTTTTTTGGAAAGAGAAAAAAAATTGTCTAAAAAAAAGGTATGTGGAAATTTGAAAGGATGTTAAAAGGGGTGTTGAAGAGAATTTGAGGGAGGAAATTAAGAGTCTTTGGCGTTTCTCTTGTTTTGGAAGGGTATGGTTTTATTCAGACAATGGTGGGGAGGAGTTTTCGCAAAGAGGATTAAAAATGGATTTTGGTCTGTTACACAGGTCAAAACATCTTGAACAACCAACTCTGTTTATTCTTTTTCCTTTTCCAAGTCTTAACATTAGTTCATACAACTATGCCACTCAGTCATTCTGTTTTTTTCTACTCTCATTTTACAACAGTTTTTACAGATAAATCATGTGGACAGTAAATAAATAAATAAATAAATGCGCTTAGTGAAGTGAGAATAATTTAACAAATATCATTACCCCCCCACTCTGATTAATTTAATCTTACATTAGAAAAACAAAATAAACTCATGCTGTAATGTCATATAATATGTTTTTGTCCTGCCGTGGCATATGTATTATTTTTTCAAGTTTCTAATTAAAATCATATTAAAACTTGACCACCTGAAGTTAAATATCTTTATCTCTTAACATAATGAAATTAGTCATCCACATAAAAAAGATGCATGAATTTTGTATTCTATTTTCTCGTATATTTTTTTACTACAAGTTTTATTTTTACTAAAAAGGGATAATCTTTTTGTTTAGACTATCTAAATTTTTGTTACTATTAAATACACATAAATAGACAAAATTATATATAATAATTGAGTTCATCCATGATTTTTAAACATTACCAAACAAATAATCAAGAGAAGAAACCCTTAACATACCTATGATTCCATCTCCTGTCAAGAATAGAGAGGGTCATAGAGTATTATTGAAAGGCAATTAAACATACAAATAATTATTGGAAAAAAAGATAATTTAAATTATTCTAACAATATGTAACCTTAAATATTGAAAAGGAGCCTTTAGCTCTTGATCCAAAATAAAATATACATGTTCATACTAAGAGAATTCCAATTTCTAATGTAAGATGGACATCCCACAAAATCTTGATCTCATGTGAAAGATGGAAAATTGCTTATATGAAAGGAGGGAAAAGCAAAGAACTACATTGATGGTAGAATAATGTAAATCAATATGTGGGGACTGATGGGTCAACCTGAACAGCATAGGCATGGATTCCCCCAGAGAGATTGTATACTTTCCTAAAACCCTGAAAAGTTCACAATCAACAATTCCTTCATACATGTAATTAAAAAATTGGAAATCACACGGAAAACAACAAGTGACATTTTAAAAATCATTATGATCTTATTTTAACAGTTTGCTCACTAATTTAATGAGGAGTGCTGATAACACAAACTCTAATGCACTCATAACTATTCATTAAAGTTTATTTGAAATTACAAAATCATGAGTGAGACTGATTAAATAAGAAAACAGACTCAAAATTTTGTGGGTTTTAGTAAATTTCATCCGATGGTAAATAGTGTGTTTAAATGAGTATTAGAAAATGGGTAGCTAGTGTTAAGTACAAAAAAAATTACATAGAGTGAAAGTTAGAATTAACTCCTAAATGGGTCAAATCCACTTTCCTAAAAAAGTGTTTATCTTGCGAGCAACTGATGGAGGTTACATGTCTAAAAATCATACAATCAGAGAGTATAGAATGAATTCTGTGCATGGGTTGCGAGTTACACTGTGATATCAGTGAATAAACAGATGATGAACCAAAATCAAACATACACTCTATTGCACATAAAGGCATGACAAAAAGGGAAAAATCATTTTACCTGTGACTGCAACCACTTGGCAACCTGTAATGACCGCATGCCATGATGACACTGTATTTAGAAGTCAAGTTATTGAACATAGTCAGCACACAAAAAAGAGCAATGCCAAACCAAGTTAACTGAGCAGTCAATCAGACTACAAAACTAAACAGTAAACTACAAAGTCTGAGGAAGGATGAATGAATACAAAGTTAAAAGTTAGTCCTAATTATCTCCAATGAAAGGCCTCTAAAAACCAAACTTAGACTGCGAAAGCAATGAACCTGTTCAAAGAATTCCAGTTTCAATTTTTATCAACTTACAACCTCCAAACCATTTAAGGAGGAACAGGAGACTAGCAACATCAACAGTTCAGAGAAGAACAATTCTCAAGCCGCGTAAGAAACAGTAATAGTTAGGACTAAAGATCTAGTTTCCTGGATACAATCCAATAGAAATAACATCTTTTGGAAGAACTTCACTTACCATAACATATGTATCCTTTTGAGGGTCAAATTTGGTAGTTATTTCAGGCCCCCAGTCTCCAAATTGTCGGAGGGGAAGAACAGTAAATCCTGGCAAAGATGCTTTGGCCCTGTGCATAATGAGAATGGCATTTAAATTAAGAAAAACCAAACCAGCAACTAGAGCAAACACAAGCAAGATAGGAGGATGATTCCAAAATACTACATTAAATGATATCCATGCAGTAAAACAAAAGTAGACCCCCCTGTTCCCTTCTAGATGTCAAAAGAGTATTAATGTTGAAATGCTACCAAAATATTTTATCTTTTTCACAAATTTATGACCACTCACTTGGTCTCAATACTAATTTCGATGATTTCAAAATAAATTAAAGTTGAACAAAATCAACACATACACTTCTTCAGGCTCTCGAACGTCAATTAACTGTGCCTCCTCCAAAAAACTAGGATCTTGAATTTTCCCATGCAGTACATTAGGTTGAATGTCTTGAAGAATTGATTCTTCCCTGACAGTTAACAGAGAAAATTTACAAGGCATAAGAACACTCATTGGAACTAAAAACAACAATCTCCAAGCGTCATCCCGCTAAGCGATGTTGACTCATTGGATCAAACATCACCATTAGGCTCTATCAAAAGCCAAACCTTTAATAAATTTTCATTGAAATTAAAAACATCTAATCATCCAATTTAAAAGCATAAGCCTGTAAATACCTTTCAGATAATACCTGCAGCAGGTGCCATCCAAATTTGGTTTTGCACCTTACAACTTTGTTTAAAGGTGCACTGAAGGCAGCCTCCTCAAATTCAGGGACCTATCACATTTTCACCATCAGACACAAATTTGAAATCAGATACTTGTACTATTGACGCAAATTAATGGAAAGAAACCATAACCATAACCCTAAATTATATTCAGTTCACCCCTCTATCACCTACCCAAAGATAGTTTATAGGAATTATATCTGTATCCTTTCCTTTAACAGTACACAAAGCAGTGATGAATATCAACTGAAACCGCTTTCCAACAAAGCACAAAAGGTTGCAAATTCAGGGAACCCTAAAATCAAAATTTAATCCAATCTAAAAAGCATACCATTTGTCCCTTCCTGACCCATCCAAGCATTCCGCCTTCTTCTTTGGATGGGCAAATTGAATGTTCCACCGCAAGATCACTCAAATCTTCACCTGAACATAGAAACTAAGCCTTAGACGGTTAAATAAACGGGAAATAAACACCTTGCAAAACATAACATTGGTAGGAGAGAAGAATTGAATTCCCTCAGCGTCGTTAACCTGAAGAGATTCTTTGCTGAAGATCCAACAGAAGCTTCTGGTCATCCTCTTTGACCAACAAATGCTGCACCAACAGTTCCCTCGGTCTACCACCTTCAGCCTCACTACTCCCAGTGCCATAGGAAGCTGAAAAATTAGATTTTTTTCATGAAAAGTTAGATATTTCCATGAAAAAAAAATAGATTTTTTCTAAGAAACTTGTTCACCATATTACAAGAAAGTGTTGGCAAGTATCCAAATGTTATCAGACACAAAATTAAGGGGAAAAAGTTATTGGGTTTGAGAAGAACGAGTACCTGCTGCTTTGGGAGGCATGAGGGATAGAAAGGGTGAAAGAGGAAGTGAAGGTGGGTGGAAACGGAAGGTTCTGGAAAAAGAGGTGTGTGAGTGAGTGGGAATGTGGTGGGAAAGGGATGATAAGAAGATTGAGGGACGGAGGGAAGGTTTTGGAGTTGACACTCCCACTCTTAGCTGACAAACTGATCTCAACATTGACATTTTTTTTCTTTGCTTGCCCAACTCACACTGCACTTCAAACTTCACTCTACACACAACTTGTTCGTTCTCAATCTCAACACCTTCTAATTTCTAGATGTCACCTCTCCAAGTAAACTCACATATATTTACAAATTAAATAAATTTAACTATTTACAAAATACTAATGCATTAAATAAGTTTTATTTATTATAGCTATTAAATATGATATAATTAATATTACTCACATGTATTTAAGAATAATAACAGTCATTCTTTATATTTATTACATATTTAACAGATTCAAATTATTTAAAACTTGAATGACCTTAATTATTGTTCAAAAATATATTAAAAATAATTTGCCCTATTTCATAATGTCTCAATTAAATTATATGTTACTAGTTATGGCTATAAAATCTTATCGAATCGTTTCATTTCATTTGATTTCTCATTTTGAAAGTAAGGTTAATTTTAGAATTTGAATCATTAGTATTCTCAAAAAATAAAATTTTTCCTCCTTTATTTTCCTTTTCTATTAAGATATTTAGAAACCGTTTGAATTTTTTACTGAAAACTTTTAAAATTAGAAAAATAAAAAATTAAAATTGTTTTTTTTTCTCTTAAAATCAAAAAATGAAAATCAAATTTTTAAATAACTAGAAAAAGGCCATTCTTGGTGGAGTTTAATTTAAATACTTTTTTTTTCCTTAATTACAGATAAAACTCGAAAACAGACGATATTACATCATAATATCATAAAATCGAAAAATTTATATTAAAACAGATATCAAGACATATTTATCCTGTAACACGTAATATCTCTAATTTTAATATTTTTTTATATAAAATTAGGATATTAAATTATGTTATCATCAAAGGAATTTGACTCATTATTTTTATTGATTTAATTATTTTTTTATTTTATTAACTTATATATTCAATTTCTCTTATATTTTAATCTAAAATTTAAGTTACAATCATATTTTTTTATAAAGAGATTCATAAATTTCATCAGTAAAGACTTTATTAAGTCAACTACATCATTAAGTTAAGAATACTATCATCATGAAAATTAAAATAACTATAATGATTTTATTCTATAATCGTTCTAAAAATATCATAATAACGAAAAAAATATAGCTAATTTTAGAATTTATCACAAGAAAAATCACTAGTGTTTTCTAATAAATAAATGAAAATAGATAATTAAAAAAATTGAAAATTATTTGAAAATACGATCATATTGCGTCCTTAAGAATGTGTCAAAATTGTATATTCAATAATTGCTTTAAAAAAAGAAGAAAAAAGTTTTTTTTCTTCAATTAGGAAAAAATTAATAAAATTTAAAAACTATATAAGTGTTAACAAAACCAATTAATAAGGGGAAAAAGGAAAATTAAAAAAAATATGTATTACTTTACCATGTAAGTTGAACAAAAAAAAAAGTGAATAACCAATGCTAATTAACAATGTCTAAGACATAGGTTACATTAACCATTAAATATAGCATATAATTAACTTAAATTTAATGTGAAACTTTAATTTATAAAATAATTTGTGTTATCCATAAATAATATATTATTAAAATATTATTTGTTAATATAAAATATTAATGTATTTATTGTGATTACGCATATGCATAATCACCTTAATAAAGAGTATACAATAACATTTTTAATAAATAATTAAATAACATAAAAATTACATTAACAAAACTCTCTCTGTCTATATACATTACAAAATATTCTATATAATTCCGAATTATATATTCGTATACTTTTTATTTGTTATTAAAATACATAATTCGAAATTATTTTAATGCTCTTCAGATAACATTTAAAAAAAAACTCGTGAATGATTTGAAAATCGTATTTTTATCACATATTTCTAAGGTGTTAGAATGAAAAAAAATTAGAAAAAAATCCTTATCATCTTTCACAATTTTTAGAAAATTTAAATATATTTAAATTAAACTATTTTCCTTCCAAAATGTTTAATTTTTAAAATATTTTATTTAAATAAGATAATTTAAATTTATTAATTTAATTACTACTAAATATAAAATTTATTTTAATATTTAGTAATTAAAAATAATAATTATTGAGTCAACCACCTGATGGAGACCAGCTTAATAAAAAAATTACTTTTCATATGAATTAAATAATTAAATTACTCTCATAAATTTATAATATTTTAAGTTTATTTATCTATATAGAATATTTTGATATAAAATATTTTTTTTATAAAAATAAATTACCCTTAAAAAAAATTTCATCCATTCATAAGTAATTTATCATTGGATAAATCAACGAATTACATCAATGGGAAATGAAAATTATAGTTTAAATAAAATTAAGCATTGTGATTAGGTAATTAATAGTATTAGTATATAGTATTTTTCCTTTTACTTATATTTTTCTGTATATTATTTAAATATTCTCAGGGTAATTAAGTTCCGGTGATTATTCCTCAAAAGTAAGTTCTACTACGTAGAATTTTGAAAAGAAAATAAAAAATGTTAGTCCTTTCTACCAAATTGTATATACATAATCACTAATGTACTTAGTGGTCAAGAACATGTTGGATATTTTCTTAGCACATCCAAATTGTCCAATATCGTTTCCTTGGTCAATAAAATTACTTTTATTCTCTATTTACATTTTTTTTTCTTAGCTTACACAAAAATTGAAGTTGGGACCTCTTCTATTCTATCGATGGTATAGATCTTCCTTTCTCGCTTGAGCTTAGCTCATTCAAAATGATTAACAACAACTACTACAAGAACAACAGATTCTTTTTCCTTATAGCCATCACTGAAAAATGGGCCTGAATTAGTGCCTTCTGGTGTTTTACTGTCTTCAAAAACTCATTCTAGCCTATCTAGGTGGAAGCTGAGAAGGAAGCACTTGAGAAACCATTTGAAGGGGTCCATGCATAAATGAGTAAGCCCAAAATGAGAACGATGGCCCCTGCCATGAACCCTGTTGGAAGAGAGGACGCAACACCAAGGTATGGCAATGGCATGGTGAACACATAGATTGAAATTGGAACTGCCACAAAACCAAATTGTATCAATTGGGTATGCTCATAATTTCACATTAGCATGTATTTGCAATTGATTTGTATAAACATTCACACATTACAATACAAGAAAGCAACTTAAAGATTTCTTCATAACTCCCCTCCCATGGTTCCAGACCAAGATGTCAGCATATGGTCCTTGACCATCATGTGTTCATGGTTCCGATCAATCTAGTAAACTGATATATAATTGAGTTTTATTAACTTCTTTTTGTAAATTGGTAAAAAATTTAGCCACGTGTCATATAAAGATTAGTCAGGATCATATACAGGTTTATGGATCCGGTCATTCTCCACATAATATGTAATTGAGTTTTATTAACTCTTTCTGTAAATGGAAATTTTTTAGCTGTGTCGTGTAAAGAAGGGTTGAAATTACAAACACATTTATGATTTCATTCAATCTCCATGTTATATATAGCCATGTTCTTTTATTTTAATTCTTTCTTAAAAATTGAAAATAGAAAATTGTTTAGAAAATGTTACATAGTAGTTAGTCAAGACAATTGATGTGTATTGGTCTACGACCATACAATAACCTACCAATATAAACTTCAAAATAGCTATGCTTGATGAAACAGCCTGCATACCTGAAAGTGTGGAAGCAAGACAAGATACAACAGCTGAAGAGATTTTGAGGAGATGAAGCAATGCAATATTGAAACCTATGTTTACAGTAATAAACAGCAGAGGCAGCAGAGGGGCACCATCACATCCTGGAACAACAAAACCCTTTCTTTCATCACAATTATTACAAAAATAACAAGAATAAAAAGTAAGGATTTTAATTCAGCTCATCAAACAGATAATTGCAATGCTGCTAAAAATGTGCATGCATGGTAATCTTGCCTTGTGACATGGAGCTATATAAGACACAGATCTAGGTAATCTCTCCAGCAATCCAGTAAGGTAAGTGCTTAAAATTGGGAGTGAAATATTTAGGGGTAAGTTTTCATGCAAATTTTCATCGCTCATCCTGAAATTTTCACTCTCATTTTTTAGTAGACTCAAACTGGGCATTAGAAGACATGAAATCATGAAAAGGAAATACAGCTTACCAATACTTGATAATGTACCAACATTTAGGAAGCAGGCTGCACCATCTTTAAGATAGTTTGGTAGTTGACTGAAGGGGATGCCCCATAATTTTGACAAGAAGGGGAGAAGAAGGGATATGAATAGTGCCTACATTAAGCATATATTCTTGCATTTAGGCATCTATTTGCATTTATATTGAAAATTCAAAAGATTAATTTTTTATGAAAGATTGCAGGATACTTACTTGGAAAGCGGACCCATACGAATTGACAACAAACAAGTCCATACAACCTCCCTGCTTTAGATAATATTGAATACTGATCAGTATATTCCAACTTAGCCAAAAGAATGTCAGGTTTAAATGCAACTAGTTTAACAACATGCCTCTGAAAAGCGTATTTTGGAAGGTTAAGACTGTTGCTCTCAATAGAGTAATGCATCTTTTACGTTGAGTATTAAAATGAGTCCATCATGTATCACCCATGTTAAAGTTTTACTATAATTTTGTAATATTGTTTATGCCTTAAAGTGATCAAATGTGCTTGTTGTGAGTGAAGCTGAAGTGAAGTTGCATAATTCTGCTCATCCAATGGTCCAATGCTATAGTATTGAGTTTGTGTAACATACAAGAATTAATTCTACCCAGCAAAAATAATGGTGATACCATCAAAAAGTAGAAACAACTGTTCGTTTCTTTATCTTCACCATGAAAAAATAATTAATTGTTTCTTACCATGAAGCTAATTCAAACACATTATAAAACCCTTGAAAAGCCATAATTAGCAGAAACATGAATTAATAATTCACTATATACATACCTTCAGTTTTTGGGTTGAATCCAAAAATATTGTCTCCTGCAAAAATAAGAAAGAACAGTGTAACTATAGAGAAATAGTTTGGAAGTTGGGAAGAGGCAGCAAACATTGTAAACCATGATAACCTTCAGCACGGTACCAGCTGCTTGGAGGAAAAATGAAACTATCATCAAAAAACTCCAAAACATACCACCTTCCTTCAATGAATTCCCAGCACCAGCTCCACTACAATAGTAAACAAAAGTATAAGTAAGAAGCCATAAAAACTAAACACAAATTTCATATAGTTGTTTACCAGCACTCTTAGAATTCACAGGTTGAAGACCAAACCAAATATCATTAAGTCAATTTGTTTGACAACTTAGAGTTTCAGACTTAGTTTATTGACTAATGACCATGCATTGCTTTTGTTGACACTCATAACATGAGCCACCATGGTCTAAGATCCTTGATAAAATTACACGTACTTACTGACCTTGCTACAGTAACAACTACCCCAATGGATACAAGAAAGCATCCAAGTAGTTGGTTGACTTTATATCTTCTTCCAAGAAAAATAATTGACAGGAGTATTTGCCATACTAGAAAAGTCTGCAAGAGAATAGCTCAAATTAACCATCCAGCTTTATTTTAAATTTTTCCGAACACCTAAGGAAGTTGTATATACCTGACCTAAACAGAGACTGAATTAGTTTAGATGATAACTTTGTCAACTTTATACACTAAAGTTGAATATTATCTTAGATAATTATCTGATTCATCAATTCAAATTTATCTTAGCTTCCAATTTGACTCGCCTAATATGTTGGCACCAATCTGATATTACCGTGGAGAAGGTTTTCAGTTCATTTTCATTCATATCTTAAGTTTGTTAGATAATTTTGAAATTCATATTTTTCATTTAGATACAAGAGGGTTATTTAGAAGATTTGAATTACAGATTTCATGTTCTAGAACAACCATGCAGATGCAATAGTATTAGTAACAATAATTAAGAATAAACGCTAGAGTGCAATTGAATGCTGATCCTTTTTACCTGAGACAAAATTGGAATTGATGCTCCAGATAGAATTGCTGATACAAGAAAGAGCACAACAAATGATCAAATTCAGAATCTGACCATTTTCGTGGAGAAATAAAATTAAACAACAAAGGTTCACATATACTTAGCATCTCTAACGATAGCATTCCAAAGTGCACCACAACACTGAAAGTACAAGCATTCCAGAGACTAAAATTTATTACAAATAACGGGATACTAAACAATTGTACTTCTAGTCTTTTTTTTTTTTCTATAAACCATGTGATCTTTCACTGGAGACGAGTCGGATAGAACTATTATGGCAAGTAAAACTCTCTGAGTATTTAAGACAACTACATATTCAGACACGAATTCTGGAACATCTCTGTGCAAGATGATCCACCCTTTCGGTGATAAGACTATTTTAGTAAGTATGAACAACAATGGCCTACTATTTTTATTTTTTACACTACAGAGAGGTCTTTCTGGCAAGTATTCCATGAAGCAACTAACTCCAATAAAATCCCATCAATGGCCTACTTTATATTATGAATATTAGTTGTGTCACAATACAAAGTTGATAGCTTATGTAAAAAGAATGAGTTGAAATGTGAAACGTTGCAAAGTTACCTCCTGCAGCCATTCCAGTGGCAGCAGCAAGAGCCTCCAATAGACCAACAACTACAAATGGAGCCTTTGGCGCATCTAGCATTTCATCAGTAACCATGCCCGCATGGTGTCGAATATACAAAATGCCAAAGTACACTATTATATACCTGAAAAAGATAATGTTTGGTTATGTTTCCAATTCAATTTCATTGTTGTTGCCTACATTTTACTGTCAGATTTGATTTTGAAATTAATTTAGATATACAATTAAATTAACGGGAAAATGATTTCTGTCACAATCAATTGTATACAACTTCAAACAAATAACCTCATAATCATCCAAATCAACGTTTGACCACAAAATCACCTTCAAAAATAGAAACAATTCTTTGACACTGAATGCACAAAAGGTCATCATGCCACCATGTGACGATTTTGATGGGTCAATGTCCACAAGCACAAGGCCAACCCACCAATAATTGTTCCAACAAAATTCATTTCCTCTAAAAAAACTGAGTCGTGTTTAGTTCACGTTCGTATAGAGAAATAATAGACAGAAACAGAATTTTTTTTCTAAGTTCACATTGTTTAGTTTAAAATTTCGTGACAGAAAAAAAAAACACGTTTCAATCATTCAAAAAAAAGTATTTTCAGAGTTTTTACACTTCGAACTAATTAAGAACCATTCTAAGAAAAAATATTGGTAGACAAAACAAGAGAAGAAAGTGAACATAGAGAATATATCATAAAAAAAAAAGAATGAGAAATAATAATTGTTAGAATATTTTATTTATGTTAAAGGTGTCTATTTATTGGTATTCATCGTTACTTAATACAATTTTTACACTAATTATAAACAACAACAACAATATTTATATCATAATCTATAAACAGAATATAGTTATTAATATTATATTTCAATTAATTTGTTTTCTTTTGTTTTGAAGTTTTAAAAGTAAAGTACCCGAAAGTGGCAAGTTGAGCAAGGAAGAAAGGGTACTGCTTCAAAGGAACCAAAGCCAGCTTATACAAAACCCGGTTCCCAACACCCAACACCACCGTCGCCACCGCCGCCACTGCCACTTCCGCCGCCCGTTTGCCACTCCCCTCCACCGTTTCCCTTCCGCCATCTGCCACCACCTTCCGATCCTCCACCGCGTAGGAGCAAGGCCCCACCTTCTCCTCCCTCCCTCCGACGGCGAATGTAACCCATGCACGACCTCCAACGGTGGACCCCGCCGCCGCCAACCGCATTGGCCTCCGGATGCAATAACTATAACGCACCCCGCATATACCGGCGGGGCGCCGGAACTTGACCTGACCGACCGATGCGGCGGGTAGCCGCCGGCATAGTGAGGCCATGATTGGAATTAATGTTTGTGCTGAAAAACAATTGAGAAATGAACGTAATCAAGCGGTGACGAACACGAAATTGAGTTTTGGTCGGAGAATTGAGGAATCAATATATCATCATCATTTGTTGGTGTTACTAATGAATAATACGAAGTTTGTCTCCGCCACAACACGATCTTGCCTGTGATTTAATTATATTATTGCTACATCACATCAACGTTGGTCTTCCTATAATAGCAACCACAAATACTACTTGTACTTTTCCACCGTTATTTTATTTCACTTTTTCTAAAGATGCTTATTGGAGCTGTGTTGAGTGTCGTAATCAAGTTCAATACTTTGCAGTGGAGGAGAAAGTGGAAAGATATTTGTAATGATAGCATCGTTATTTTATTTCTTGATGCATCTTTGAAAAATGGATTCCAATTTGAAACTGACTTCTTCTTCTTCTTCTTCTTCTTCTGTTGAGTGGGAGAATGCATGAATGAACTCTTCGATGTGCTTTTCAAAGATTCCAAAGGGATGGTCATCGTTAACTCCCATGTCGCAGACACTAAAGTTTTAAAATATCTTATTAAAATTAATAATATAAATTATAGAGGAAAAAACGCTTTTAATCGTACAATTACAGTTTGACTTTGCCTTATAACCTGACTTTTTAGCTGCCACTTTTTTCTTTTCTTTCCCCAAAAGTTTATCTCATCCTTCTACTGTCAGACACGACAAACATCTCTTGACGATGACTTGCGATTTTAACACTTGCGATTAATTTAAGAGAATTGATTCTCATTCTCGTATAGAAAATTAATTATTCGTTAAATAATAATTAATCTTTTATATTATTATTAATCATGATAATCGATTTTTATATTTAATAATAATAATAATAATAATAATAATAAGATTGATTCTCTATATTATTATTAAAAGTAAAAATAGATTATCATATTTAATATTTAATTATTATATTAAAATATAAAATAAAAATAATTTATATAATGATAATATTTATAATAACTATTATATTAATATTAATAATTAAAATAAAAATAATTTTAAAAAGATAATATTTTAAATAATAATAATAATTTTTATTCAAAAAATAATTTCATATTTTATCATTTTTATAAAAATATATTTTTATTATTTACATCAATCAAATCATTCATAAATTTTTATGAACTTTTTTTTATTTTTCTACATTTCTTACTATTTTTCCCTTAATTTAATCAACTCCCCTTTTAACTCTTTTTCTCTTCAATTTTTTTTTTCACGACCTCAAATTCATCTTCAAAGACATGCTAAAAGAAAAAATGCGTCACTGAATGGTTTATATAGGCAGTTTTTTTTTCTAACAAAAATATATATTACAAGATACTCCACCGAAAAGAAATAACATCTTTTTTTTTTCAAATTTAATACTTTGAAAGGTTACTATGATTGTATTTTGAATTTAAATTCCAAAATAAGTGAATAAATAATGAACAAACTTTAACAATTTTTAAATATTTTCCCATTGCTAATTATATTTTTTAACATTGTTTTTGAAAAATATTAAAAAAAAATCCCACTAAATTTTGAAAGGTGAAGAAGACCTACATCACCACAACACGGATGGGCCTGTATATGATAAAGCCCAAAATCTAAAAAAACTCAGAATATTGAAGCCCATCTTTTTTCCATGTTATTAATCTGGTACCTTGGTACCTTGCAGTTCCTATTATACTGAAAAACTTGGTTTATTGGAATTCCCTTTTGTTAACAAATTAAATGAAAGATAATCAATTCACCACCATTTGGTCAAATATTGGATGAGCTAAAATCCTGAAAAGTGAGGTTCACATCATCAAATTCCAAGACAAAATTTTAATTTCACAAATATGAAATGTTGGTTCTATAATTTTTTTATTTTAAAAATAAAATATATTTTATACCTAATATATTATACAACTATTAATAAAATATAAAAATGTATCTGTTAGAATAACAAGTATTCAAATTTGTTATAAAATCGTATTATTAGCATTTTACCTGAATAAGTAACTGATGTTATTATTATTAATAAACTTTTTTTTCAACAATTGAAAGGCATATTAAGAGTGAACCAAAATTGGTTTATTTTTAAAAACTAAAAAATTAAATTTTTATAGGAATCAAAATCATATACTCATGAAACTATAACAAAAGTTAATTTAATGGGTTTCCTAAATGAGTATATATTATGCATATAATTTTTTCTTTACCTGCATATCAAATTGAATAAAGTATTGATTGTAATTTATTAACCTCAAATAGTGATAAAAAAGTATTGGTTGTAATATATAAAAATTGAAGAATGTGAAGAACTCGCTGGTCATCATTAATTAATCTTTGCATCAATAAAATGATTGAATAAATTTACCAAGAAAAAACTACACCGACCTTCAATGAAAATAATGTTAAAAATAATATATTTTAAAAAATTTATTTATTTTAAATATTTATGAATTTATTTATTTATTTATTTATATTATTTATTGTTTATATACAAAATTTCATTATATAAAAAAATTTCTAATATTTTTTCCTTATTTATTTATTATTTATCTTTTTGTCTTTTATTATTTATTTTTTTGCTTTTATTATATTTTATTTATCCTTTTTTTCACTTAATTTTATTTCTCTAGTTACAAATAATATATTAAAAATTTAATTAAAATATTAAAATATTTTTTTAATTCAACATTAAATAAAATTTTTATTTAAAAATCTTTTTTATTAAATGTTTTTTTAATTATCGACTAATCATAATAACATAATCTAATTATAATTAAATTAAATTATAAAATAAAAAATAAATTTAACTTATAAATATTTGATATTTTTAATTAAATAAAATAATTAATTTATTATAATAAAATAATTATTTATTTAGTATAAATAAATTATATAGTATTTATTATTATTATATTTTTAAATAATTAATATTTTTTAGTTTTAATATTAATTTTTTAAAAGTTATTTTTTAAAATTAAATTTAATATTTTTAATTAGAAGAATAAGTGAAAAATGAAAAAAATAAGTAAAATAATAAAAAATAAATAAATGAAGAAAAAATAAAAAAAATGAATGAAATGAGAAATTTATAATATATATATATATATATATATAATAAATCGTGTAATTAAGTAAATAGATTAACAGATATTTCATGATAATAATTTAAAAAAATATATTATTTATTAAATTAATTAACTTTCGATAATAAAATATATTAAAATAATTCATTTAACATTAATTTTAAATTTAATTATATTAGGGGGAAACAAATTTTGACGGCAATTTTATAATCCAAACGAAATAATTAGATTCCAATGATAAAGCAGCAGCTAGTAATGATGGTAAAAGCAAAAAGTCAAGAAGAAAGAGACTGGAAGAAGAAGAAAAAAGGGTTTCGTGCTGTATTGGTTGTATTCGTGTTCGCTCTTTTCAACTGATTCACCGATCGGAACCGAATGGGGATTCTGTACGCGCTGGTAGGTCGCGGATCGGTGGTGCTGGCGGAGTTCAGCGGCACCACCACCAACGCCAGTGCAATCGCGCGGCAGATTCTCGAGAAGATCCCTGGCAACAACGACACGCACGTTTCCTACTCTCAGGATCGATACATCTTCCACGTTAAGCGAACCGATGGGCTCACTGTTCTCTGCATGGCCGACGACACCTCCGGCAGTGCGTTTTCCGATCCGTTCACTTCTCCTTCTTTTAAACCTAAATGAATCCCCAACTTATTCGCTTTTAATGTTTTCAATTGATTCGTTGCAGGGAGACTTCCTTTCGCGTTTCTCGAGGATATTCATCAGAAGTTCGTGCGAACTTACGGACGCGCTGTTCACTCAGCGCAGCCTTACGGAATGAACGACGAGTTCTCTCGGGTTTTGAATCAGCAGATGGAGTATTACTCCAGTGATCCTAACGCCGATAGGATTAATAGGCTCAAAGGTGAAATGTCTCAGGTATGGTGGATTTTTTTCTTCTGTTTTTTGAGTAATTGAAAATCTAGAACTAATTGTTAGGCGATAGTGTGGCTAAACAACCCTGATAATGGTAATTAGTAAGTTAACTATTAGTACATTGCATTTTGATTAATTCCACCTCATTTCATCCTTGTTCAATAATTCAGCACTGCCTGAGGTCAATGAACTTGATAATGGAACATTAAATTTATAATTAATAGAACCGATGCCTCTAATAATGATTATTGAGAAGCATTTCTATTTGATATGTGTTCTAAGTAAGTACTTCCCTGCACTTTGACTTTTTAATTTTATTCTATATAAACACTTATAGAAGAATTAGCTGATAAATAAAATAAATCAAAATTCCCCTATTAACTTAAAATCCAGTTATGCACTTTACCTTTTGGAGAATGATAAAACTTTTTAATCTATGAGGGAAGCTGGGTTTATTTGCCTCTTTATTTTCTTCTCCGTTGTGTGTTTTTATTCTCCATTGTGTGATTGTTGAGAAATTTATCTGGACTGAGCCTTATGTTTGATTAAATTGGTTGTTTTACCTAGGTACGAAATGTCATGATAGAAAATATTGACAAAGTTTTAGATAGAGGCGATCGGTTGGAGTTGCTAGTAGATAAAACTGCTAATATGCAAGGAAATACATTTCGCTTCAGGAAGCAAGCTCGTCGTTTCAGAAGCACTGTTTGGTGGAGAAATGTCAAGCTTACGTATGTTCTCAATCTAAACCTCAGTCTTATTAGCTGAAAACGTATAACGAAAGAACTGCAGTCTCTTGAATGACTCTGAAACCTTATCTCCATCATTTTTATATCATTGCTTGCGTGATCAACTGGATTTTCATAAATTCAATAGGTGTCAATATCCTTGGAATAATCTAGAGTAAACATATTTTTATTTAATAGAATTCCAGAGGACTCTGATGGAAACCACCTAGGCTTTAAGCTTAGGTCGTCGGTTATGTGGGAAACTGGGGTAGAGGTTCTGGATTGAAACTTGAAGTGTTGTTGATAAAAACATCTCAATGTGCTAAAACAATTTGAATTAACTTTTTGTGTGGTGAGAATTCCATTAATTAAAATTTGAATTACCTCTACTAGTTTTTGGATAATTTCAAATAGTAGGCAACAAACTGTTTCCTTCGTAGAACCTCATCATAACACCATCAATCAACCAATCAATCTTTAACTATGGTTACGATGCTCCGTTTTTGGGGTCTTACTGATTAAATGGTTATATGTTGCAGGATTGCACTTATTATCATCCTACTTGTGCTGGCTTATGTTGTGCTGGCTTTTGTTTGCCATGGACCTGCTCTGCCATCTTGCTTTTAGTGAAGGATTGGCAAGTCAATTTTATGTGTGCTTCCTTGTCGTCTTAACTTGCAGAGGTCACTTCTTTTTTATCTGCCGTTGATTTGCAGATTCCATTGCTTCAACTTGTATTGCTGGGTTGTCCACTTTCGTGCTAGTGAATTTCTTGCTATAAATTGAAGTGTTTTTGGGTTGTTTTTTTAATTGAGGTTTGAGGGGCAAAAAACTTATTGTATTATGCCATTTATTGCATTATCATCCAGCCCAAAGATTTGCAGCTTGAGGTGTAAATGTGCCATGGATGTTCTCTTGTTGAAGGCGGGACGGCTAAGCCTTAAATTCTATGTTCCTTCGTATAGCTCAGTGAAGGAGTATTCTTAAACTGCTCGGCCCCGTTCTCTTGTAAAATTGATGCACGTGATCCGCATCAGCTTAATGTATATTTTGTTTTTAATTTATCTTTTTCACCTTTTTTCTAGAACCTCAAGATTGCACAAGTTGCTATTATACCAAGTCGACTTAATTTTGAATAAAACTATGTAAAGATAGACCATGGCACAATTGCTGTATATTTTTCTGCTGTAAGACACCATCTCCAACGTGTGTTACATTGACAGCATGTTTGGATCCGCGTCTTGAATCACTTGGCGAATGTCTTTCTTTATAGATGTGTGTTGAAGTGAATCATTGAAGTTTTTTTTGTTTTTTTGCGTTTGACAAGAAAACGACAATAAACGTGAGTGTATGTTTAGATTCACATTAAATTGTATAAATCATATTGAAATATCAATCGATATGATTTTAAAAAATTTCACATTTTGATTTTAAGTTGAAATTCAGTAACAAATGATTTTGAGATGAAGTAATTTTAGGTAATATTTGTGAAACTGAAGCTTTTTAGAGTTTTACTATTAACTTTTGTTTCAAATAAAAACATTGGATATAAACTCACTGGAATTGAGGATGAGGGTCAGTTCATCTTGTTTTGGTTTGTCTTTTTTTTTTTCCAGTAAAATGATAAATTATAGATTTTGATTCATTTACTAAAAGGTGAGTTGGTTTGTTATAATTTATAAAAAATATTTTATTTTTTAAAATAAAATTTTTTAATTAATTTAATAATAAAATTATCATTATTTTTTAATAATTTAATATATATTTTTTAAATTAATAATATAAATTAACACATAATTTTAAGAAATTATAATTTAGAACAATAATAAAATTTATATAATAATAAATATATATAAATATATATAAATAATATTAAAATTTGTAAAATTTATATTTTGTATAGCGACAAATCTAAATATTTATATCTTTTTTTATTTAACAAAATTTTGAATTATTTTTTCTTGAGTAAATCTTATTTTTTACGATGAATAAGGAATATATGATAAGAAAAAGAGAGAAGAATTTATGTTTAAGAAAGACAATATTTTTAAAAAAAATTTGTAATTCTTTTTTTATAAATTTTTATTTTATATATTATTTTTATGACTAATTAAATTATAATACAAATATAAATTTTAAATATTTTATAATTCTTTTTTATAAATTTTTATTTTATATATTATTTTTATGACTAATTAAATTATAATAAAAATATAATTTTTTTATTAACTAAGTGGATTGCAAACTAATTCAATAAATTAATAGGGTTGACGGGACGGGATAAGTGAAAACAGATTGATAGAGTAAATATACCAACTCCCATAATGGATTAGCCGACTGACCCGTCAGTTTTGTCATCCTATTCATATTAAAATCAACTTTATTCAAATTGGTTTGCTAATGCTCATCCAATTGCACATGAAAAGCAAGTAAGAGGGAGGTGCAAGTAGTCATTATAGGAATGCAAAAAGGCTAAAGCCCGATGCTTTCTGCTTTTACTGGACCCAATTAAGTTTATATATTAAAATATTAATGCAAATATTTATTTACAAAATCTAGTTTAATATATTTCTTTATAAACATTTTATTTGAAAAATAACATTTATTATTGGATTTTCTTTTCTTTTCCTTCCTTTTTCGCACAAACGAATGAATCCTAATCCGCATAATTTCATTTTTTTTAATCGATTTAAAACTTATAACGTCTAAATAAGTAATTAATAAATATATAATTTATATTTAAAGAATGAAGATAGACAATGTTAGACTGATATTTTCTTACTATAAATATATGTTGAATGTTTCTTATCCTAAAAGAGATTAAAAAAATTCTAATATCATATAATAATTTAATCTAAAAACTAATTTATATTATATGAAATAATTAATGAATATATAAATCATCTTTATAAAATTAAGAACCATAATATGGTGACAATCGAAACAACTAATCAGCATCCAATAATACTAATATAATAATAATTATTATTATTTAATGATTATAATGAGTTGTAGGAAAAATGTTTGAATCGTCGATGAAACATTCTTCTAGTTTACAATAAAACGAAGAAAAAAAAAGGTAGACCGCAGTTTTTTCTTAAAATTATTCTTCAAATAATTTGATTATATGTATATTAACGTTTATAAAAAATATCAAAGTTTAAATATAGTTCTTACGTCTATTATAAGTTTTTATCTGTGAATAAAAAAAAAAGTTAAGTTAATAAATTGTGGGACTTAGTAAAAATATTTATCCCTCTGCCTCAAAAAGTAAAACTCAAATATAGTTGAGTTTGGATCCAATGCATTCAAAACTACCGGAGTAAGAGACAAAATATAAAAAGCTACAATTTTTGTTTGTAATTTTTCTTGAAGTGAAAGAGGGGACATTTGCTCCCCCTCACATGTGAATAGGTTTCCTACTGAAGACAGCTACAACTAAACCACTTACCTTATTAGAGTATTTGTTTTTTTCCATGTGATCATTGTATTTTATTCACATTGAATCTTCATCATGCTGGTTCCAAAATTTTGAGCAAGTGCTGGGGAATTTTATTTCATGTACTGATTTCTTTGGAATGAAATTGCCAATCTTAAAATCATACTTGAATGATCCAACTGTAACATTGTAATCAATCTGCTTGATTAGAAGCAGTATTTGATGAAGCTTCAATCTCTGAACAAATGGCTTAGACAGAGGACACTTAACTCATCCATGCCTCCTATGGCTTGAAATTTTCAAATGATACTTTTGCACCCTCCTCCATAAAGGGTATCCAACCCAATTTCCTATGCTCTTAGTGGAACATGATTGTGTCAGTGATGGCAAAAGTACTTCTCCATAATTCGTAGAAATTACAACCACAACTTCAATCACCTTCAGAAAGTACATTTGATAATTGTAAAACCACTTTCAATATGTATCAAGATCATATCAAACATAGGATCATCCAATTGATGAAGCAGTTGATTTTGTCCCTCATATCATGCAGATATAAAACTTTCCTTTTTGCTTGTAGATCTTTTGCCACATTTACCTTGATTAGTGTTGCCACACCCCATCACGGACCATATTATGCATCTTCACATGGTTTTGTCCTTCCTCACAATGCATTACAAGACAAGATTCTATTAGCTCCTTTATCCCCACACACCCACATATATAGCTCCTTCCTATGTCCAATGACTTCACCATGAACACCACCCACACATAAGTCCAACCCCACTGCACAATCTTCCTTACTAATTTTCTGATCTTCAGAAATTAGCCAAATTAACATTAAGAGTTAGATAAAATAATCATACTTTCATTCTTTTCTTCTTCATTATTTGCTGACCCTTGAATCGCTTAACCTGTCTAATGCTATCTTCCATTCATCAACATTCTGGAGCAAAGGCCATGCTTCCTCTGCAGAAAAGAAATGTGATTGAAGTACATTTATGTCTCTGCCAGTGCCAATTTTCACACCAAGGGCATCTTATAAAACATGATATTTGTATCAGAAAGTCATGAATACAATACCATGCTGACATAAGGATAAGATAAATAGTACAAGTTATAGGACAGAAGACAGATGCAACTAATTGTACATCTTCGAAAATTATAAAATTATCATAAAAGTATAAAGAGTTCATGTTTTAAAAGGAAGTGTGAGTTCCTGTGAAATGTGAGCATTTATTAAGAGTTATGATTATTATTTAGATACTGGTATTCTCATCTATAATATCATATTAGAATTAAGGAGTGGAAAATAAAATTTTAAAAAAGAAACATAAGTTTGTAAAATACGTTTAGCTAGGAATATCCAAAATATCCAACACAAATTACAGCTACTATTTTAAAATCTGCATCATCAATCACAAATATATTCACGTGGAATGGATATTAGTAAATACATGACTGAGATACTGTTGGGTCAGTGAGAAACAAGTTTGTTTGTACTTCTTTTTCTTGCATCAAGCATAATCAGAACAAAAGCATGTGCAATAGAGATAAGTTAAACTATATACACGTATAAAGTTGGAATGCAATATGTAGCAGAAACACACCATATGGGTATGTAGTTCATGTAGATACTTAGTTCATCTATTTTTATATTACTATTATCACAGAACTCTAGTTTTTAAAAGTGAAGAGAATTCAGCAAGATACATAGCATGAGTTGTTTTTAGCAACGCTTTGAAAACAGTCATAAAAAGTGTGAAGATCAAGCTTGAATAAGAATGTTGTTTTTGTTTTGTGATTAACAATATGAAGTTCTCTGATAAGGGTAAGGAGAGGAAGAGGCAAAGAATCTACCATCTTCTCTTGTGTTTCATGAAAACTGTTAATCATAACTTGTTTCATACATACACACAACCATGATGGTTCTAAGTAATCATGGTAAGAAGCAGTTGAAAGTATATCCAATGAATGCCAAAAGAGGAAACCATAATCAATGTTTGAGTCATCAAGTTCAATGGAAGTATATAACAAAAAGATGCAGTACCAAAGAAGAGTACTTTGACTTTTCAGAAACAGTGTTCATGCTTGAAATAATGTTTCCTCCTGAATAATGTTGGTGATGCCTCAATCACCCTTTTATTATGGGAAAGGTTTCTTTCAAAATGGGTCACATGTGGCGTATGTTTTAAGTGGCATTATTGTTTATTGGACAATGGCCGTCTACGGAATCAAAGTTTTGAAATATATAAAATGTGGTTAGATAACATTGCACAAACATGACGCAACCCTCTAATATTTAATTAGTAAAACACAACTTTTATATATATATATATATATATATATATATATATATATATATATATATATATATATATATATATATATATATATATATATATTTTTTTTTTTTTTTTTTTTTTTTGGATTTATGATGCCCGAAAATATAGACACCATCCAATTAGTGACGGATTAATAATTTAACCCATTAAATAATTGACATTTTTATTATTTTAAAGTTCTTGTTTTTATACTTTTTAACCTTTATAGCCACTATACCCTAATGTGATGGCTTTGCCATTGGATGTTCTTACTCACCCTAATCTATTGCTAAGTTTGGTAAAAAAGTTCACTTATAATATAAGGACTACCACTTCCTTTTCTTTAGTAGAAAATGTGACTTACTATTTTATTCGTGTTTTTAGTAATACAACTAAATTTAAGAAACTTCTAAAAGAAATACATGAAAGATTATTAAAGTTTAAAATAATTAAAATTGAATTAAGATTTAAAGTATTATTAGGATTTAAAAATTCTTTTTCAATGCTTTAGGTTTTATTTTCATTTGTAGTAAAAATATATTTTGAGGCAGATGGTTTAATTTTTATCACCTTACCATATCAAATGTCATATGATTTGTAATTTTAATGTTAATAATCCACATATCATTAAAAGTATTAATAATTTTATTATGATTATTTATAGTTATTTTTAGTGAAAATATCTTTTCATTTGAAAGTGAATATCTCTTTTTTCAATTTTGACATTTGTATCTTATTCTTGTACATGTTTTTGAACAACAAAGGGAACTAATTTCATTTTAGATGTATCAAAAAATTTTCCACCATTTAAAGATTTATAATTATTCAAGATATAAAAGATCGTCACCGCTAAGATACCAACTTAGAAAGGGTGAGATACCTAACTCAACTTTACAAAATAAACTCACTAAGGTGAGCATTATATTCACCTATATACTATTATGTTATCATATCTCTAATCGATGTGATGATAACATAATAGTATATATGTATTACTTGAGTCGGTTAAGTAGTGTTGAGTTAAATATCTCACAATTTCTAAATTTATATTCGAGCAGTATAAAATTAATTTCTTTTATTGTTCAAACTCAAGGAGTTTCCAATACTCTTACGATAACAAAAAGGAAATACAAATGTAAGAAAAAATCGACATTTATTAAAATTTGTTCGTATTTCATTAATTGAGTTACACATGTTATTATGTTATTGAGAGTAATATATTTAATAAAATGAATTCCTTGAAGTCTATTAAGTTTAAGACACTTTTGAAACTTTACATGATTTAATTATTATTCCAATAATTCATAATTTACCCCTTCATATATTTGAATGTGTTACATTTGTTCATTTTCATAAGCATCCAGGAAACAAGTTGGCTTCATGGATCATTCAATGTGTTTTTGTTGGATATGTTCTACATCAAAAAGATTATAGATGTTATCATTCTCATGGGTAGAATTAAAAATTTTAAATAAGGAGGACCAACATATAAAAATTAATTATCATATAAAAATAAATATTTTATTTATTATTATTACTTATTGAATTTAAATTTTAGGAAATAAAGTTTATTTCATTTATTTTCTTTTTTATTTTAAAAAATAGTCTATAATTCTATTTTTAAATATTTTTAAAACTCATATTGAATTTTTTTATTCACATTTATCATCAAAATAAAGGATCATGAAAAATTAAGATAATTAACTAATTTATAACAAATAAAAAAATTATATTAATATTTCATATTTTTATATTAATTTGTTATCATAATAAATAAAAATAAAAATAAAAATTTTATTGACCTTTTTTACTTAAAAAAATTTATTATAACTTATCTCATTTATTTTTTAACTTTTATGTCTTCTCTAACAAAAGACAAAAAAGTAAAAAACTAAAAATAAAAAATTGCAGTTTTTATGTTATAGAGATGAAATTATAAAAAAAAAAGACAAATTTAAAAATTAAAGAAAAAATTTACAAATTTTATATTGTAAGGTGAAAACGTGAAAGAGAAAAACATGAAAATGAATGAATGATAAAAATAAAATATAAAAATATGAAAAGACAAAATGAGTGTTTAATAAAAAAAAGTTTATGGAAAAATGAAAAGGTGAGAAAAGAGAGATAAAATATATGTAAATAGAAGGAACAAAGAGAAAAAATTTAAGTAAAAATTATGTAAAAAAATAAATATGATATTTATTATAAATAAGAAATTAAGAGAAGAAAAGATAAAAATTTAAATTTTATTTATATTTATCAAATAATTTATATTTAATTTTTAGAAAATTATATAATATAATATAATATTTGATTTAGGGTCTGATCATCCTCTTATTCATATATATATATATATATGATATGTAATTTTTCATAAATATTTTGTTTTTGAATCTGATTTCCAGGGAAGAAACTAATAAGAAATCCAACAAATTCAGACTTTAGAACATATGAATTTAAGTAATATAATTTCATATTATTCATTATCTTTTAGAAAGTGACATTTAAATATAACAAAAATGTTTTCGGTAACATTGAAACATCACAATAATATTTGAATAGAGATAAAATTGAAGTAGGAAATCTTTAATGAGAATAACATTGAAGAACTATCTCAATCTCTACCTAAAAATGATATTGAAGTATCATTAAAATTGTTGATAAAAATGTTATTAATTATTTGTTAGTCAGAATAATATCCAAATTGTCTTACTAGAAATATTTTTAAATATAGTAAAGTTAAATATCTTATGAGTAATTATGAATCTAATTAGAGAATGAATATAGTTCATATTATATTTTTCAATTAGAGTTAACTCTAGAGTCTGTTGAGACAATAAGTATTAATAATGGTGGACTTAACCACCCGTTATTGGACCAATATTGAACCACTCATCCTTGATGTGAGGGGGTGTGATGAAAAAATTATTGGGTACCCAAGGGGAAAAGAAATCTTCCCCTGTGCAAGCACACACACGAGAGAAACAGAGATAGATAAACAAACTCATAAATTAGCGTGATTCAACATTTTTTGCCTACATCCACAGAGATAGATAAACAAACTCATAAATTAGCGTGATTTGACATTTTTTGCCTACATCCACTAACACACTCAACAGAAATTAACGTGGTTTAACATTTCTTGTCTACATCCATTAACACACTTAACAACTCTTCATTTCTTAACTTGCAACTTTTACAATGACAAAATTGCAAACCCTCTCATAATTTTTGCACGGAAGAATTGCAAACCCTCTCTTGACACACAACTACTCAAGTCCATAATGTATCCAAAGGCTAGTGTTATTGTAATGAATAGACTCAAATTATCACTACTTATTAGTAGTTTACCACTTCCCTTCTTCAAATTATCCGATGTGGGACTTTGGAGGATACTCACACACTTTGGGTACAACATATCCTCATTTTATCCAAAGTCTCACATTAATCCATCATCATGACAAACCACATTTACATAAGGAATACTCTTCTTTTCCTTCATGTATTTTAAGTCCTCATTGAATTATGGACATTTGACTTGAACATGACCAAACTCTCCACAGTAATGACATTGAACAATACTCATATCTCTCGGCTGAAATCTTCTACCATACTTCTTTTCCTTCATACATTGCAAATCCTCCTTGAATTCTGGACGTTTGACTTGAACATGACCAAACTCTCCACAATAATGACACTGAACAATACTCATATCTCTCGGTTAAAATCTTCTATCATGTTGATCACCATACTTTTTTCCTCGCTTGCTTTTAGCTAGCAGTATCTTATTGTCAGGATTTATCACCGGACACATTACTGCTTTTCCTCCTTTGGACAAAACCTCAATTCTTTTCTGATGTGGAAGATCAGATAATGCTGCAACCACATAACATACTAAGAATTAAGAATCCCACAGAGTCCGGGAGCCCCACCACACCAACAGTCTAAAAAATCATCACTTGCGAAAAGCACACACGAGAAAAACAAAAATAAAGAAACAAACTCAGAAATTAACATGGTTTTGCACTTCTTGCTTACATCTACTAAAATGCTCAATAACTCTTAATTTCTCAACTTGCAATTTTTACAAGGATAAATTTACAAACTCTTTCATACAATTTTTGCATGAAAAAATTACAAACCCTTTATTGACACACAACAACTCAAGTTCTCAATACACCAAAATACTAGTGTTATTGTAATGAGTAAGCTCAAACTATCATTCCTTATTTATAGTAGTAGTCTACCATTTCCCTTCTTCAAACTACCCAATGTGAGACTTTGGAGGATACCCACACACTTTGAACACAACAAAAATCATCTTCAATATTGAATGGATATAATGAAAAACCCCTTCTCGATGTGAAGGGATGTGTTGAGAAATTTCATATCGACTAGAAATAGAATAACATAATAATATATAAGTAAGTACAATCCTCATATTATTAAATAAGATTGAGTTATGGATCACATCATTTTTAATATATATATATATATATATATATAAATAAATGCATATAAAAGTTTATATTTTTTAACTATTTTTCTCTTCCCACTTTATGAGTATTTTGTAGGTTTCGTTAATGTAAGTTATTGCGAGAAAAAAATCAAGCTAAAATTTAGTACATAATAACTTCTTTTTTTTCTAGAAATAATTTTTTTAATGAATATAAATATTGATTGTTTGTGATTATTTTTCGTAAAAAATTATTGTTGACATTATGCTTTAATATTGTGATCACTAAATAAAAAAATAATAATGTGGCAAGAAAAAGGGTTTTCCTTCGTAATGAATTTGGATTTGGGACCAACATGATTGAGATGAAGGAATGTGATGACACCAAAAAAAAGTTCCCAAAAAGACAAACCCTGCCATTATTCTAACCTCTTTCCTTCACTCATTCTTTCATCTTTCATTGTTCTAACCCAACCAGACAAATTGTCCAGAACACCAATCCACCGGCTACCTCCACACCCAGTATCACCACAATGCATGCATGCCACAAATTTTATTTAATTTACCTTAACATATATAATAATAATAATAATTAAATAAAATATATATAGTATATGAATATATGTGTATATATTGTTTTGTTTGTTGCAGTGCAAGCTAAGGTTCAATAAATGGACCATTTTAACTTTGACAACTTTTTTCATTATGAAAAAGACCACAAAAATACAAACACAAAGAAGGGTAGATGCCTCTAATACAAAGCCATAATTATGACTATGTGCTGTTTCTTTTTCACCCTTTTTTTAAAAAAAAAAATTGATCAATTTCTTTTTGTATTAATGCCTCTCTGGCATGTTGATTAAAAAAGGTGTATCCATTTGGACTCTTCAAAAAAAAAAAAATATTCTAAAAAAAAAGGAGCTGAAATAAGATAATAAAAACTTTTGATCATCCTCTGGGCATTCTCACACTTTTGTTTTTGAAATTCTAAAACAATTTTTTATGGTATTAATATATATTTTTCCTTAAGAAAAAACAAAGACACATCACGTGCAAACATTTCATGTTTTCTTCAAACTTCTTAATCAGAGTTTTAAAATTTGAAATAACATGACACCCTTAATCATGATACACTTTAACCTCATATTGTAATCAGTATTAGGTGATCTCTATGTCTCAAAACTACTGGTTGAAGAATATTTTTGGTACTTGTCATAATAATATTTATTTTTCCAATAAATAATTAATTTATTACAAATTGACTCCAAAGATTGCATTAATAGATCATAAACATCGATGTAAGTTGAAATCCATTTCATCATATTTTCTTAAAGAAAAGTAATAAAAAAGAGAAAAACATGTATTAGGGTTTGATGATAGATGTTAGAGGTTCATGTGCTGAACAGAAGAGCCAATCACGGAATAACAGGGAAGATGAAATTATCAAATATATTTTATTTCAAAAACTCAATTATCTAATTCACTAATTCAAATTTGAGTTACATTTGTTAAATTATGTTTAAGAAATATATAATATAATATAGTTTTTATTTTCTTTAATTCATGATCCAATTGATTAACACTAAAACTAATAATATATTAATTTTAAACTCAAATTCCAAATTGTTTAGCGTATATGGAAATTTGTTAACATATATTTTTTTTAAACTATGAATTGTAGTTTTATAGTTATTGAATTGATAGTGTAAACCATCAGTTAAAAGTCATTAATGTAATTAAAATTGTGAGAGTGAATATATTATTGTTTTTGAGAAAAAAAAGTGATATAACAGAAAAGAAAACACTATTAAACTTAAATTAAAGTGCAACTTATTACCATTTTCAGAAAATTCAAACTAGTTTCTAAATGTTAAAGTTTGGAGTTTTGTTATTAAGGTATGCATGTAAACAAATTCTCATACAAATTAGAAAAGAAAATAGTGAAAAAATAGTATGAGTAATTTCTATCTATACACACAAAGATTTTGTCATAAAGAATCCAAACATGTATTAAAAAATATTAACCATCAACCGTTTATTTTATAATTAGAAAATATTTAATATTCAATTAATCTTACTTTTACTATGTCAAATTGTTTGGAGATGAAATTACCTATGATCACAATATTATATTCAAATCAAAATCTAAACCTCAAACTTCAATAATTATTAAAATAAAATAAAATAAAAGAGTTTTAGTTATCAAACAAAATTTATAGTAAAATTGAAAAGTCACCCAATTTAATTTGTTTATTCAAACTAAGAAAAAAGTAAACTATTTTATAAAACTTTTTAATTCCTACAAAGTGGTACATAAAAAAAAAACGGAGGTTAGTGAATTTTGAATTAGAAAACCAAAATCCAACCATTATCTGAGACCATTATTTATATGTTTCGGTAACATTCATAATTTACAAGCACTTACTCTTGTATGTTGATAACGTGGCACATTTTCATTGGACGGTTACCTGACAAGACTTAAACTTGACTATATCGGACCCAATGCCCTTACCTCTCTCCCTCTCTTTCTCTCTCTACCCCTTCTTTCTCTCTCTACCTTCCCAAGCACTCTCAGACACCAGAAGTAGGTGAAAAGCAAGGAACCCTTCTTCTCTTCAGATTTTTCACATTACCTCACAACCACTGTTGCTTCCTCCTCCCACCTAATCTCCCCAGAAAGTGCGAGAAAATCGTCGAGAAAGTGACGGAAAATTGAGCCCCAGAAGGGGAGAGGTCTTGCCCTTTTTGTGGTTCGTGTGGGGATAGAATCAAGTTGGAAATTTTGAACCCTAGGCGCTGAAAGGTTGAGACTTTTTGGTCAGATCTCAGAGATTTTGGTGGGTTTGCTGTTGGGGTTGGAGCTCACTGGGGGATCTCTCTGATGGGTTGAATCAGCAGGGAACTGTGATTGGTTTTGTGGGGTTTCAAATGTTTAGATATTGATGTTTTAGTTTGATTTTTTGGGTGGTGGTGGGGGTTTTGGGGTTTGTAGTGAGTGGCAATGCTGGTTATTCACTGATACTGCGTTTGTGTGGAAATGTCTGCTTCTTTAGCGGCTTTTGATCGTCCGAGACCTGGGGCATCTAATACGGTATGTTTTGTTTTGGAGGGTCAGAGATTATTTTGAATTTTTGTTGAAAAAAAATTCATTTCAAGTGAATGCAGATTGTAGCTAATGAAAATTTGAGTTTGAGATAAAGGTCATGATTTGCAAAGGAATTCCTTTGTTGACTGCACTGGGACGCGTTTGGTTTGTCCCTTGTTTGTGTTAGTTTCCTTGACAATGTTGGTGATGTGAGTGAAATTTGGCCCCGGTGGTTTGTTTTGCTTGTTGAGTGTTGAGTTTGACGAGGGATGTGTGCAGAGTGTATTTTAGCTTGGTCCCAATTAAAATTAGGACTTTTGATTTCATATCCGGGAAATATTAGGTTACTTTAATTGGAATTTGCGTAGGATAATTAGTTTTCTTTTAGTTTCGTTTGAATTTTTGTTCAGAAAATTCAGTGCATACTAGTTTGCTTTATGAGAAAAAATTTCGTGTTTAATTTTGTGGCAATGAAATGGATTTATGCGGGCAATGTGATTGATAGTTGCTGACATATTGGAGGCTGAGATTATTACCTCAGATTTCATATTTATTTGTTTGTTCTTTTGTTAAATTTAAGAAGGGGTTTAACAGTCTGGAGGATGATAGTATATACCAAACAGATTTACAGGTGAGAAGTGTAAATGAAAAATATTGAGCATTTTAGCCCATTAATTAAAACCATTTGACACACCTTTTTGCTCAACTACATTGTCCACGTGAAGAAATAGTAATGAAACAGTATCGGGTAGTTTACAAAATCTGAAGATGCTACTGTTCTTAATCTATACTAGTATATAAAAGGGATACTGATTATTGTAACTGTTTTTTGGTGTACACATTTCTTGTACAATTTTATCCTTAATTGTAACATTTTGCTAGCTGCTTTTTATTTAGTAAAATTTGCTATTATTTTTATTTTGGTAACTGTGATTTTAGTACATAAAAAAGATGTGGACACATATGTGAATTGTGCTTGTGTTTGCACAAGTTAACTATAATCTTGATATCTCCAGTTCCTAAATATGATGCTATTAGTAGGATTTTGGAGAGGGTTGTGGTGCATTGTGGTCAACTTGTTTTATTTGAATTAGGTTAGTCAGAAGTTATCTCGTGGTTCCTAAGTGATGTTACTATTTGACAGGTTTTTAAAAGTGGGCCACTTTTCATATCTTCAAAAGGTTGGTAATCTTTGTCTCCCCTCATCAAACATTTTGTTGTTTATTGTCTTATTTTCTTGAGAGGATAAGCAAGTCTTTTATTGGTTTATTTTGGTATGGCTAAAAAATTGCAGACAGAAAACCGCCTAAACTTGCAGAACTTTGAGGCTCTGCAGTTCCCAATGCCCTTTGGCTCCAATCCTTGTACAAATGACAAGATTTCCGTCCCTCAAAATACCCCTTCTTATTTTAGGAAAAATTTCTTAGCCAAGTTATCTCACATTACTAATTCACTCACAAATATAGATAACAGATAGGTAACTACTAACCTATTGTAACTACTAATGGGAAGTACCTAGGACTTCTGTTCTCCGTGGATGGCATTTATTTTATCCAAATAAATCAATGATATAGTAATTTATCAATGTTATCCCATCTTGATCTTTTGTAGGAATAGGCTGGAAGTCTTGGAAGAAGCGGTGGTTTATACTCACACGCACGTCATTGGTTTTCTTCAAAAATGACCCTGTTAGTATCTCTCAAATCTTTCTCATTCTTGTTAAGATCTATATTTGGTATCTTTTTGTGTACTTTTCCTCTGTTGTTCTGTGAGATTCAACTCTCAATTAAGCAGATATGACTACTGATCATAATTTTGCTGACAAAAATTAATGTAGTGATTGATTAATCTCTCTTGGTAGCTGAACTAATGAATATTTTGTGGATATTCTTTGTGCTGATTTGATTTTATTTGTAAAAATGGCAATATATTTAGTTTACAATTCTTATTGGAGAATGGAGAGTAAGATGTGGCACAGACAACAGAGGATTAAATATTACTACAATAGTCTTTACCTGTTGTTGCTGATTTCTTTCACTCAAATATACCAGAGTTACTTTTGTTGTCATTATTTATAATTGTCTTTACTTTGATTGGTCATGTAGAGTGCCCTACCACAGAGAGGGGGTGAAGTAAACTTGACATTGGGGGGCATTGACTTGAACAATTCAGGGAGGTATGTTGGATAAATTAATGTTTTGTAGTTGTAAATTTTGACGATCAATCTATCTAAAAATTGTGAATTTTATTTTCCAGTGTTGTTGTTAGAGAAGACAAAAAGCTTCTTACAGTATTATTTCCAGATGGACGTGATGGGCGAGCATTCACCCTTAAGGTGTTTTATTTATTATACTTCTAAGGAAATGATAGTTAATTTCAATTGTACTACTTCTAAATGCCTTATTAATTGTTGAGCCACACAACTTCTGATTGTTTTCCCAAATATCAGGCTGAGACATCAGAAGACCTGTTTGAATGGAAGACAGCTCTTGAACAAGCCCTTGCACAGGCCCCAAGTGCTGCCCTTGTTATGGGACACAATGGGATTTTTCGGAGTGATGCCAGTGATTCTATTGAAGGATCTTTCCATCAATGTATGTGCTCATTATTTATTAAATGTTGTTAATTTATTTTATGTTTATTGGCTTATTTAGTTATATGTCAATTCTGTTGTTACTGTACAATTCTTTTTTTTTTTTTTTTAATTTAATTTTCTTACGATTTTATTTTTAGCATTGTATGGATTTTTGTCATACTAGGTTTTTCTTTATTACTTTTAATTGAAAAAGAATCTGTCCTCAGTTTCACTATATTTTTTGTGGTTTATCCAGGGAGGGACAAGCGTCCAATTAAGTCTCTGGTTGTTGGAAGACCAATTCTACTAGCACTAGAAGATATTGATGGAGGCCCATCTTTCCTTGAGAAAGCTCTTCGGTTTCTAGAGAAGTATGGTAAGTTGTGGTCTTCTCTTACATATGTAATACATATGCGTTGCTTTTCACTTTTTGTCCTCCCATGCATTTGACTGCATCGTGGAAAAGAGAAATGTTGAATGCATGAAACACGTTCTACCTTATTCTTCAGTGAAGAGCTTCTGCTGATTTTTTTATTTTTAATTTACAGGAACTAAAGTTGAAGGAATACTGCGGCAGTCTGCAGATGTTGAAGAAGTAGATAGGAGAGTTCAAGAATATGAACAAGGTATGAACAATTTTCTTCAACACCCTAGCAGTCTATGTTCATTTGAACGTAGTAGGTTGTTTGTACATATAGGATTATAATATAGTTGATTGGGCTTCAAAGGAACAGCTTGAAGAGAACAATATAGAGGAAAGGAAATTTAACTTTCATATATCCCAATTATCCAAAATAACGAAATGTGTTTAGAGAGGGGTAAAAGAGATTTCTAACCAAGCATAATACACCTCTTCAAGTTACTTTGTTCTGAAGTAGTTTCCTTTGCCATTTAATTTTAATGTTATAGTTTATTAAGTATGGAGACATTTTTAGTATCGGCTGCCCTTTGTATGGAAATGATATTATGACTGTTTTCATATTTTAAGCTTTCTGCTGGTGAAAGACAGTTTCAGATTCGAGTTATAAAATCTTTATTTAATAAATGGATTTATTTTTTGATGGATGAGACTTATGAATGCACTATCTTTGATTGATATTTCCAGGAAAGACTGAATTTGGACCCGAGGAGGATGCCCATGTTATTGGTGACTGTGTTAAGGTATTTATACTAGATTTTTTATAATTCGTTATTAATGAATAAAGGAATATTCACATTTGGAAAGTACAAGCAAACAAACTATATGTGGATCATACATACTAGATCATGGATAAGAAAATCCTCAATCGAATATTAAACATGCCTACAAACAATAGGGAAGGTGATGCTATCTAACCCACACATCATTCAACTGTGGGAAATAAAATTATTGATCTCAATTTTATGTAGGTGGAAATTTTAAGCTTTCCAGAAACTTCTTTCCTGTTAATTTTACCATCTAGAAGTAGAAAGACGTTTACACATGGAATAAGATAAGAACCCTCCTTAAACATAGTAGCAACAATCGAGTGTAGAACAAAACCATTAAAGCAAAATTGACAATGACATTAATGATAAGTGTAATAGAGTGCAAATCCCTCTGCATGTCTACCGAGTAAAAACTCCTAAAGAGGCTGTATGCTGAACAGGGAAGAAAGGGCATGAAAATGAGTTCAATTTGGATTAGATATCTAGTACCAAACTTTAATGTTCTTACAACCAGTCTTAGAAAATCCAACCCTACTTGCATAATGGGTATCATCATAGTGACTGTTGAGAATCAGGAATAAATATTATATATTTAATGTATTGTGATTTAACAGGATTCGATATTCGGTTTAGAGGAAACTGAATATTTTCTAATGTATAATTAATACAATCAATCTATATAAACTAGCTGTGTAGTGTTATTCAGACATAGGGTTTTTAGGCATAACTTGTCTCGGACTTTTACTATTATACAGCAGTTATTAAAGAGCACACTTATAAAAACTGCTGGAGAACAAACCTATAGTGTGCTTTTTAACTAAAGGGAACTGCATCAGCAATTAGTAAACCAAATATGCCTGAATAACTTGAGCCGAGTTAGTGAATTTTAATTTGTTGTTGTACAAATCATTGCCTGCAGTAGAAAAAACCCCTTTTATTGACTCATCTCCTATTAGATAGTAGTCTGGAAGACTGCCCACTCTACAAATTAAATGTGGCTTACAATTAGTTAATACAGGAGCTTCAGCTTTTTTTATAGTTTGCCAATGCTTACAATTAGACCTAACGACCATAAAATCAATCAAGCATTTTTTCGTCAGCCTAAAAGTTTAATAGAAGTCTGATTTGGAAGCAGCTGTCAATTAATCTAATTAATATGGATCCTGTTTTTAAGTGTTCTGTTGGAATGTTGGATTAAGCATTGTATTTAATTACAATTCACTGGGTGTATTTACAGCATGTTCTGAGGGAGCTGCCCTCCTCTCCAGTTCCTGCTTCATGCTGCACTGCTTTGTTGGAGGCTTATAGTAAGTTGAGCTCCATGCTTAGTTTCTTTATAACCATATGCTTCTAATAGTAGGTGGTTTCTGTTCTTTTGAAAATGCTGCATATTTCTGTATACATTTTTTTACCTTTTTTTTCTCTTGATTTTATTTTGTATCTTCTTTTTATTGAACTGAATTTTTTAACAAAGAATTTTATGTCGAGATAATCTAGATTTGGTTATGGAATGAAAATTATTGAAGGACAGTGGAAATATTTTCAATGTGTTTTAGGGGTAAATAACTCCTGCCAAGAACTGTTGTCATTGGTGCTTAGAATATTTTATGCTATTCCTGCATATTTTCCTGTTATATGTGAATAATTGTATATTATTCTCTGCTTCTTTTTTCATATGGAATATGTTTTGAACTTTGAAAATATATTGATTTTAAAAAAGAAACTGTTATTTACGTTGATGTGGATAAGATCTTTTTAGTGCAATGTCTTCTGTGTTTTATTTCATACACATGAGTGAGATAGATGAGTTTTTCTCGTGAAAGCACCATAGAATGAGAAAATGATGCCCCCTTGGAGTAGTTTTGCTGTGAAGGTTTCAGTAAGAACACAAAGACCAAATGAGTGTTTGGTGTCAGTTACTATTCATGAAAGTCGTATTTGAATGTCACCTGTTTCCCTCTCTTTAACTGTTTACGCTTCTTGTATGTGATATGCCAAATTGCCTATGTTAATATGTCTAATGTTTTCGTTATTTTCCTTCATGAACTTTGTTCAATTGTTTTTTTTTTTTTGTCTCTTTGGACACTATCTATGCTTGAGTTAATTGTTACTGTTTTTATTTTACAAGAAATTGATCGTAAGGAAGCTAGGATTAACGCAATGCGATGTGCTATATTGGAGACTTTTCCAGAGCCAAATCGCCGGTTGTTACAGAGGTGCTCTCTCTCTCTTCCTTCTACCTGGGCAACTTTACAGTCTACACAAACACTCTCTTTCTTTCATTGCTGTATGTCATCCTTTTATGAGTATGCAATGGAATGGTTATGGTAAAATAATTAAGAAAATTACACTTGAAAATGTATATTGGGTTTTCTTGATTTCAATTTGGTTATCTTTTTAAGTTATAAAAATCTATTTGTTTTGGGAGTTTCAATATTTTGTTGTTCAGGTTTATGTGGCCTTAGCAAAAGTCTCTAATAGATACAACAATACGACGTTTTTTAATGTTTTGTTTCACTATCTTTACCCTATAAGCTAAACTCAAAATCACCTCAGTTTTTGTGAAATTTTAGTTATCTATGATATGATATTATTCGATGAAGAATAGCCTGTTACTGTTACTATGTTAATCTGCAGTAAATATCTTAAATTTCTAGCCTGACCTAACCTTAGAATTTGTATAATCTACAATGACCGTTACAGTGTGATTGCACAAACAAAAACAAATACTTTTCACCATAATTTAATTTTCATCTCTGCCTTTGCAGAATTCTGAAGATGATGCACACAATTGGTTCTCATTCTCAAGAGAATAGGATGACTCAATCTGCTGTTGCTGCTTGCATGGCACCCTTGCTCTTACGGCCTCTGCTAGCAGGAGAGTGTGAGCTGGAGGATGAATTTGATGTCAGTGGTGATAGTTCGGCTCAGCTGCTTGCTGCCGCTAATGCTGCTAATAATGCTCAAGCAATTATTGCGACTTTGCTGGAGGAGTATGAGAATATATTTGATGTAAGAAACTCTCAATCAACATGTATTCAATTAATTGGTTTTTGTATGCCTACAATTAGCAACAGTAACTTCCAGTTTCTGCATATATGTTTTGTTTAGCCTTGAGGAATCCTAATTACTTGCAGGCTCAGCTCCTATTTTTGTCCTTATGTGGGCTTGTTTTGTTTGAATCAAACATGCAAACTTACTACAAAATTTTGCTACATGACTGGTCAATCAAGTTACTTCTATAAATTTTGATCTTTTTACTTGGCTAAAAAGGTTTGACCTCTTGTATAGGTTGTTCCTATAAAGTAATTAAATATGTAAAAATGTATAACGTTTATTTCTTGATTCAATTCTGCAACCTAATATTTGTTGGCTGTTTCAGGAAGAAAATATACAGAGGTGTTCCATGTCAGCAGATTCTCGGGTTGAAAACAGTGGGAGTGAAGATTCAACTGATGATGATAATATTGATGTGAAAGAAAATGGGTACCACGATGCAGAGAATGAAGTTGATCAGGAGACAGATGAAGATGCTGATCGAGTTCAGAGTGGAAAATTGAGTGAAAGTAGTGGTTACGCAGGAAGTGATCTTTATGATTACAAGGTGATCTCCAGCAATCTTATTTCCTCTGTTCTTCCTATCCTGTCATTTGTGTCTAGTTTTTTCCTTATCAAACAAGAAATGAAACTCTCTATGCTATAAATCTATCTTTGTATGAAAAACTGTTTAGACCTCGCAATGTTGTCTAGCCTAACAGATTCATTAGCATCACATACAGTTAGTTCATGGAAGTTTTGCGGTCAAGTGTCATTCATACCCGTTTTCAGCCTTGTGTTTTGATAATAGACGAAAAACAGCCTTTTCTTCACTTGAGCTTAAATTTGATTCTGTGCCACACTGTTTGTGTTGAAGGTTAATCTACCATGAGTGTATTTTTACATTTTTCCCTACATTTCTCTATAGAGTGGACTAGGATGGGAATGACATTTCACCACAAATATTTACAAGCCAATGGGTGAGTTAACAAATATGTTCAGTCTGACAGCTTTGGATTTAGTTGTTGCATTCTTGAATATGCAAAGGAATAATATTTTTTCATGATATAGCTAGTAGGAGAGATCTATGTAATAAATCCACACAATCTAGGATATGTTGGCAATTTACTATTTTTAGCCATAGTCAGTCCCAAGATTGAGTGAAGGAGGGTGGTTGTGTTAGGTCCTCAATAATGTTAGGATCAAACGCTTACCACTAGGCCAAAAGGTATAGCCATTAGTCAGAACGCAACTCTTTTTACTTAAGAGTAACAACCCAAGCGCCACGATTCAATTGTGATTCGGCCCACCCGGCCTTCGCCACGAGATAATTGATGCTACCTGCAACAAATAAAGCTTCTTGAAACCCCAAATATGAATCACGCAATAGATTATCCTTGCTACTAAGTTTTCTACTAGAAGGAATGTTTTGTATGAATGAAGCACACTGTCTAATGGGCTACAGTCACTACATTGACTCTCAAATGCAGTATTTAGCTAAGGGTCCTCACATTTTTCTGGACTGAAAGAAGCTATTTTAGGAGTGCCTGATTAGGTTTGGTACTTGGAATATTTGTTTTTTAATAGGTAAATCTTTGGAGGTGGCCGGCACCATGATTTGAAAAAAGATTAGCATTACATGTGTTCAATAAAATTACATGGGTTGAACAGAAAGCTCAGAAGGTAGACATAACAGGATTAACTTTTTCGTAGACTAGGAAAGTTAGAAGAAAGAACAATGTGCATATTATTGCTAACAAGAAGCGCTAAAGATGAAAATTTATGGTATTATTCCTGTTGAAGTTTGGAAATGTGTAAGAGATCAGATATCATTTGCCTCTCTACATTCCTGAGAATGGAGGAGAAACACTTAGGTTCCTATGCATAACAAGGGAGGTAATTTACTAGTCATATCATGACATTATTGGAAAAGGTGTTTGAGCATAGACAGAGAAAGGACTAGGACATTGGAGAATTAATTGGATTCATGTCAGAAGGGTTTACAACAAAACCTATTCATCTTCTATAGGGGGTTAATGTAAAGATACTTGGACAAAAACAGAGACTTACATAGTTTTTATTGGCTTGGCAAGAAGAGGTAATCAAGTGCCGAGAGAAGTGTTATGTAGCTTCAGTAAAGAAAGGTATTCATGTGACTTGTGCCCAAGTTATACACTACATGTATAATGGGGCAGCTAATAGTTTGAGAACTCCAGGAGGTGAGACCAAGAATGTTCCTGTAAAGATAGGTTTACATGGCTTCAATCCTAACTTGTTAATATAGTATTGGAAGTGCTTATTAGATATATATTTTTGCCAAATGCATGTTTTTATGGAATAATATAGTTTGACATTTTGAGGGAGGAGGTTAATCAAAGGGTTTTTACTTGAGCCAGGGTAACATGAAATATATGCATTGCAATTTTAATAAGAAATGAGAGGAAAATGACTGAGTGCAAAATAATATTGATGGTATGTCATCCATTGGTTTGAGGTTTACAAAATAGTGGGGAAATTAATATAGATGTCATGTGCATGATACTAGTTATGTGGCTAAAATGAAGAAAACCATTTAGGGTTATTTGCGATTACAAAGTATCTACCCAATTCAATGAAAATTTTAATCACATTATGCGATTTTCTTTACTCTATGGTGATGAAGGTTAGGCTTTAATGGGACCAGAGAAAAAAGTGGGAATAACATAAACTAGTATATTAAGATTAATGTTCAACTCCACAAGAAAATATATGATATGGAATGATTGTATACTAGGAGATATCGCTGTGATAGATTGAGGAAAAAGAAAACAGATGAGTGGTGAATGCACTGGTGAGCGGAGTAGATGCCTTGTTTTCCAGCCTTCCAAAAAGGGGTAGAGGAAGACCCAAACGGATATTGAAGGAAATTAAAAGGGATCTCGTGGTGAATAATAATATCCCTGACAATTTTGTTTTTAACTGAATTCAATGGCATTTTGATCCTTATAACTAACTTCACCTAGTGGAATTTCTATGAAGCCAGGAATAGAGTTTTTATATTGAATAATCACTTGCTGCAATTAACATTGTTATTTTCTTTTCCCTATATCCTCTAAAACTCTTCTTTGTGATCCTGCAGGCATTTGGAGGTGATGATTCTGATGTTGGATCCTCTAGTAGTAACCATGCTAAAACTGAAAATGCTAATCTGAATGCTGTTCCAGATACCCCCCAGTCTGAGGATCAAAACAAGCAAAGAAAGGGCAGTGAAAACCCAGTTGATGATAATGATGCTTCAAATTTGTTGCCTTCCAGTGAATCTTACCGATCTATGGGTGAAATTTTATCTTCTATGGACCCCAGCAACCATTTACCTATGCCTGTGGTTGAATCAGGTTCTGGGAAGCAAACTGGTAAAGGGAGTAGCACCAGTTTCAGTTCTAAACGGTCAACATTCTGGGGAAGGAGCAATGTGAGTTTTATTTTTTTTACCATTTACTGCCTAACAACTTTGGTAGAGATCTAAGTGAGTATATAATGCTACTGTATTACAGGAATCACAATTACTCTAACAACCATTTGTAGGTCAATGAGACATTCGTGTTGCTTGTATTTTGTTATGAGGGGCAAAATTTTCTTCCCAGTTTTTTGTAGTTTTGAATTTCCAAGGTAAATACTTGACATTTGATAATTTGTTCTGATTTAATCAGCCAAGGAAGACACCGTCAGTGGAATCAGTTGATTCTTCTGGAGAAGAGGAGTAAGTAGCTTTGTGTTTTTTTTTTTTTTTTTTTTTTCTCTTTTTGTAATTTGCTCTGTAGATTTTGGAGTTATTCTTCAATGCCTTTTTATTGATTTTCTGAAAATGACATATTAGACTCTGGATTGGCTTTTTCATCAGCTTTATTAGCCATGTTTTGTTGGCTCCTTGCATTATGCGATTTCATTTTTATTCCTTGAAAACAAATAATTGTAATACTTTTGATGTCTGTAGGCTTGCTATTCAGAGGCTAGAGATTGCAAAAAGTGATTTGCAACACAGAATTGCAAAGGAGGTAGATTCCCTGTGCCTACTTGTTTTATTCCAAATCATATAATGAAGAATTTTTTAATGTAATTAGTCCTGTTTTTATTTTAGGCTAGAGGCAATGCAATTTTACAAGCAAGCTTAGAGAGAAGGAAGCAAGCTTTGCATGAGCGGCGCTTGGCACTTGAGCAAGATGTACTTATTGTTGATATATCTCCCTCCAATATAATTGTGACAGTTTAAATTTGATTTGCTGGTTTTCCCTGTCCTTTGCTGCTTGTTTTTGATGCGGCATGTGATTTCTGGACTTTTGGGTTTGGCATTCTTGAAATAATTTTCTCTGTTTTTTTTTTTAAATTGATTGAACCCTTGATTTTGAATTGTGTAAAATTTTCTTTCAAAAACTAAAATGTTTTCTAATGAATATTTGCTGTGTATTGCTACAATATATGCACGATATTAGTTGCTAATAATGGAACCACTTTACAATGATTTATGATTCAGATAAAATGCATTTCGTACTACTGATGGAGACTTATAAAAAGTTATAATTTAAACTGTTACTAGCTGGAAGGGTTTTTGTTTTCTTTTCAATTCTGGATGGCATTTTTAAAGCTCCTTTGGAGGTTTATTTCTGTTGACTGAAGCTCAGTATTTTATAAACACTATGGCGAAGAGTTGTATCGGATCTTTCTTTAGCTTCAATAGTACGTGTCAGTTGGATAGTTACAGAGTTTTCATTGGAAGTAATATGGGAAAGTCTTTATTGTACTGCAACTCTGCCTAGCACCATGATTTCTGATTTGCTAAGAAGTTTAATACATAATTGATCAATGGGGAATAGAGTTTTATGTACAAATTTTTTTACTTGATCATTTTGTGTTGACATCTTTAGTTATTTTGTGTTTCTTTCATTGCCCGATCCGTCATTTTTTTTATTTTATTTCAAATGGATATACAACAACCCCTTATCATAATCTTCATCCCTTAATAAGATACATCTTATTTTTTAATCTACAGGTTTCAAGATTGCAAGAACAGTTGCAAGCTGAGAGGGATCTTAGAGCTGCATTGGAAGTAGGTTTGAGTATGTCTTCAGGACAGCTCTCCAATTCACGTGCCATGGATTCCAAGGTGCTTACATATCCTTGTAAAGTTTACTATTCTTTTTCCCTTTTGATTTCTTTCGCAATACATGTCTGTACTAAATATGCTAATGTACAGACAAAGGCTGAACTGGAAGAGATCGCACTTGCTGAAGCTGATGTGGCCAGGTTGAAGCAGAAGGTTGCTGAACTCCATCATCAACTTAATCAGCAACGCCAGCATCACTACGGTTCACTGACTGATGTCGGTGATCGATACCAGCATGCCCAAAATCATCCTCAACAGTGAGTATGCGAACTTATGTTATTTCTAATAGCAAGAAGAATCTACATAGGAAATTTAAGTACAAACTCTTTTCATGTTCTTCAAAATTCAAAATCGGTCCCGTTCCACATGTATTTGACACCAAATCCAATTTACATGTACTGGCATTACCAACTTCAAAAGATTAAGCACCCACTTCTTGATACTCTAAATATTGGCATTAGAAAATTTCTTAAAACATGGAGATGAAATGTTGTAATCATATTTTTTTTTTCTTTCCTTGGTTACCTTGTAAAGGATTCTTTGTATAATTGTATCCTTTGCCTGTGTGCTACCCAAGCACTAGTTTCTTGCTGCATTTCTTTAACTTTTTTATGGGACCTGCCTTTTAATTGAAATCCATACTACTTTCAGCTATTTAATTTTATTTCTTTACTTATGCAGGAGATTTCTTCAGCAAGATTTTGATTCAACCCTGGCCTTCTGTAATCATGAAAGGAAACAAAGGACTGAGGTATGTTTTATATAGCCTATTTCTAAATCAAAATTAAAAGGAAAAATAGCCATGAAGAGGGTTGCATCTTCCCTGTGTTCTTAATTTAACCATTTCAACCCCCTCCTGTTAGTATTTAAACAAATGCTTGATACACGATTACGGAAGTTAGTTCCATAATTAACCTCTATAATAGAGAAAAAAACATTTCTTATTGTTTTCTTTGCCTTTTTCGTATTGAATATTACCATGAAAAAGGTATTAGTGGTTGCATAAATCCGAAATTTGCTTACTGAGGATTTATTTCATTTGGCGTATTAGAATCTGAAATGCTCCTGATCCAAAATTCTGTCACTGGCTGAAGGACTTCTTTCTCTAAACAACATTAGGATTTGCCTTTTCATTTAAACAGGAAAATTTGATGGGCACTGATTGGAGAAATATTAAAGGACAAGTATTAGCATCTGGTAATGGTAGTAGGCAGCCTTCTCGAAAACAATTTATAGAGTCAAGTCCTAGTGATTCCAAAAGTACTGAGGCATCAACAAGCATGTCTGTAGATGACCTCGGTGCCATTGACTCGGCCTCGGTGCCCTCCACCTCAAGGGCAGCAGAGGTAAGTTTCAAGACAAAGAAATGTCATCAAAAGTGATTCTTCTGCAAAATTCTAGTGACTTTATCATTCTATTCAACTTGTCACATACGAGTATCATAAATACTTTTTGCTAATACATTTTGGCACCATCTTTATCTGCTTGCAGAATCCATATTATTAGAAGCTAACCTTGTTGAATTGGTTTCAGGTGGGTGAATATGCAAGACATCCATCTGTAGCATCTTCGACATTAGTAGAGTTAACTACACGTCTCGATTTTTTCAAGGAACGGCGGTCCCAGTTGATGGAACAGCTCCATAACCTTGATTTGAATTATGGTTCGACAACTTCCCAAGACTTTGTCTATAAACCATCATCCCCGTCGTGGAGTTGACTGGCCAAATAGGTGCTTCATAAAATCCGTGTGGAAGAATTTTGGCTGACATGTTGTATATCCTTTGTGTCTTTGACTTATTGCATATATTTGTATCCCTTATGGTCTGTGTACTGCTTCATTCTCTTGGTTCCTATTTAATTTCTTCTTTTGGTAGTGAAGTTCATTGGATTTGGTCGTCAGGTTTCTCCTTTTTAATAACATTGAGTTCTTTTGTTTCTTTAGGGGAGGGGGTGGAATTTGTGTAATTATATGCCATGTCAATAGATGGGGGAATTTTGTTGAACAAACAACCAAAGTGAGGAAATTTTAATTACTGTTTTGGCAAATTCTTTGTAGATAGGGACATGCAATTGCCAGTTCACATTGCCTATGTGGAATGATTGTTATGTTGTTGTGTATCTGCTTTGATTTTTCTCGTGCCGCATTTCCTCTAATCGCAAGATACAATTTTCATCGAACCCCCCGTACTTTCTTATTTGTAGGTATCAAACAAGCTTTATTTCTTTAATGATCCAACCCTTGAATAATTCGCCAATTATTCTATCAACTTACTATTCTGGGCTACCTTACTGACATTTAATTCTTTTTTTAGGTCAGCCTATCTGTTAGTAATTATCCAGTCGAAGATTGAAAAACAAGGAATGGACTTTTATTGATGTTTTGATAATTATCATTCCTTTTTTTCACTTTTTGACTTTCAAAATTATCGCATCCCCAAATACATTATAATAATTAAAAAGAAAATAAAATTTTGAGGATTTGAAATAGAAACCTTTAACAAAATAGTAAGTCTTCGCCAAAAAAATTTGAAATACAAAAATCACTTAAAACTGCAATGAAACTAAAATGACTAAAAATGCAACTAAACCTAAAAATAAAATATTATTTGCGCATAAGAAAAAAAAACTTATATCTAAACGGGCAAAGAAATGTAATGAATGATGGAATAGAAAAATATTAACACAATATTCTATAAAAATGTATGAGCTGTCACATACATAACACAGCTCAGCCTAAAAGGAAAAACGCCAATTCTAAATAAACAAATAGATGACATGGTAGTCAAAGGTGAAATGTTAAGAGTAAATTACACTGCAGACTTCCACCGATTCCATCTCACATTGGCGGCATTAAAAACGGAAAAAAAAAATAGGGAAGAAAGAAAATAGGTATATATTGCTGCAATGACATCATATAAAACCATTATGCTTCTTTTACGAGTGTGAACAAAAGCCACCATGATACTTGGCGTGGAAACCTCCAAAGGTTTCTGATTGGAATAGTAACGTAAATGGATCTGACCACGACTCCCAATATCAACTGATTATCCACCAAGCATTATAATCAATAGGAGCCAAACTAGTAAAGTGAAAACGGAAACCTTTTTTCCCTTTGCAATTTTCCTTTCCAATGAATGACTACCATTATAAAAATGATAATCACTTCTACCATCAAAAAGCGAACTCAATTCAGTTAGATATCCATACGAGAGTATTTTCTTTACATTGACTTACAAATGCACTTGCAAGCAGTTACATTATGTTTTCAAGGATTCCTGTCTTACACGGGCACTCGCTTGCCTCTATAGCGATCAAACAACTGCAAATGCACAGAAAATTAGCAGGATCAGTTTGAAAATTTCAGTATAATGTGCAAATAAAAGCAAAGGGCTTCTTCAGTATCTAGAAAGTGTGGCATATTTCCACTTCATAGTCCCTTCGTTTTTTTTTTATCTGTTCATCTAGAAGTCCAGGACGTTATCAATTAATATTTCTCAACCATGACCTACTCTCTACCTAATTCTTAAATACTTTCCACACTTATCATAAATCAAAGAGAAAAATAGGGAGATATATTAAGAAGTTGACAATAATATTATTATAAATGATACTGTAAATTATATTTCTTAACCTGGGTGTTATTTTTCTAAGTCGATTGATAAAAAGAAACAGAAGTTTAGCAGCCATTCTCTATATATTGACAATTTTCCTCTTTACCATATGCCACTATCAACTTTCACATCTATTGAAGAAAAACAAGATTGATCAATCAATCAGAGTGACTAAAGATTTCTTGATAACTTTCATGAACAGCCATTCTTGAAAAGACTTAAATGACTGGTAAATTCATCACAAAAACATACCGATCGAATATATGGTTGTTGAACCAACCAACCAAGAACAGGAATCTTCTGTAGGAAAACAGCCAGTGTAGGCCAGAAACCACTACACAGTATAATCCACAATTAGCTTTAAGCATGTAAACATACTCAAACATAACAGAATTCTTTTAAATTTTAACTAAACCTGAATAGTACGATGAATCCGTATGCCTCAATAATCATGCCCAAAATAGGCCACCCCATGACAAGAATAAAGAACCCGACACCAAATGAGATTGTTCCCTTGAAGAAGAGTAAAAGGTGAGCACGGGAAAATTCACCATGAAGAAAGTATGACGCATCCAGTGAAAAGACAGAACATGTTACAAATTTACCTTGAAATTGCTTCGTTTCATGAAGAATTGCATAGTGGATTTTAGCCCAATGGTTACGGACACTCCAGAAACAAACAGAATCTGATTTGAGCATCATACAGAAAACAAGCCTCAAAAATATGTAATTAGCAAAATCAAATGAGAAGCAACTTCTTAAGCAAGTAATTTGTAAATGAATCGTACATTTCCCATTGCTAGCAATCCCTTGTCAAAGAAGAAGATAATCCCAAGGAATGAGAAAAATATACCAAAGCCAGTTAACCCTAATCCAATCTCTGTATCATGTGCCAATCGCATACATTAAACATAGTAAGATAATTGTAAACAAGAAATAAGAGAGTAGTAGATATCAAATATATAATGTAGAAAAATAACTAATGCACAGTTTCGTCAAATGAATCCTTATGCCAGCCAGTATGATACAACAATATAACCAGTATATCTATTGAAAACTGTATAATGTTATTAGTTATTACCAGGGCAAACTAATAACGTAATCCTAAAGATGTCTTCTTGTCTAAGAACCAGAGGAAAACCAGTATGATGTACTGGAATACTTTTAAATAAACAATTTAAGAAAAATAATATTCAATAAAATTAGAATCACAGTTCACTATTACTTTTGAGAAGAAAATTGGGAAATCACAATTAGATTATAAACTGGCTACCATATCTAATATGTCTAATTTCTTGCTCAAACAATTCAGTAAGAAATTATGTTCTAATTTTCCACATTTCTTGTTGCTTCTATGTAAACAGAGACATACACCCCTAAGCTTTGGTGTAAAATTGGGAGTTGTAACCATGTGTTCTAGAGGTGACCCATTTGAACTGTGGAATTAACCACTCGTAAATGGCAGGGTAAACCCTTCCCCAGATCGAGTGCCTCGTGTTTCATGGAGTCTTGTATTGCACTGTTGAACAGCATCAAAATAAATCAAAACCAGGCACCTCTTTGACAAAACAATTGATTATGTTTAGTAATTTAGGGAATTAGCAAGCTCCACGATATTTTATACTTACACATAAGCATTAAAGACACCAGATGACTTCATAAATAGTAGGATATCATTATTCTTGATATAAGAATGAAAATATCATATTCCACTTACTCTTTCGATCATTCATCTCAAAGGAAACCATTTTACCAACAATTCAGAAGATCAAGATCCTTGCCTTTAGCTGAAACACATAATTAAATAACCAAACTTTGTTAATAAACGAGTGTGAAGCGTGAATCATATTCTCTATGGACACATTAATTTAAAGAGAGCATACTGCAGCACTAACACCATGGAAAATCATAATCCAAAAACAGATGCTGGGACAACCAATTGTTAAAGGTTCAACAAAGTTCAGCTCTCATTGAACAAAACACATGAATTATAAGGGTTAATTACCAGCTCAATAAATATCAGATAATTTTCAAACGAAACATATCACAATTATACGGCTTTCTATGTTCATAGAAAAGTACAGGCAAGCAACAAAAGTTTAAAAGAGTAGCAAGGAAACCCAACGTGTTCACCAATGCACTGTAGAAGAAAAGGGAAACTACAATAATCCATGAATTAGATTACGTGCATTTAATCTAAAACTGTACATCCAAAAATTTAAGCCATTCTGAAACTGAAAGCCCTCATCCGTTAATCAACTTGAACAATGCATACCACTATATTCTTCTCTAACCAATAAATTATAGTAGAGTTTTTCCAAATTTGGGAACCCGACAGTGTATTTACAACTTATGAATTATAATCAGCATTTTCTTTGGCTAAATTGCACCAGCTAGGACTCTTTAACCTAAAGGCAAAATACAGGACAAGAAATAAAATGGCAACCAAACATAAATTCTGTTCGTACAAATATCAAGTATGATCAAAGCTGGTAACTTCAATAGTCAATACCCAATCCAGACCCAACAACTAAAGTTATTTCGCTAATCGCTTTCCTCACAACACACCTTAACCCAGCCCAAATTTACATAATCAAAACTCATGACTTCGAAATTAGAATTGAAGTCACCACAGAAACTGATACACTACAAAGCACTAAATCTATGAAACCGTTTCAAACTATAGCATCACACAGACAATATTCTTTACAAGTGCTGTATAAGGTATGGTTAAAAACACAGATTTAGAAAAAAAAAAATGGAATACAGAAGTGAATAAAAAAAAAATTAGAAATCTGAAATTACTAAACTCGATTGTAGAAATACTAGCCAAATAGCCACTTTTCGTTGTACAGAAATATTTTCTAGCCTTGTAAAATTTCAAAATATTCAGTTTCAGTAGAATAACAACTGAGAACACTCGCAGTAACCAGAGGCCACGTATTCGCAACGCTAGCGATAATTCTCCTCCACGGTATTCGCAACGCAGAACGACAAAATATTCCGCGCTTCTATGTCAGTAACAAAACTGATGAAAACGAGTTACGTAGTACATGCTATTGCTATGAAATTGAATACGAAATCAAAGCGAGAGATTCCGAAAAAGCGAACGTTCGGGATTCGAAAATTGAGATTGTCGAAATGTCCAAGTGAAGTGAAGAGAACAGAAGCATTGGGATCTCACATCTTTGGTTTCAGTAACGGAAAGAAATCGATTCAAAAGCATAAAGGGGAAAAAAAATTAAGATGCAGATACAGTGGGAAATAGTAGGGTTACCGGTGACGGAGCCGTTGCTCGCCGGCAATCGGAGGAAATGGTCACCGGAAGTGGTGGTAGTACAAGGAAGATTCTCAAATGCAAAAATCAAAATAGTGTCAGAAAGAAAAAATTGAAATTGAAATCTAACCATGTATGGTTTGAAAAAGTCTAATAACTCGGCCCAATATACAAAACCGTGCTACGATTTTATTTTTGGCACCTACTGTTTGCACTCCCTCTATTTACTGATACGCTCTCATTTTGTTTTATTTTTCCAAGATTATTCAAAAACAATTTTATTTACTTTCCACTATTATTTTTTACAGGTGTTAAGGTAATTTAAAAAAAAATATTATTCGATGATAAAAATGTTTTTTTTTTTAGTTTAAGAACTTAATTTAAATATTTCAAAAAAGTTCAAACAATTAAAATTTTTAAAAACATTGAAATTTTGAAAATCAGAAATTTCCAAGAGAACTTACTGATGTATTAAACACAGTCTTATTTAGTTGTATTGTGTTTGCTTTGTGTAAAATGCACGTTGAAACCTGTGAAGAAAAAGAATATGAAGAATTAGAAGGTCAAAGTTGTTGAGATTGGTCTAAACGGCGTCGTTAGAGATTCACCCGCTGCATGGAAAACGGAAACCCAGAATAGAAGAAATAAAGAGAGACGCGTTATCCCTTTATGACCTCTATCACACAACCACTTCCACCACGCCTCCTTTTCTCTCTCTCTCACACGCACACAACACAACTGCCATACACCAACACTTTCCTTCTGATCGATTCTTCGATCCTCTTCCGCAGGTAAATTTTACCGTTTCCAATTCTTTCATTCAGTTCTCGAAGCTTCCTCTCTCGTTTTCTCAATGCGTTAATCGTTCGTTTATTGATATTAGCTTATCCGCTCTTACATATTGTATCGTTGTTGAATTGAATTTTTGGGATCTGGTTTTGTTTCTCACTACTGACTTTATTGTTTTGCATTGTCTCGCATTTTGTATACTTTTTAATATTTCACCCTTCTTGTAACTGATTTCGTGCAAGTACACTGGCCGTAGAAATCGTACGGAATCCTGGTTTCGGAATTGATACGCTTTATTTTTGTTTTCAAGTCTGATTGTGTGTGTTCAGTTGTCAACGCTAACTTCATGTCTGGACTTTGTGTTTGATGAAGTAGAGCTTTCACTGAGTTGTGATAAATTGAACGAAGCCTTGTTTTTGTAATTATTAAGTAGAGCTTTCACTCGTTAATGGGTGTAACTGTTGACCACTGAAATTTGTATAACTGTTGTTTTATTGAATTCTAGCTTTGAATTTCATATTTTATGAGTATATTTATATATCGTGGAGGCCATAGTTATTTTGTTGATCATCAGGGCATTTGATGCCACAATAGCTGATTTTTTTTTTCTCATTTACACGAAGCACGACTCTTTCAGTTGATTTATATATTTGATTTTTTATCTGTAGGTTTTATGTAGCTTGAGTTTAGTCAATATAGTAGTGATGGATAAAGTTTCTGCTCCTTCAACATGGGAACGTGCACATCACCTTTATGAAAAGGTACTCCTTTCTTTCTCTCATTCATTCACCCGGAAGACAATATCACTGTGTCACACGTAATTATTGAACAAGGGATCATCTTTGTGAATCTCCCATAATCTGCAAAATGTTAAGGAATCTGATCATAATTAATTAACTCGACTCTTCTCTCTTTGTATAATGTATCTGCATATAGAAGTTATACTTTTGGAGGACATTGTTGAAGTATTTATTAGATTAGTTGTATCTTGTTGAGCATTTATGAGATTAGTTGTAGACCTAGTTCCTAGAATGCATCTATTTATTTTCTCTAGGATTAATCATTTCTCTCTATTAATTGTATATCTGAATCTGTATCTTTATCTCCTATAAATAAAGAACACAAGAGAATGATTTCAAGCTCTCAAAAACAGTTCTTTATTTTCCTATTTTCTATTTCAAGTGACATGTCCAGTGATAATTGATCCATTTAGAGGTTATAGGTTTGGGTTTCATTAATTGATATTATTCTTCTTCCTCTAATGGGAAGATAACCTCACTTTTTGGGATTGATTTGCTCTCTTTAGTTTGACATTGTTTTGGAATTAGAGATAGACCTTGTTATCTGAACCCTATAGTGTATGATATTATTGCCAAGAACTGTTGCATAGTGTTTTGGCCCTTTTATTTAGGTGACCTTTGGCAATTGGCATCCAATATCACTCTGGTTAGTAAGAACTTGTCTGGTTCTTGAAGGTTAAGTAACTTAATATAATTAAGAATCCAAATCAAGCCATAAGTTGTTGTAGTCTGTCATGGCAAACCATGTAGAAAGCATAACCTGTGGTTATTGTGCTTGCCAAGGCTTAATTCTTTTTTCTGTGCTTTGAGTCCAAAGCTTTTTTTCTTTTTATGTTTCTAATTTAACATTTTCTTAGAACCTTGAATTGGAGAATAAGCGAAGAAGATCGGCTCAGGCACAGGTCCCATCAGATCCAAATGCTTGGCAGCAGATACGTGAGAATTATGAAGCAATAATTCTTGAGGATCATGACTTTTCTGAGAAGCATAATATTGAGTATGCTCTGTGGCAATTGCATTATAAACGGATTGAGGAAATGAGGGCATACTTTAATGCTGCTCATACTTCTGTAAGCTCAAAATCTTCTCTGGGAGGGAAAGGCCCTGTTCGACCTGACCGGATAACTAAAATAAGGCTGCAGTTTAAGACTTTCCTTTCTGAAGCAACTGGATTTTACCATGATCTTATTATGAACATTAGAGCAAAGTATGGGCTTCCACTTGGTTACTTTGAGGACTCAGAAAATAAAATTGTCATGGAGAAGGATGGAAAGAAATCTTCTAAGATGACAAAAGGTTTAATATCTTGTCACCGCTGTTTGATATACTTGGGTGACCTTGCTCGCTACAAAGGCTTATATGGTGGAGGTGACTCGAAAAAGCGCGAGTATGCAGCAGCTTCTAGTTACTATTTACAAGCTGCATCTATTTGGCCTTCAAGTGGAAATCCCCATCATCAGGTTTATGGCATTCCGTCTCTGCTATGTTTTGTTTTTGGTTGTTCACAACTTCACATCACTTGTTGAGTCATGGTTTACAGCTATTGTATTCTATTTTGACATGTCTGTATTTTCAGCTAGCTTTGTTGGCTTCATATAATGAGGATGAGCTGACAACTGTTTATTGTTATTTTCGGAGTTTGGCTGTGGATAGTCCATTTTCAACTGCCAGGGATAATTTGATACTTGCATTTGAGAAGGTAACATGACCATGGGTTTAGTTTTGAAATGCTTGGCTTTTTTTCTTCTAGAAGTCTCAACTTTTTGAGAAGTATGTATCTTGTTCTTTGTTCTTTATGTGTTAACCTTTGGTTTGATTTTCTTTGCTTGCAAATTGAAGTCCAATTGTGATGTTTCATGTTCAGTCTTCTCTACTACTTATACTGAACATATACTTTCAAAGTTCTAAATTTCTCTAGGGAAGTGAAAATTACAAGAACTGAACTAACCTGTAAAAGTGGTTCAGCTAAACTGAATTGCATAACTATTCAAGCCAACTGCACTGAACTGTGTAACGGTTCAGGTGAACTAAACTGAAACAATCTAGTCTGACCTACTTGAGCTACCTGAATTGTTTGAACTATTTTAAGTAGACATCTTATTTTGAAGCATATTTTTCGACTACATTAGTTACAGTTCAGTTTAAGCGCAGTTTAGGTTTTAAAAACTAAACTAAAAAGTTCGGAAAATATTAAGTCAGCACTAGTTTGGCTCAGTTAACTTTTTTTTACACCTAAATTTCACATTGGTTTGCAAGTTGTTCAAGAATTGATTTGTGTTTATTCAGTTCAGACATGTATTGAAAACTGCAACACAGCATACCTTTTCACATAAAGGAGTTCTGTTTATTTGGCTTGATTGGGGGTGAAGAATTAGCTGGAGCTTGATCCTCTATTTATTTTCATACTTTGGGAGTGCTGTTGGCATTCTAACTATCTGTTTTACAATACCGTAGAATCGCCAAAGTTACTCTAAGCTCTCTGGTGATGTTAAAGCTCATGCAGTCAATGGAAGAGGAAATGGAGATGCAAAACTTGTCACCAGGGATACTGGTGCGGAAACTTGTCATAGAAAGGAAGGAACATCCAATATACAGGACACTTACAAATCCTTCTGCACACACTATGTCCGTCTTAATGGAATCTTATTCACTCGTACGAGGTATATTTTATTGATGAATAGTCTATCTTTCTATGTACAAAACCATGGAGAAATATTATATTCTGACATTTTATTTTTTATTTTTCTCATTTCATGATGATAGCCTTGAGACCTTCGCCGAAGTTCTATCTTTTGTCATCGCAGACCTGTCTGAACTTCTAACATCAGGGCAAGATGAAGAGCTGAATTTTGGCATGGATACTCTTAAGAACAAACTTGCCATTATCAGAATTGTTTCCATGATCATATTTACAGTTCATAATGTGAAAAATGAATCTGAAGGTCAAACTTATGCAGAAATTGTACAGCATGCTGTTCTACTTCAGAATGCATTCACTGCTACTTTTGAACTGATGAGTTTAGTAGTAGAGAAAGGTATGCAGCTGCGGGATCCTTCTTGCAGTTATCTCTTACCAGGCATTTTGGTTTTCATTGAGTGGTTGGCATGCCATCCAGATATTGCTGCAGGCAATGATGAAGATAATCAGTCAACTGTTAGGTCAAAATTCTGGAATCATTGTCTATCCTTCTTGAACAAGTTACTTTCAGTTTGGCCCATGTGTGAAGATGAAGAGGAAACTTGCTTTAATAACATGAGTAGGTATGAAGCTGAGGAAACTGAAAATCGGCTTGCTTTGTGGGAGGATTTTGAGTTAAGAGGATTTCTTCCAATTCTCCCTGCACAAACCATCCTGGAGTTTTCAAGGAAGAATTCCCTTGTAAGTGACAGTGAAAAGGAAAGAAAAGCTCGGGTCAAAAGGATTTTAGCTGCAGGAAAGGCTCTAGCAAATGTTGTTAGGGTTGATCAGAAAATGATATGTTTTGACTCAAAGCGAAAGAAATTTCTAGTTGGTGTTCAGCCTCAAATCTCAGATGATTTTGTTGTTTCCTCCCTTTCAGGTTCACCTAGTGCAGACGTTTTTTTTATTGACAATACCGTAGCAGGCAAGGAAAATGTGGGAATTGGTTGTCCAGATCACAATCAGTATATCGAAGGAGAGGACGATGATGAGGTTATTGTTTTCAAACCTTTAGTGGCTGAGAAACAAGCTGATCTGGTGGTTGCCTCATCACGGGTACCCCATGAAGGCTTAGAATCAGTTCCAAGAGCTTCTTTAGGGGATATAAAATTTAATGATAATTCTACTTCTAGCCCTCTCAATGATGCAAATCATCAAGTTTCTTTACCTCCTTCTGTCAGTACTATGGGGCCTCAACACATACTACCTGTTCAACCACATTCTTTCAGGCAGTTAGAGGAGGAAATAGCTAATAGTTTGAAAGGTCTTAGATTCTTGGAGAATGGTCACGTGATGAAACCTGACCTACCATTTAAAGAAGCTGTAGCAGTCTCCGACCGTCCTGCACTTGCAGTTCCTACCCAGCAATCTGTTAGTGATGGTACTAGTATGTTTTATGCTCATGATCTCACAAAAGCTGAAGACTTTGCAATATCTTTCAAAGTTGATGCCAATGCATCCACTGGAACATTTGCTGATAATTCTGTTGTGAAAATATCGTCCACCTTGCAAGCGGGTTTGAAAAAATCTCCTTGCAGTCGACCTTCTAGGCACCTTGGACCTCCTCCTGGCTTCAGTCATGTTCCTCTTAAACATGGTATTGAGCCCATTGTTTCAGGTTCGATTAGTGGGAATCCTATTATGGATGATTACAGTTGGCTGGATGGATATCAGTTGCCTGCATCAAACAAAGGTTTATGTCCAAATGGTCCCCTTACTTACTCCCAGTCAAATTCTCATCAAGTTGGTAACAATGGTTTGAGTGGGACTGTCAGTTTTCCCTATAATGGAAAACAAACTCCATCTCTGCAGGTGGAGAAACAGAATGGTTGGCAAGATCTTCAGACTTGTGAGCTTTTAAAAGCACACCAAAATCAGCAGTTGCAGCCACAGGTTCTCACAAAAGGAAATCAGCATTTTACTCCACTTCCTGAGCAATTCCAAGGACAATCAATGTGGACAGATCAATATTTCGTGTGATGCTCGCTCATCAGTACGAGAATATTGATGGTATGCTTCCCATTTGTTTTATTGCTTCGGGTATTTATAAACCACCCAAAAAGTTGAAAACAAGGTAAACCAGAAGAAGAAAAAAAACTATTAAAAAAAACAAATTTTTTATTTGATTGGATTAAATCAGATTTGATTTTTGGAAACTGATTTAATTCGAACCTAAATTTTACAACTTATTTATATATTTTTACTTTTATATTTATGGTACCACTTATGTTTACAATTTTGTTGGTGATATATTTGTAAAATTATCACATAACTTGATGCTTATTTATGAAAATATGTTTAATTAAAAATAAGTTTTAGTAACTATGAGTAAAGGTATAAATAATAATTCGTGTAAATTTATTTTTAATAATTTCTAGTTGAATAGTTGTACTACTATTATCTATATATTAACTTATAGCCAAGATGTTTGATATTTTAAATTTATTTATTATCCTTATTTTATGTTACTGTTTAAAAAAAGGAATACTTATTCATTCCAAACTGCTTTAAACTAAATTGGGTTGAATTTAAATTTTAACTCTATTGGAAGTCCCACATTGTCTATCTTATGTCATTTAGTATGGTTTAAATACATGTTAGGTTATTCCACATATTGTCAATTGGTTTTATGTTAGAACCTTAACATGATATCAGAATAAAAGTCTAACATCTTTCTGGTTATTGTCTTGCGCCAAGAGTTAACTCAAAATAATTGGATGATTAATCAAGAAAACCAAAGTCCTAGGATTGGATGATTTTTCTCTTTGAAAATCAATCCAATATGTAAAAAATCTATATTTATTGCTGTTTGTTTGAAGGATGTCTTTCTTTTTGTTTAATCTTTGGATTGCTAACATGATTACATATTGAGGTCCTTGAAGAATTATTAGAAATATGCTTTATCCCTTTGCTACCCCGTCAAACACCAACTCTACTGCCTTGTCGTTGAATGTTGTTGGAGTTTATCTGGCCTGGTCGAGGTTGCTACAAAAGGTGGGTACCAAATTATTTTTTATTCATTATTTTTAAAAATACAAATTGAAATTTGGAACATATCTGCAAATGGGCACTCATGTTTACAATTTTGTTGCATTATGAAAATGTGTTGATTAAAGATCATCTTTAGTAACTATAAGTGAAGGTATAAATATAATTAATAATTCGAGTAAATGTAATTTTAATAAATATATATTTGAAGATCATTTGTGTGCAACATATCCCCTTCCTCTGATATTTCAAGTTGCCATCTTATGTGTCTAGTTGTGTTGCTTCTATTTTAGCTTGGCCTGTATCACTAACTTCGTATACAGTATCGGGAATCATGCCTGTACCTTCGTAACTGTTGATCGGTCGTTCTGTGTTAACTTCTATATTTACTCTAGCATAATTTGCTTGTAATTTATTGTAGAATTTGCTGAGATCTAAAGTCAGGGAATGAAGATAAACATGCATCTTTAGGGTGGATAGAGGGTGATAAATAAAACACAGTCATCTTGGAGCTTGTGTGTATCTTCTGGGATTGGTGGTGTGTCACTATGGTTTGTTCACTTCACTTGTGGAAATGTGATAATGGTGTGACATGCACCTGTAAGAATTGTTACCATGTTGCTGCCAGTAATACATGATTCTAGCCGTTTTTTTCTAACTCGTCAAAGCTTTCGGACTAGTTGCGAAGATTGGTAGTGCTCCTCTAAGTTGGATAATGGGATATGATAATGACATTGTGAAGCATGCTTGAGTAAGCACAAGTGTTAGTGGTTTATATCTTACGTTTTTATATAACCAGTGATACACTGTTTACTTTATTCTTTTGACCTAGTCGGGGTATACTCGAACTTAAATAAATAATCCCTGGTGGATTGTGGATATATGTCTTGGTGTATCATCTGAAGTAAAAATTTAATCCTCTCTTTATTTCCTGCTGCCGTGTTCAATTTCATTGTGCTATAAAAAATTACAGTTACGAGTGGAATATTTTTATGACATCAAATCTTAGTTCATTTTGATAAGTTTTTTTTTTTTCCTTTGGTTGTTTTTTCTTTTGATTAACATCACTTTAAAGTCAAAGCCTAAAATAAGAGTTAGTTGATTGTTTTTTCTCTTCAAATAAGGGATTATAACATAGGGAATTTGAAACAATTTAAATTTAAAAAGGATAACAAAAGAGCTTTGGAGACGATCTTGTACTCTACTGTTTTTACAATGTAATAACTTGTGCTTTAGTGATTGCTGAGCATTTTCAAAAGGAGGATTGTTACTAACAGTTTTCAATAAATTCTTTTTCTTAGATATATTTTGACTTCAATTTATTTAAAATTAGAAATTGCTAGTCATATTTTTTGATAAAAAAAATGATAATTTTAGATTTAAATATGTTCTCAAGTCTCTGAATTTGATATAATTATTTTTTTAAAGCAGTATATATAAATTAGTTTTCTAAAAAGCACACTTTTTGCCTTTTTTTAAAACAATATAAATTAATTAAAATGTAACAATGCAACCTAGTTAATTGAAAGAATAATTAATTGTTTATCAAGCAATGATCCTAATGGGTGGTAAAGAATTAACACTATTTTTTAATAATAGTTGCTGCTGATTTATTTTAAAGGATTAAAGAAATATATACTTTGCTTTTTAAGAGGACTAGTCTCGACAATTTGTTTCTTGAAGGATATCAAATTGGGGGAGTAAGCAAATATTTAAGCTTAAGTGTAGAATTTTCCGCAATAGTAAATAATGTTTTAAGAAAAATACATAGTATTTCTGTTGTAAAATTGATTTGATATAAAAATGATAAAAATTTGGTGATCTTGGTGACTAGAGCGTAAGGGACTTAATCAAAGTTGTGTTTAAAAAACTTGCAAAACTATATAAGCATACATTATAATTTGTATCAGTTTTCAATTGATAGAAGAGTTTTCACCTCAAGTGTGAAAAAACACGTAAGAGGACGCATAAAGTTAGTTTGATAAGATGTAATTCCTCCATTGGTGTTGCACTATGACAACAATATAATGCAAAAGAATTAACTTGGTATTGAAAAGAATAAAATACTATATTTTAAGAGAAAAACTCAACATCATCTGTATTCATCAACATTCCTATTTGGCTAGACTAATCTATTTTCACAGGTATTTGTAGTCACTGGCATCAAGGTTTTCATCTTTCCATCAACTTCTGTTTATTGAATCCCATTCCGGTATGTTTGCAGTTGCCTCATTCACCATTTTCACAAGCCGCACCTGAAATTATTTTTGCAGAAACTATTAATTCACAAAAACTAGCAACAATTCAAGAAGCACAAAGTGGTCCACTTGATGCCATAACAGATACCACATAAAATTCCTTATTAATAATTTCAAAGCAAAGCAGCAGCCAGAAGATTTGAAGCATGGACTTTACCACACTTTCAGGAACTCCTGGAGGTGGTAAGGGGAGGTCTTTGGGGGGAGGACCCATCAGATAAGATCTCTTGTCAAAACGCCATTCTCCAATCTTCCCATATGTCAGCTTCCCCTGGATGAAGTAATAAGGAGTAAATAAGTTGCACATGAAACAACTATGCATGCAGTTTCTCTACCTTACTTTCGCATCATACTCACCTTCAAAGTATAGTCACATCCATATGTATAATGGATGATGAATCTACCATCAACATTCAAGTCCCAAGGTGGCTGAAACATTCCAACAATGCATGTCATGGACTTATAAGCAACAAATACAAGACAACACAAGCAATTTATACCTGCAGCATAAAGTCTTTTAGAAGATTATGCTTTACACCATGCAATGCAGATGCCACAGCATAAGCATACCTTTACTCAACACAGAATCAAAGGAGCAGAAGGTTAGGCCTATTAGTACAGAACCAGGGTCCAGGAGAAGTTATAAAAGGAAAAGAATATAAGTAAACGATAACTAATGAAAAATAAAGCTCCTGAATCTTGAATTTCTGTAGTAATAATACTCACATTTCAAGCACCCATCCAAAAGCTTTGTCAGTCTCTGCATCATCTTTCATTCTCAATGAGACATTTACCCATGTGGGAGCTATTTCCTGCATCAGAGACTGGTGATAAAGAAAATTCAATGCCTTAAATGAAGGAATGTGTTGCTCACGGGAAAATCAAGAAATCTGATAATACTTGTAACATTAACCATAACAGCTACAAGGGTCACAGTCTCACAGAATGACAACTAAAATCAATCAAGCGCTGTATGCGAAACTATTAATTCAGACTTCACCTTCTTAATGATTACAGGGGAATTGCCAATTGGATCAACATTAGTAACAGGACCCTTTTCCTCAGGGTAAAACTTCCTGATTATTTTTTCATTTTGAACTGGTTTTATATAGAAAAATGGAAACGCAGCAGGCTGGGTTCCATAAGCCAAATTAGGCAAAGGATTTACAAATATGTGGTCAGGTTCTGCCATCAGAATATATCTGCACCAATCATAAAGTGCACTGCTTCTTAGATTTCATTATTGGAGAGCAAAAATTTTGTGAGAACATAATTCTGACACTTACTCTTCCTCAATATCTGCTTTCTCCATCCACTGAACAAAAGCCCATGGTCTATTTAGGACAATATAACCCTGCGCCAAAAATAAAAGAACATAAATTTTGATGACAGCATGAATTGATAGGAATAACATAGAAAGATCACAAAAATATGACATTATAGAGTTGATGGTTATGAACAGCATGGAACATGTTAAATCAAAAAAATTGCCACGGGACAATCATGACTGCAATCAAATATGAACCTAAATCTAGTTTATCCAAATTCATTGCTCAAAAGCAGCAGCTTGTTTGGCCACATACACTTTGTGAGTTCACAAACTAATCTAAGCTAAGAGAGTTCCTGAGCTGCAAAGGGAAAATACTATTTAGCTCTAACATAAGTTTGCTTAAAGAAAATATCATCAATTTATTGTCTGTTTTACTCATGCAAGAGAGACAATGATGGAAAAATAAAAGTAAAAACTCTCACCTCTATTCCCCTGTTTTCTCTACGTGCAATGCAAGGTTAATGACATGTGGTTTACAAATTACAGTCTTTTTTAGATGCACACTATAGAACAATTAATATTTAACTTCAAAACATTTCAATACTGACGAGTACCCAGAGACATTGTTTTTTCTTAAACCAAGATGATGCTATGTTATGTATGTGATTATATCATAATTTTTCCCCAACAAAAATAAAATTGCAGCGTGTATGATAATATTATTTCCTTCAGTTTCTGTCCCCCACTACACAATCAAATTTTTTGCATCAGAACTAGAACAGTAGCAGCAAAATACTTAGATATATAACAGTTGGTTGTCAATCACCGTCAGCAATTACGAGATTAATTTAGTGACAAGAAGACACACAAAATTGGAAATGACTTTTAAAATCCAAAAATTAGTAACAATCATTATAACTACTACATTATAAGGCAGACAAAATGCCAGAAAACCAAATAGTTTAAATAATCAGGGTCATAACAGTCGAAGAAACATGCAAGATATTCAAACAAAACCATGGTATAAACAAACCCATTTCACTCTAAGCATATCTCATTGTCTTTCTATTAAGTTCCCTCCCTTCAGAAAAAATAAACTCTTATTATGTATGATGGATAAGGAGAACATTCAAAACGGTACCCAATAACGATCATTCTCTAAATTCTTTTAGACAGCTTATTTCACAATTAAGAAACAACAAACTAAAGGGCAAGTTTAAAAGAGCTAAAAACTAAACAATTCTACGGTGGAAACAGACAAATATTTACCCTATCCAAGCCCTCAGGAAGTGGATCAACCACAAAAGTAGGAATCTCATCCATTAACTGGTCTGGCCTTCCAGAATGCAATATACGGGTGAACTTCCCCATATCTGATCCAGGCATGTCCTTCACTTTCTTATACCAATAATACATAATCCTGCATTGCCATTGATTGTAAGCAGCATCGGTTGCAGTAACGGCAACATGAAACTTTGAAGTAGACCTCATCAATTTTCTATTTGAAGATTCCAACCCATCTGCCTTATTCTCCATGATCATAACTACCAAATTGTAAGTGGCCAAGGAAAACAAAAGCACCATAAGCAGCATAAGTAGTAACTGTGCCCGTCCCATGCTTTTCCTCACAATCATTTTCGGAATCTTCCCAAATACGAATTTCCGAAACCCCAAAACCAACCCTTATAATTTAGATTAAAATTTATAACTCACTCACACCACTACAGTCCTTCAAAATCACAGTTTTAATGCATGGGTATAGTCATAAACACAATCCTTCAATCTTTTGCTCCACGAGAAAAATCTGCATCGCAACATAAAGTGGTTAACATGTCACGTAACTGCATCCAATGCAATTGAAACACACCGAACCCAACAAAGAAACACCACTACAGAAAATCCCAGAATCCAAAACCCAAATAACGGAACAAACTCATGCTAGAACGTGAAGGGTGACTTACGTAGACAGATCTGAACTTGCAAAATATTCAGGGCGTCCCAATGGGAAAAAATCCAACCTTGAATGAGAAAAGAAGACGCAAAACCAATGAAACTTTGGAGGAGAAAAGAGAAGGGTAGGAAATATTTTATAGGAAGGAAAGGAAGAAGGGTAGGAAATGAGGATAGGGGATTTATGGGGTTGACTTTTCAACGAGTGGTGCAAGTAGGCAGGCACAAGGAAACGCGGAGGTTTGAAGGTTGAAGAGACAGAGATGGTGAATCTGAGTGTGTATTGTATGTGTTGACTCCAAATTGAAATCAAAATTCAAAAAACGAAAAAAAGGAAAATGAGAGTGAAAGAGATGAAAATTGTGAGGGTGGGGTTAGGGGTGAGAACCGGTGCACCACACAACACAACACTCGTCACCAAAATGAATGGAAAAGAAGGAAAGTGGAAAAAAAAAGTTCACGAGAGTTTGGTCATTGGAAGGATTGGACGCAACTCCCTGTTACAGACACACTCCAATTTGTCTCCATCTCAATGAATATTCAAAACCAGATGCACTGTCCCATTCTACATTGTTTTTTACTTTTCTTTTTAGTACAAAAGTTTTTTTCTTTTCTTGCAATTATCTTCTTTACTATTTTAATTCTTTATGTGAATACCTTTCGTTACGTTAAGGTTTTTGTTGTCGACAATTAACGTCATTATCACCGTATTCGTAGGTTTATGTGAATAACATTTACGTTTTCATCTTCACATCTGTGTAGATCAGAACCATCACCAATATTTTGTATTTTTACTTCTGTAAAATTTAAAATATTTTATAATTATTGCAACATAATTGACTTTGATGGAATTTTTTATTGATATGTCTTATGAATAAAAGTATTCATTTAATCATTACAAATAAAGTTTACTAAAATTTATTTATTAAAATTTGAATATTTTAAAAATAAATAAACACATAATTTACACCTATAATCAAATAGTTTGTGTATATATATTAACATTATATTTTTATACTTTTCTACTCACGTTTCATTCAATAGTTTAATTACACATCTTTATTGACATTAGGAAACAGTGCACATTTTTATTTCTATTCGCAAAATTTAGAAAAAATAAATGAAGATAAAAAACTGGTCATGTTAAGTTCATAATAACTTGTTTATTTTTTATTTTTTTTCAAAATGCATGTGTTATTTTTGTTTGTTTATCATTGATTTATATAGTAACTCTTGTTAGGAAGTCAAAATGTAAAATAACCAAATCAATCAATGTATAATTATCTATTCTATAATCATTAACAGTACAATTAATATTATATATTATTAAAGAAGATTTTAATAAATAATTATTTGACTTATACTGTTTTTCTCCAAAAATACATATGTAAAGAGAGAGTTGCTGGAATATTTATTTTCCAGGGAAATGTGGTGTTTCCACGTTATGTATTTATTATGTTCAAATAAGTAATTAATATATTTTGATAAAAATAGTGAATATTAATAACATAATAAATGAGAGATATTAACTTAAAATTTTTAAAATATAATTATTTTAATTAAAATATTTCTCTGTCATATATATATATATATATATATATATATATATATATATATATTTATACATAAAAGAAAAAGTTTGCTGACATTTATTTTCACAAGGGTATAAATGATAGTTCACGATATACTTTTCTAGTTTAAAATAATTTATATACTTTTTTTAACGTATTTATTTATATGTGTATTAAAATATAAGGAATGTGATTGTTAATTTATTAAAAATATGAAAATTTTTATTAAAATTAAAATGTGTATGACTTGCTATTTTATTAAAACTCAACAGATATAAATGTCTATTTTAAACTTAGATCAAATAGATTTTATAGATGTAAGTGTAATTTATTCATATAATAAATGTAAGGGTATAACTCATGTTTCAACTTAATGCATGTTCAAATTATTTTAAATAGTGTATATTATATCTTTTAAAAAGTATTATTTAATTTATAATTAGTAATTATAATCAATCAGCGTAATAAAGTTTTACTAATTCATTCATTTTGATAATTGTTATACTTATTTTTTTTACGTAATTTGCTAAAAAAACAAAAAAACTCATACAATTATATTATTATAATATTTGCATAGGAAGAGTAATGATATAAATGTAGGAATGACATATAAACCGGACACGCGGAGACAAATTCGTCCCGTCCTGCATTTAAAGGGAAAATTGGAGTTGAAGGAAAGGGACAGCTCCCTTTGGATTTTTCACCTTAAAAAGTTGGGAGGTCCTATATTGTTTAAGTAGATAACTCTAAATTTTATATTTAAATTTAAATTTTAAAATATTAAAAATTTAAAATTATTTATTTATTTATTTATTTATTATATATAAAATTATATTTTTATTTTTTATTTATTTTTAAATTTTTTATTAATTAATTTATTATATTATTTTTATCTTTTACATTTTTAATTTTTTTAATCATTTCAACTAATTTAATAAATACAAAAATAATTATATTTTTTAACTATTTTACATCAATTCTATTAATAACTAATATTATTTTATTTATAATTTATCCTTATTAAATTTTATTATATAATATTTTTAGATTTTATTATTCTTATTTATTATATATTAAATTTGATTTTAATAAAATAATTATATTTAAAAAAATTTGAAAATTTAATAATTTAAATTTTTATTATTTTAAACTATTAAATAAAAATTATTTTATTAAATATATTTTTATAAATTATATATTTCATATTTTTAAATGATAATTTAAAAAATAATTAACATATATATTTAAATATTTAAATATAGTATTATTATAATAATAATAATATAAATATTTATATTTATATAAAAATAATTAAATATTTCTTATGTATATATATATATTAATATAAATATAATAAATTTCAAAATATATTTAATTAATAATTATTATAAATTATAAAATTATTAATATTTATTTATATATAAAATTTTTATAAAAAGATTAAAATTAATTTATTATAAATATTAATTATTTTTTAAATTAATATAATTTGAACACCCGCCCCACCCTATAATTTGTTTTTATTTGCATGAAGTCCGAAGAGTTTCATAACCAATGGGCTTCACTGTTCATTGGCCTTCACCTTGCTGCTTCTAATCAGTTTATTTTGTTTGAATTGGAAGAAGAATGTTAGAATTCGTATTTTCATTTTTTAAATGATTTTGAAAAATGTTAACATGAAACAAAAATATTTTATATAAATAACTAAATACATGTTTTTATGAAAATATACATATTTTATTAATTAATAGAATAATCATTGATAATTTATACTAATTTTAAATTGATTATTACTAATAATAAATATTATTATTGATTTAACGTACCTAAAATGTAATTTAAAATTTTGATAAAATTATTTAATAATGAAAATTTAAGTAATTACATAATTAATATATTAAATATGAATTAATAAATTTATTATTTATTAATTAATTAATTTCTTTATTAATTTAAAATGTATTATTTAAATATTGTATAAAATTAATACTAGTTTTAAAATTATTATTAAAATTAATAAAAATTATTATTTTATATTAATTAATTTCACGTTGACGTAAATTTATATCAATATAAATAATTATTGATATTAAGGAATGGGTACAGTAGAAATTATTTTTTATATTAAATAGTATCTAAATTTTATTATTTCGAAATAGTTTTAATTTTAGTATTAAGTTAATAATGTAAAACCGCAATAAATTTTAAAATTATATACAAAAACTAAAATTGTAATAATTATCTTATTAGTATTATTTATTTTATTTTATTTTAAATCTTAACACATACTCTAAAATAATATATAATTATAATTTAAATAGCTGAATTGGTGCAATTATATTTAAACAAAATTATTCAAGACCTTCAACTTTTATTTTTTATATTGATCAGAAAGTTTATGAAATTTTATTCTTATTTCTTTTTTTCATTGTATTAATTCCATTTTAATAATGAAGTAATTAACGGTAAGTCACGTTTATAAATTTTCAATCACCATAGTAGGGTTTTTTTTTCGTAAAAAACTAGTGCTTTTATATTAATGATATTAATTTAATATTAACATTATTTTTAGTTAATTACATTTATATTAATGTAAAATTGATCAATGTCAAATAATAATTTAATTATTGATTTATTATTAATTAATGTTGAAAATTTTTTAATATTGAATAATATTTGATTATATTATTTTGCTAAATAATACATTTTAAATTAACAATAAAATGTTTTTATTTTAATTAATATCAATAGCTTAATTAAAACATATCTTAATATATTAACGTAATTTGATTCATTGGTTCATCCAAATTTTAAATTAATATCTTAATACTTATTAATAATAATAATAATAATAATCAATTTAAAATTAAGTAAATATTAATAATAATTATCAAAATTATACAAAATGGACATCGACCGAATTCACCCTTAAAATCTTTGAAATTTAGCTTTAGACACAATTGTTATTAAAAGGTGAATATTAACATTATTTAAACCTATAAATTATATATTATAATTAAATTACATATTTCCTTAATATTTCTAATAAATATTATAATAATATTTTTTAAATCATATTAAAAACACAGAGATACAAGTATATTCTAATAAAAACTTAGTATAAGAAAATATACATAATTAATATAATTTTGATGTCATATATATTAAAACCTAATTGAATCTACTGAACTTATAAAAAATGGTTTTAAAATGTAAAATTTAAACTCCAATTATATAATATAATTTGTACAAATATCTAATTGTAATAAGATTGTCAATAATTTAAATTATTTTTCACAAACAGGACTTTATAAATTTTTTTAAAAGAATTAAAAAAGTACACTCCTTTCCGTAAATTTGCCCAAAGCTCTTAGATTCTTTTATTCCTATATCATAAATTTGACGGGAATCATGTTTGTATGCATTATTCAAACATTTTTTATGAATTATAATATTATTAGATTGAAGAGGGGTGAAGAGGGTAAATTTTAGACATCCCACGTGTAAAGAGGATGATTGATAGAGGAGGGAGCAGTGAAGAGATGAGAATGCAGTAAAATATGAAGTAATGTTAAATGAATGGATAATGTTGAAGAATATTTTGGCAGTGTTGTGGTTTGTTGAGGAATAAATGGGGATGAAGACAAAAGCAACAGGGGCAGAAGGAGCTGTCCCCTCATTTATTTTTGGCAATGCTCATGAACCAATAAACAATTAAATATTAATAATAATAATTATAATATCAGACACTGCATCGTACATCAATTATTGTCTCATGCTCCCAACACTCAGGGATTATCTTTTGCATTTTTGTTTTATTTTTCATAAACATATTTCAATTATATATTATTATAAATTAATGTTATATAATTTCATGTGATTTCCGATCACCCGTCTGCTTATGCTTGTTGTGCCAATTATTTTTGTTGCACATGTCTGCTTTAGATTTGGTTAGTTGAACTATATATACAAATCTATTCACAGATAATACATTTCTTAACATGAGGCTTTTCTCTCGCCACGCGTCCATCGCAATTTCCATCTTCCATCGGATCCAACACCACGCGCGCGTCACCTCACCTTCTTTGTCTTCTTCTCTTGCCCTAATTCCACACGTAGAAATAATGGAGAACCACATCACGACACCTGTTACACATGAAGATTCAATAGATCTTGTTCTTGGGTAATGCATGTTTCTGCACCTTCTTTCCCCAACACCATCATCAACCACTGGTTTCTCACTATACACAACGTGTTTTTGCATGTGCCACTGCTTCATCCACACTCTCTCCGTTTTGCAACTGTCTCTATACTTCTACATCTCCATTGTTTTCATCAAATGTTACAAGGATTATGTATGTCTTTTTTTTTTTACGTTATTGTTTTGTATTCAGGTTTTCAAACAAAATATATACAAACGTCCACCGTGAAAAAAAAAATTGAAAAACATAACTAATTTGTTTTCCTTTTTTTTTCTTTAATTGTGTACAAAATAAAACATATTAATTCAATATTCTCCTCTCATGTAGGACTCATTATCTCGTATAAATATCGAGATCATTAATTATATATAAGATAACTGCATCACCAAAATTGATAAGACAACGAGCTTATCGACCACCTTATGATTATATGAAAACATTCCTCAACAACCAAGTAGTTTTTTTTTTAATCTTTCAGATTTTCACGTAGGGTTCATACATGCATGCATATAGTTTGATATTATATATATTCTCAAACATAGACCCTAAGACTGGGATTTAGTCAGTTTAGTGTTGCACATTCTCGTACTTGATATTATATATATTGCTACTAATAGCATGACCAGTTAGCTTCTGGCCCATTGCTTTAACTACTATTACATCGACTAGTTTGAACAGTGCAAGTGAGTTTTTTTTTTTTTTTTTTCAAGATGTAACTGGAATATATATTTTACCTTAAGTGAATTTTAAGTTGGAGAGGAATGAAAAATTATCATTATGTATCTGTCTCTACGAATAATAAAATCTGATCAATAAATGTTAATACTAAATATTTGTTGATGTTTAAAAGCAAGGACTTGTGTCTCTTTGTGCTTTGGACCAGAATTTTTTTTATAAAGAAGTTTAATGAAATTATTTATTTAAAGCTAAATCTTGTTTTTACAAGGATAAATTACGAGAAAAAGCCATATTAATTTAATTAATTAATTTACTTGGATATATCTTATTCCAAACATCATTTTTATAAACACTTATGGTTTATTACTCACTCACACTTACCTGAACCCTAATTATTTGGGCGTTAGAGTGTTCATATAAATACATTTCTGTCGTTGTTGTGTCTCTCTCTCCATCCCCACTCCTTCGTTGCACGATGGATTTCTTCTCCATACCCAACATGTAGGGTTGACAACTTCCAATAATTTACAAATATTCAAAATAAAGTTCCTCAGCCTTAGTTTGAGGAATATTTATGACTAGTTTCATAAACTCACATGCATATTTTATAATTTAAAACTTCTAGAAAATAGTTTTAAAGTTTAAAGAAGTGTGTGAGAGAGAAGGGAATTAATTTTTGAACCATGGCATAACTTTTAATATTTTCATAAAAAGAAGTTATCCAAAAAGATAGTTTTTGGTATAATAGAAGGATTGCATTGAATAAATATTAGGAGTGAGTTGATTAAATTATTCCTTAAAAAGAAGGTTTAAGAAAAACCTAAAAAATTGTTGGAATCATGAAGGCATAGACATCAAGTTGTCTTTCTTGGAAAGTAGTTTCCTTTTGTTTCTCTCTTTTGTACAACACCCTAGACCAAACCAAAAGAAAGAAGAAGAAAAAAGAAAGTTTTTCAAAAACCACGAAAGCATAAGAGCGCGTGAGTGTAATTTTGTGTCCAAACCGAACCAAACATCCCCATAAAATCCCAATCACATTCAAATTCATCAGATTCATGATCATATCCATTACCATATTCTCTCTCTCTCTCTCTCACTTCCGAGTAGCTATGTCCCGTCATCGACGCCAACCCTCCCAAGCCCTTCCGCCGGATCTTTTCTCCGGCGAAGACCTCACCAAGCCCTTTGACTTCACGCACACCGCCGCCGAGCAAGCCGGAGCTGCTGCTGCCGCCGCCGCCGATGCCCTTTCGCAAGCCTCACGCATTTCGACCCACCAAGAGATCAAAGACTCCCCTCTGACCACCGCTTCTCCTACCAAGAATAAGGCGCCCCCGCCGCAGAAGACGGCTTGAACCGCCGTGTGCATCACGAGACTGCTCCTGCTGCATTTTATGTCTGTCATTTTCTCTTTCTTTCTTTTTTCTTTCTCTTTTTCTTCGTTTTTTGGTTTCAAATAAATGTTAAGATGTCAGCGGAGAAAAAGCTCAAGGCATTGTAACATGGTCTTCTTCTTCTGTGTTCAAGAAACCTCCTTTTTGTTAGAACTTGGAATATGAGGTTTTATTATGAATCTTGATGACCCTGCCTGTTTCTCTTGGAAGGTTCTTGGAAGAATATTTTGGATTTAGAAATAGTTCTTATATTCTCATCTCCCAAGGTTTATGTTTTTCTTCTTCTTTTCTCATTCATTCTCTCAAAACAAAATCTATTTTTAAGATTAAAATATATTAGAAATTATAATTCCCATTCCCACTCATAAATATCTGCAGTAAAATATGTTAGAAGTAGCAGCACTTCTCTTTTTAAAATACATGAGTGAAAGCCAGAGGGTTGGATCTGAAGTTTTCTCCGGTTTTTTTCAAATCCATCCCTACTAACTTCATGTATGGTCATTCTTTTCACGAGAAAATACATGTTATGAGATCCATTATAAACATAAACCTAAGATGTAAACGACAATTGTCCCTTTAATTGGTTCAAGTTGCTAACTATTTGGTTTATTGTACCTTGGCTAAGTTTGAACTGAAGGTAGGAAAATATTTGTATGAATCAAGGCACTCTCATCGCTTTTGGGTATTTCTGACTGTTGTGGAGGTTGGAGGTAATAGTATGACACAATGGTATTGATTTATTGAGAAAGTTAATAGCAGTTGAAGCCTGCTGCATCAATAGTATAAGAATGGATAAAATTAGAAATTCTGTTTTGAAAAATATCTAAGGAAAATGCAATATATTATGGGTGTTTGTTTATTTTTGCAGCACGACAATTATGATGATAATCCTTGTACTATGATTGTTTTAGGTGTATGTGTATGTGTGGCAGCTGATGACATAACTGGTTCTGGACCACTTTGCCATATGATGGATGAACAACTCCTTCATGTTAGGGTTCTAAAAATCAACCACATCGAACCAAATTAAATAGGAGTTTATTGCTTTTGTTAAATCTCTTTTTTCTTTTTAGTAATTTAAGCAGTACAACTTAATACTGTTTTGTTCTTTTTAAGTACATAAGGGTAGTAAATAAACAAACCCTAATAAAGAAATTCATCCTGTGAAACCCTTGGCTTGTTCCCATAAATCCAAATCCCAACTGGATGTTAGCAATGCATTGACCATGAATTGTCAGTAGTTTGTCATCCAATCTGAAGCAGGTTGGGGTATTAGAAAGTGGGTATTCATTTTCAAGTTTTAACCTTTTAATTTCACCCACTCAGTTAAATAACATTATATCCAAAATAATTTGTAATTTATTGAGTAATGGCACCCCATTTTTTCTTGTATGTGCTTAATGTTAGGGGGTTAAAAGTGAGGGTAGTAGTTAATGATATAGTATTTAATATTAGAGTTTAATCTTGATGATATAATATGTAATCAAAAAATTATAAAATACTATTATATATTGAACTCTAAAACTAATTGAAGATCAATATCTATGAAATTAAAAATAAATTGTCTTTTTTTTCCTCATTTCAATTTTCAATTAATTTTTTTTGTATAGAAGTGAACATGACTAAACCTATCCCTGTTGGTCAATGTATGATTTAATTAAAATCTGATTTAGAGAGATTTGAATTTGAAAACAAATTTTTAATAAGATTCATTCATTTTTAATAATAATTATTATAATGAACGATTAATAACCTTAATTAATTATCACATAACATTATCAATCAATTATTTTAATACAGAAAGTGATTACTATTGTTAAAAAAATATTAATATTATCAGTTATGTTATATATGAATCTATTATGTTTTCTAATTTTAACTTTCACTCATTCAATTTAAAATATTATATTCAACCATTGGTAATTAATGTAAATCCGATACCAATTTTTTATTTATTTATGTACATTAAACGTTAAAGGTGGTTGATTTGATGGGAATGGGAGTTAAAGAGATATTATATTCTCAAATTTCAATGCTTCAATCACATTCATTCCATTAAAAATATTATATCTAACTTACGTAATAAATAGAGTACTATTAACAACTCAAATACAGAAATATACTATAAAAAAATAACTAAAATTCAGATAAAATTATTTGTTTAAAAAATCATAATTAAAAAAAAAACCTATAGAACTCTCTATCAAATAAAGTTATTTGTATAATTACTACATAAACATTTGATTTCCTAAAACTGTGAAAATACATTTCTTTGCTAGTAATTAATATTCTTAGATGCAAAAATTTTTCTCCCTAATTGTATTCATTTTCTTAGATGGTTAATAATTGTATAAATAAAAAATATTATATATCAATAAAATATTGATTATAAAAATACTAAAAAATGTTAGAGGTATTTATTTTTATACGAATAAATGAAGGTATTAAAAACTTTTTAAATTATTTGATTAATTTATCATAAATATAAAAACTAATATTATTAATAATTTCAATTGTCTTTTTCAATATAATATAATTTTGTATTAATTAAAATCTATCGATTAATTGAATAAATTTTAATTTTTCAATGTGAGTTATATTATCTTAAGTATATGTTGCTTAGTAATCATGTCGGGATTATAAATTATATTTTCAATATATGAAATACTCATGTAAGGACAGTTCGTATAAGAGGTATTTAGGAATAAAAAAATATAATTAGTTATTCAAAATTTAAAAATATATATTTATATAAGTTATTTGTTTTAATTTCAAACAATTTATATATATAAAATTTATATTAAAATAATATTTTTTATTCATAAATAATTTTTTCAAGTATTCTCTTCAAAGATATTCTTATAATATCTCCAAAGAAAATTATTCAAAGAACTAGTAATAAATAAGTAATGTTATTCTACTGTGATTCTAGTATAAAGTTATTTAAAAATAGAAAAAAATATTCATATAAAAACATTTCAAAAGAAACTTACTTTCAATAATCAATTCTGAATAAAAATATTATTTTCATATAAATTTCATATATATATATATATATATATATATATATATATATATATATATGATTAAATTAAATTTTATATAAGAATTTTTTTCTCAATCTTAAGAATTTTTTTATGTGGGGGTTTATATTAAAATAATTTTTTTATTCTTAAATAATTATTATAAGTAATTTTCATACGAATTATTTTAATTAACAATTTCTATTAAAAATACTTGAAACAACTTTCACAGATTTTAAACAACTCTATACTTTTGAGCCCACAATAATATTTTATTTATATGAAATTCCTTTTAAAATTATTTTCAATAAATTTATGAAAAAAGTTATTTATGAATAAAAAATATTATTTTAATATAAGTTATATATATAACAATAGCTTTAAACTAAAGAAATTTGCTTACAAAAATAAAAATTATTATTTTAATATGAATCTTCCTACAAAATTATTTGAAACTGAAAAAATATATTTATATGAATAATTTTCTTTAATAATATATTTTTTTATGAAAACAATTCTTATAAGAATTTTATTTGGAGATGTTCGACCAATTTTTCTTAAGATTTTTTTTTAACTTTAAATAACTTATACACTTGAGGTTCTTATTTTAAAATAATATTTTTATTGATAAGTAATTATTGTAATCAAATTTCTTTAAATTTATTATGATATATATTTATAAATGTCACATCTATCTAATAATCAAAATTAAAAATAATTTATATATACATATTTTTTAATTTATTATATCTTTTAAGAATAAAATAAATCTTTTAAGAATAAAATTATGATAAATTAAATTTTAAAAATAAATAAAATTTAAATATAATAATAAACTTTTAATAAAAATTAAAAATAATTTATATATACATATTTTTTAATTTATTATATCTTTTAAGAATAAAATTATGATAAATTAAAATTTAAAAATAAATAATATTTTAAATAAAATAATAAACTTTAACAATCTAATGAATATAAAATCGAATATTTTTTTTAAACGGAACATGTTCTCAAATAAAAAAGAAAAACTTTATGACTTACATTAATTAATCTTTATGGTTTAAAATGTTATTTTAATAAAAAAATCATAAATAAAAACCGCAAAACGCGTGAAATTAATTCAAAAATAAATGCAATGAATATTATAAAATAATTTTAAAGTATAAAAATAAAAAAGTAATGATATATGTACGCCTCTTTTTTGCAAAACATCTTGTTAGTATCTATTTTTTCTATAACTTTTTGATTATATTAAATCATTATAATATTTTAAATTTTTGCAAGTGTTTAGGTATATTTTTCTAAGATATCATGGCCACCAACTCCCTCTAAATTAAGAACTCAAAAAAAAAAAAAAAACAATGCGATTAAACACGATAGAAAATATTTTTGAATTAATAGTCCTTGATTAAAGGCACAGGGATAGAAAGGGAAATGGCACAGGTAATAATAAGTCTATTATTGTATTATTCAGGACACACAAAGTTGCATAAGAAGCTTTGTGAGGGATACCTAGAAATCATCACCTTGATTGGTTGGGTTGTTTCGATAGAGCATGCTAAAATCTATAGGAGGAGAAGGAGCAGAAAAGGGCAGGGAAATCATTGGAGACGAGGTTGAACCTCTGACAGGGAAACAAGGTTGATCAACTGTGTTGTTGGTGGTGGTGGTGTCATCAAGATCATCAGTTTCAATGTCAGGTTGAACATCTGGATAAGTGAAAGGAGACACCACTTCATGGTACTCATAGTATTCATGCCCCTTGAAGAGAGAAGCTGTGACTTGCACAGTTTCTGCAGCAATGAGTTTGTGTCCAACAAGACCACCATAGACTTCAGGGGCCTCTCCCCTGGAGAATTGAATGTTGAAGAAGGAAAAGGGAGTGTTGTTTGGGGGTAAAGGTGAAAGGCATTTTGTGTAAACACCTGAGAGGTAAAACATGTGCATGTTTCCTTGAAAGGTATAATCATTGGCATGGGATAAAGGGTTACTGATATGAACCTCAGATATGACACCTGAAGCATGGTGCACCAAGATGTTGACATCTCGGTCACGAGCAAACTCAAGGATGGTGTTCACAACATCCATGCCAGCAGGAACAATCAAGATTACGGGCTTTGGAAAGTCCTCCCTTTCCTGCAGGTTATCACTGGATGGGATAGGAAACTCCATGGTTGGATTAGCCTCTTCCTTTGAGCTTGGTTCAACCCCCTCAACACCATTAACTATAGCAACCACAGAAGGTTGTGGTTCCATTTGTTCATTTGGTTCAGGGGATTTAGGAACATTTGGCTCAGAAGGGATATCAAGGATGGGTGATGATTGTGGGGATGGTGGAAAACTGGAGGAGGATTCATGGACATTCTTTTCCATTGTTGAGGTGGGGTCGGGTATATCACAGAGAGGGAGAGTTTAGAGAAGAAGAAGATCACAATGTGTGAAGATATAATGTGAGAGCATTTGACATCATTATTTATAGAACATTTCCAAGGTTGAATGACGTGGAATCTACCCATTTCGATTTACATCTAACTATTATTTTTATTTTCACGTTATTTAATGTAAATGAACAAATTAAAGGAGAAATTTTGTAGCATTTTTTTAATAATTAATATATTTACGTTTTATATTTTTAAAAGGGAGAAATTTACTAGTATTTTTTTCTTATTTGTGATTCATTAAAAGATTAAACTTGAAAGCTTACTCACAATTATAATATATTTTAAATATTTGATTTTATTCATTTATATTTTATGTCCTTAATATTAATCAACAAATTAAAAAAAATGAATATTTCTTTGTCATTTCTTACTTGTTTATTTTTATTTAATTAATGAAAATATAAAATTTATTTGATTAAAATTACTTGTGTTATGCTTCAATGGTGACAGATAAGAATTCAAACACATTATATGATTAAATTGATTTAAAAGGTGGTATTATTTTTTTTTAATATGGAATTTAATTACAAAATTAACCCTTCTTAAATAAAATGTTATGAATTTCATATTAAGTCTATATAGAGTCACGTTAGGTTATTTTTGACAAATGGTTTTGATGAAAAATTCATAGTTTTTAAAAATAGATTACATATTATATTTTAAATTTTTTTTTATCAAATATTACTTTATTAAATAAAGTCGTGAATTATGTGAAACAGACATGAACTTAATAAAAAATAATTTATTTAAAATAGGACTTTTTAGACAAACTTCACAAATTAAGGATTTTACTGGAGATTTATTTGCACGACTACTAGTATTAAAAATGTACATTAATCAATTTAATTTAACTTACGATATATAATAAATTAACCAATTTAAATTTTTTAAAATTTGAAAAAGAATATCAAGTTGGCACACCTTGAGTTATCAAAATTGATAAAATCTTAATTTTAAAATATGAAAAAACAAAACATGGGATTTTCTTTAATTGAATCTATAATAAATATCAACATGGAAATTTTCTAATTTAACTTTAACAGTGTGACAAAATATTCTATTAAATAAATACAATATTAACGTACTGAACGTTCCAATTAACACAGAACATATTAAAAAGGATATATATTAATAACTACGTATAAAATATATTTAAGTTGATAACATTTTTATTAATATAATAATAAGTTATTGCTAAATAAGTGTTTAATATATTTTTAATAAATTAGTGTACGTTAATGTTTATTATGGTTAATTGATGTTGTATTATATATAGTTTATTCATTAAATTTTACACTAAATAATATGACAACTTTTTATTTTTCATAAATACAACATTAAATATTGTCGGTCGGAAATTCTTTACCTGTAATATATTAAATGTGACATTAATTACATGAATATATAATAATGCAATAACTAATGCCTATATGTATAATATTTCTACATTTAATGCTTATATATAAATAATGTCCTTAATGTCTATATATAATATTTACTCTTTCACTAAATTCTACACTTAATAATTTGATATAATTAGGGTTGCGCACAAATAAAAATAAAAAATTAAACCATTTAAAAACCAAATCAAATCAAATTTTAAGAAGCCAAATAATTAAAATTTTACTCAAACCAAATAGCTTTAATTATTATGCACATGTTTATGTTTGGCGTCCCCAATAAGCCGAATCATATTAGCAAAATTTAAATCCACCTTTGTTTCTATAGTTATATAAATGAATAATTTTGATTATTTATACAATAATTTTATATTTAGTTTTATAAAACTATATTATTATAATTTATCATCTTAAAATAAATCAAATGAATCCATAAATAATATATTTAAAAGAAAAATTTATTTAAATAAAATATATATAAATTTATTTATTTAACTAAACATATTTAATATTCATATCCATAATTTAATGATAAGAAATAAATAACTTTCACATAATATAAAATTTTTTTCTGTTTCCTTATTATTCTTTTTCTCTTTATTTATTTTCTTATCCTCCTTTATTTCTCTATTTTTCTTTCCTCCACTTTTGTTTTTCTCTCACGCATCTTAATATTGTAATTAAAAATACTAGAGTAAAATGTAATAAAACGGATATTTTATTATTTGTGTCAAAAAAAAATTAAATTATCTAATAAAAATATAATTGAATATATTATATTTAAAAAAAATATTATATAATAAATTTAAGATATAACAAATGTTATTATTAGGTTATAACTATTTAAAAAAAAACTTTTTTAAAAATTTTAAAATGACCTGATATGATTAATCATGGTAATTTTATCTAATTATAACTATATTAAATTATTAAATAAACATATTCTTAATTCATAAATATTTGATATTTTTTTTAGTTTCATGAGTAATTTATTTATTATTATAAAATAATTTTAAATTAATTATTTTACGTTATCTTACCAATCAATCTTATTAATAATATATTTTAAAAATTATTTAAATATATTTTTTTAAATTTATTTATTAAACTAAACTTATTTACTTTTTATACAAAATTGAATAATAAAAAATAAATTCATTTAATATAATATAGTTTTTTTTCTTCTCTCGCTTCTTCTCGTTATTTTAATTTAAAATATTATATTAAAATTTAATAAAACGAGTTAAATTAATCTCATCAATAATATATTTTAAAATGAAATTACTTAAATAGAATATTTTTCAATTTATTTAACGAACTAGACTTATGTATTGCTTATACACAAAATTTAACCAGCAAAAATAAATTTATGTGACATAGCTCCATTATTTGTCATTTCTCATTTATTTTCTTATTTTTCTCTCACTTCATTTATTTTTTATTATTCTTTTTTATTTTTTGTTTAGTGTTTATTTTCCTTTATTTTATCCTTTCTCATATTTGATTATTTTTTCACTCCATCTTATTCTTTCATTAAAAATAGTAGATTAAAATATGATGAAGTGAGTCTTTTATTATTATTGCAAAATAAAAAATATTTAAATGATCTAAAAGTACTATACTTAATTTTATAAGTATTATATGATAAATTTAAAATATTATAAATATTATTGTTATTTTATAATTATTATATAAAAAATAAATTGAATTTATAAATATTTGATATTTTTAATTAGATAAATAATTATTTATTATGATAAAATAATTTTAATTGATTATTTATTATTAAAATAAATAAAATCATTGTTAGAAATGACATCTAGATGGGGTGAATAGATGCACAAATTAAAATAGATGTCAAAATAAAAATTTATTTGTGAGTCAATAATTTGTTTGATCACATATAAAGCGGAAACGATGATTATAATCAGGAAAAGAGAAAAAGATAAGGGAAAGAGAAGAGCACATAAATATTTATACTAGTTCGGGTATAACCAACCCTATATCCAGTTCTCAGTCAACTATTAACACAAGAGTGACTCCCAATTCACTATCTTTCAAATTTAGTTTACAAATTACAATCAACTCAGCACAAGAATCAGTAAAAAGTAAACTAATTAAAAAGACAATCACCTCCTTAGAAACCTACTAAGGATGAACACCTCCTTACAATCCCACTAGGGATGAACACCTCATATGAACAAATTAAAGGATGAAAAAAACCTCCTTAGAATCCCACTAAGGATGAACACCTCCCTAGAATCACACTAGGGATGAAAATCTCCTTTGAACATATCAAAGGATGAAAACACCTCCTTAGAATCTCACTAAGGATGAACACCTCCCTAGAATCACACTAGGGATGAAAAACATCTCCTTTTCCACCAATACAAAAAGGATGAAACTAATAAAAATAAGAACAGTCACACCTGGGTAATGGAGACAATAAATTGTAGAAGTATGTAGTGTTGGCAAAATTTGGGTCATGTATATATATGATACATATTTAAATGTGTTAGGGTCATTATTTATTAAGCCAAATAATAAAGTGATCTGAATAAATTAAAGTTTTGGCTAAAGGCATATGTCATGAAAATAATATTGTGTAGAGACCATAAAGTAATTTCTAATTTGATGAGGGGCCAAATTGAAAATACTAAAACTTAAGTAATTAACCTAATTTTGGTTATATAAAGGGTCATGGTCCCCTTCTGAGAGCACACAGACAGAATACAGATACAGTCCCGTTCTTTTCTTTCTATCCCCATCAAGACAGAAAATCCATAGGGAAATACAGGTGCTCTTCAGGTGGAAGACCATAAGATCAATTCAAAGGTGCTCTACAAAGAATATTATGGCTAATTCAGGTACGCTTTCGCATTTAGTTTATATAACATGTTTTCAGTATGGGATTATAGATATATGTTTGATCATTAGGATGAAGATCATATTCAATTACAGTTTTCTTAACAATTGGTATCAGAGCTACCCATACTTGATTCATGTTTGTATTTGGAAATTAGATTTATCAAAATTTAGATTCTATTTAATTCAGAACCCTAAGTGAAGAATAATCTCCCAATTTTGTAAACCCTAAAATCAAATTTGGGGTTAAATTCCCAATTTTAAAACCTAGTTTCAAATTTGGGATAAATTCCCAATTTCCCATATTGAGAAAGAGGGTTCCAATTATCTGTTCCGCGTGTGAATTATCCGGACACGGCACAACTGTTGGCTTAACACGAAGAATTAGAGAAGGTCGCTCGACGCGCCTCCAGATCATTAAGGAATTAAACTCTGATGAAGGAGAAGAAGCATGCTAGGGCAGACAATAAACCCTTCGTTGGGCTCTTCCCTCACAACCATTTATCTTCAGTCACCGGCTACTTTCATCACCACGGTTTGCAACCCACGTTTTATTCACTAATCGAAGACAAACATTTCAGTTTGGAAACGGTTCAAAATGTTTAAAATGGGTGATTCGGGAGCCTTCAGTGTTGGGATTGAACAAATTCCAAAGGCTTCTTGTTCA